CCAGCAGTCATGCTGGGTGAAATATTATCAGCAAAAATTTGTTCAAATTTCATTGGAAACCTTTATACACCCATTTTAAATTTTGTTTCATGTTATCATTGATAATTCATTGATTTCTTATTGAGGATTGTGAGTGCAGCACTAAATAGGACGATATATTAGACTCAGTTTTATCAGGTAGAGTTGTGTGTAGTCAAGGGGGATTATCAATATAAAAAAACAGAGAAGAATGGAGATTATAAATTGGTATTTGATGAATCATTCGTCTTCTTAATCTTAGATAAATATCTACATCACTTTTATCAGTTACGTGGTATTGTGGTATGCATTCCAATAGAAAGATGAGAACGCATACTTATGTGTTACAAGCTGGGCACAGTTATTTCCCTTTCATAAAACCACATTTAAACAAGGTACAAAAAAATGTGTGGTAACATGTTTCTATTTTTACACATCTGAGATAGATCAACTATATAAATATGTAGCTGATATAAGGGAAGAAGTTACCTGTCTCTATTTTTACACAACTGACTAAGACTGATATATATATATTTATATTCATATGTAATATAATATTTTTTTTTCAGGAAGTTGATATAAATGTATATGTATTGTTTTCCACCCATGTGGTTACATGTATATAATATGATACTCCAGAACATTTTTTTTTTTTTAAGAGAGCTATGATATATTTGAATTTTCAGCATATTTCAAATTTTGGAGATTTGATAACATTTTGTATTTTTCTTAAATATTATCTAAACAGACAATCAAATATCATGTGTACATTTTTTCTTTTCATTAACAAAAAATGCTAGAAACAGCTTCAATTCAGAGTGAGTTGGTTGATAAGTGGAGTCTGTGTGCATTGGGTGTGGATACCGAAAGTATGCAGGGCGATGAAATAGAATTTCAAAATTTGTACTTTAGGCAGATAAAGTGTAGAAGTGCTCTGATGAAGCCTCGCATCAGAGGCAAAACTAGCCAGCCAATGAATATCCCGTTCACTGGTGACCATTGGAGTGTTGTGATTGAAACTTTCTTGTATTTTCTATTTCTTTTATTTATAAAGTATGATCCGTTTCTTGTACTGTCTATGATACCACTGATAGACCTAAATGCCAATCCTGTAATATTAAGCTGTTACGTCCTTCAGTTCAGTGACCATTATAACCAACACCATGACCTCTGAAAGTTCTGTTCAATGTTTGTTAGAAGTCTTACAAATTTAAACAAGCAAAATAACCTGCTAATGTTATGCCGTTCTTTGATTTGATAAAAATTTGTAAATAATTATCAATTTCAGAAATCTGCATTTATAATTAACATTTAAAATCAAGTGACTTTTTTGAGTCATGCTATGCTTTTATGAAAAGTAAGGGCAATCTGGGTCTTTCATGTCATTACAGAGTATCATTCCGGCAGGAAAATGAAAAAATGGTGAACTGTATATCAAAGTTACATATGTGGTCAACAGGTTATACAACGGTTCAACAAACAATGTGTATCACATTTGGTTTATAGATTTTTTATGTGTCAATGATCTTGTTCTTTGTAGAGTTAGGTTAAAACATTTCTTCCTTCTAAATTTGATCCTATCCAGATGTTGTTTAGTTCTTATTTTGAAAGAACTCCAACTATATTGATGATGATACTCATAAGGTGTGTGTGCAGAGAAGAGGAAGCAGAGTTGTGCACAGGGACATGGTAGAAAGATTTTCTTTTGACAAAGTTGGATTTTACAATTGTTTAACAGCCAGCTCTGAGATGGAATTATTACTTTCAAACATTGTAACTTTTAGAGTTTTAGTTTTTTTCTTTAATACAATATTTCTGTGGTTGATATTTCTATTATTCATCCAACTTATATTAAAATAACTTAAAGAGTTCTTGAATTTACAACATTTAACGAAAGATTGTTCCATATAGCAACAGTTCTTAGTGTAAATGAAAATTTTGTAATATCTAATCTTGAAAGTGTTGTTTATAAATCTTCAAGGTGTGTCCATGTGTTGATGAATCTTCCCTGATTTGAAAGATGTCTGGCACTTTCCAATCATATTTCCCAGACAGCATATACCTCTATCATATCACAGTGGGATCTCCTTTATGCTAGTGTTGGTAATTGAAGTTTCTGTAATCTCTCGGAATAGGATATATATATCTTTTAGCCCAAGTACTTGTTTTGTTGTTCAATGTTGAACATTTCATATCATTTCTATGTGCTTTTCCAGATGAGGGCACCAGACTTGATTTGCGTATTTGATGTGTACAACAATTTAAAGTTCTTCCAGTTCATATTTACTCCATTGTCTGCCATAGAACTGCCATTATGAAATGAGGTTATTCACTTTCTCACATCATTTGTTGTCTAGTCTATAATGACACCAATATCTTATTTTAAAGTTCACAAGTTCTAATACATCTGCCTTTTCCTTGCGGGTGTAAGTAATTGGATCAATTTGGCATACTTATATATATCTATATATACTGAAAGGATAAAGAAATGCAACTTCTTTAATTGTAAAATATTTTGTATTGAATGTACATAGCTGTATAGAAAGTAAGAGGAATATAAGGGCATATAAGGGCACCATACCTAATCCCCCAATAACCTGTGACAAAAGAATCATCCACATCTGGTGTACCAAAATTACCAATATACATTGTAACCAGTGTCAGTTTCACACTATCACCAAGATGCATGATTGCCAATACATTTGTAATCAATGATTGATTTTACAAATATGCCACGGCTTTCCCAACTTAAAAAAGGACTGGCTTGTGCATTCACAATGCTCAAGGGAGCTTGAGGAATCACTCAACAGCTTGTTGAAACTTACTATGGAGTTTACAAATTGACTATAGTCTATTAGTTTTACGTCTACCAAATGCCATGGGAAGAGTTGATGACAAATGGAGATCCAGCCATCCACGTCTCGATGTCAAGATTGGTTCATTAATCTTACCCAGAAAATGGCACAAAATATCATTGGTAATGAAAACTGTTGAATCCACCCAAAATCTGTGAGAAATAGACTGCAAAAGGCAAATTTATGCCGAGCATATTGTATGCAATGGTTGACGAGACATGAGTTCAGACATTTTTCTTTGAGACACTGGAGGTCCATTCTCTTCAAAGAAGAATCTTGATTCATGTTATTTCAATTAGATGGCTGTGTCGATGTGTGTACCAACGTCAAGGAGAGTGTCTGACAGATGCTTGTGGTTTGGAGCTAAGCATATTTAAGGGTGGCTTGGTTATGGTCTGAGAAGGAATTTCCCAAGGTTTAAAGACGCCTTTGGTGATCATTTTCAGGAATTTAACAGCTGCATGCTGTCAAAATGAAAACCTGAGGCTTCATGTTGTGTTTTTCTTTAAAAGGCACAACATGACCTTTCCGCATGATAACACTAGGCCACACCTTTCAAGAGTTTGTAGGGACTTTTTTTCAATCCAGAACATTGTCCCTATTGACTGGCCTCCATATAGACTTGATTTGTCCTCAATCAAACACTTGTAGGATGAATCAGACCAAAGAGTTTTGAATCGAGCAAACATCCCAAATACCTTCCACCAATTGGTCAATGTAATTACCAAAGAATGGAACAATATTCCTCTACAGACAGTCAATGTCCTTATGAACACCGTACCACCCAGAATTTGAGACACTATAGCTATTCTAAAAAGAAACACAGGATATCAGGGATCGGTCTGAAAATTGACGTTATTTCAGCTTTGTGTACATTATGGTATCTGAATTCATGGCGGCCTAATGAAGCCCTTGTTTATTTAAAATCTCCGATTTTTTTTTATGAGGGATAGTAAAATAGCTTAAGCTAACAGTTACATTTTAATTTTAGGCAAGTTGTTCAAAATTATTATTCTATTAAACCATAAAGTTGAATTTGCGTTTCGTTTTCCTCTCAGTATATAATTTGTTTTCAATATCTATCATTCTCATATCGTGCAATCAGACGTATGTAACGCACATTACAGATCTCTGGATGGAATGCATTATAATTCTATACTTTCTTATTCTTACAGAAAGCGGTTACATAAGTAAATAAGTGTAGTTTGGATAGGACTGAAGACCGTGTTACTAGTTGAGATAAAGGGTATACAGTTGATAAGATATGTTTTTAAAAAAGGACGGTTTAACGTCGCACTCAAGCTCAAACATCGTGTGCAGTTATGAACCTAACCAATACATGGATTTTGGTCCAAGTCAGAAAATTACCAACCGGGATTTTGTGAGAAATCTGGATCGGTTTCGACTTACATGCATGAATGCAATTATGAATATCGGTGTCCACTTCCGCCGTGTTACAAAGGAGAAAAGGTAAAAACGACGTGATATACTACGTGTCGTACCTAAGCTATGTGCTTTTGTAGTCTTGGGAAATCACTTTAAATACTGACATTAGGAATATTTACCTGTTAAACGTATTTCTGATAAAACCTCTCAACGTGACCATCTTCTCGTAGCCATATTTGTTTACTTGAGAAGTGGAAAATACAACGAATGCTATGATTGGCTGATCTAAAAATAGATCCTTGCCGAATAACATGCAAGTTACCCATGGTAGATCGAAATTTGACTTTACTTTATATGTGCAGTTCTATAAAGAATGTGACATCATGTGTGAAAACGACAAGAGTAATCTGAATAGTGGGAAAATAAGCTAATCTTTATCTCAGCCAATCATAACACATCTTACAGAAAAGTGCACCTTGCTACAGGTATTTAATTTTCCAAATATGGAGATGCCACATTTACATGAATTAAGTTACTGCTATTTAACAAATACAGACAAAAACACAAAGCATGATATACATTGTTAATTTCATTGAAAAATATACCTTCAATTTATAATTCATGACAGAATGTAAACTAAATTTCAAACAAATAAAAACATATGGCACTGAAGTAAGACAATTGAATACAAAATTGTACTATTTCAAATATTAAATTCAATTATTAATCAATGAGCTAGAAATGTATGCTAATGGCATCTTATATTTCCAATCTGAATATGTTATCAGTTAAATACAAACATTTCTACAACATTATACTGTAGCAGTTACATTGAAAGATATGTATGAAGGTTTCCGATTAGACATGGAAAGGTAAAAAATAACAGCTGACCAATTACTATAGGTGCCATCCTATAATTAGGTTTCATCCTATAGATACATTGTGTCAATATTTAAGTTTGACGAGCCATAGTTTTTTAACGGATAACACAAACTAACTCAGACACAGTATTAAAAGTTTCTAAGAAGAACACATCTAAGTGTACACAACCTTTTATACATGAATATAAAAACAATTATGATTCCAATGGAAACTTTAATTCGTTCATAAACCTTGGTACTTACAGGTAAAAAATAAGTCTTTACCTGTGATAAGATGATCAATTCTTATGATGGAATGTCTTCCTTATGTCATTGTATCACAGCTATTTATATCTTTTAAATAATTCAAGTCACTGACCTCTAACCCCAAAGATAGTCATCATATTTCCTGCTCAAACTTACATATGTACCTTATTTAAAGTCAGTGTTATTTGTATCTGTTAACTTTGCTTCCCTAGTTTTTTCCTCGAATCTACCTCCCCATTTTCATTCTAGATTATTGCAGTTAGATTCTGCATGATTGATTAATAACCTAATTGTGTCCATCCGTAAGTTTAAGGAAAAAATACATAGAGATCAAATAAGTAATGATTTTAAAGATAAACAATGACTTTCACAGTACATTTTCTCCATTTTAGATTTTGATGTTAATGAGTAATTGTGTGAGCCTTGGGATCCTTCAATCATTTTTTTTATTGGATCTGGATCACAGTTTTCGATTTTCATAATGTGTCCCATCAGAGTTTAGATTTGTTAATAAGTCCCACCAGAGTATGAATTTTGTAATATGTCCCATAAAATATTTTTCTAATCTGTCCCATCACAGTTTGGAATTTGTTACATGTACCAAAACAGTTTGAATTTTATAATGTCCCATCACAGTTTCGATTTTTGAAGTAGGTTTCCCATTTCATCTAGACTTTGAAACAAAGCCTCACAGAACCTGACTGTATCTGTATGAGGACTTGACTTCCAGACAGAAATAGCAGGAACAATTCTGTTGAAAGAAAAAAGAAAACATTACTTGTCATATTTTTTTTAAAAATGTATTTATCTCTAAAGCCAAGGAGAAATATGATACTAATATTGATCACTGAGACAAAACAATAAATTGTCTAAAAAATAACTCATTATCCAAAGTCCAAAAATAAATTTACAGATCTGTGGATTTATACAATGTGACTTAACTTACTATAAATTGACATCTAGAGTACAAATATACAAATGTATAACTATACACTAGATCTTATCAAAGATCTCATTATCCTGAGTCTAACCATAAAAATACCAGATCTGTGGACTTTACACAAAGTAAAATATATATACCAGATCTGTGGACTTTTACACTGTAAAATTATATACCAGACCTGTGGACTTTTACACTGTAAAATTATATACCAGACCTGTGGACTTTTACACTGTAAAATTATATACCAGATCTGTGGACTTTTACACTGTAAAGTTATATACCAGACCTGTGGACTTTTACACTGTAAAATTATATACCAGATCTGTGGACTTTTACACTGTAAAATTATATACCAGACCTGTGGACTTTTACACTGTAAAATTATATACCAGACCTGTGGACTTTTACACTGTAAAATTATATACCAGATCTGTGGACTTTTACACTGTAAAATTATATACCAGATCTGTGGACTTTTACACAAAGTAAAATATAAATACCAGATCTGTGGACTTTTACACAAAGTAAAATATATATACCAGATCTGTGGACTTTTACACAAAGTAAAATATATATACCAGACCTGTGGACTTTTACACAAAGTAAAATATATATACCAGATCTGTGGACTTTTACACAAAGTAAAATATATATACTAGACCTGTGGACTTTTACACAAAGTAAAATATATATACCAGATCTGTGGACTTCATACACTGTAAAATTATATACCAGACCTGTGGACTTTTACACTGTAAAATTATATACCAGATCTGTGGACTTTTACACTGTAAAATTATATACCAGATCTGTGGACTTTTACACAAAGTAAAATATATATACCAGATCTGTGGACTTTTACACAAAGTAAAATATATATACCAGACCTGTGGACTTTTACACAAAGTAAAATATATGTATCAGATCTGTGGACTTTTACACAAAGTAAAATATATATACCAGATCTGTGGACTTTTACACAAAGTAAAATATATATACCAGACCTGTGGACTTCATACACTGTAAAATTATATACCAGACCTGTGGACTTCATACACTGTAAAATTATATACCAGATCTGTGGACTTCATACACTGTAAAATTATATACCAGATCTGTGGACTTCATACACTGTAAAATTATATACCAGATCTGTGGACTTTTACACAAAGTAAAATATATATACCAGACCTGTGGACTTTTACACAAAGTAAAATATATATACCAGATCTGTGGACTTTTACACTAAGTAAAATATATATACCAGATCTGTGGACTTTTACACAAAGTAAAATATATATACCAGACCTGTGGACTTTTACACAAAGTAAAATATGGTATATACCAGATCTGTGGAGTTTTACACAAAGTAAAATATATATACCAGACCTGTGGACTTTTACACTAAGTAAAATATATATACCAGATCTGTGGAATTTTACACAAAGTAAAATATGGTATATACCAGACCTGTGGACTTTTACACAAAGTAAAATATATATACCAGATCTGTGGACTTTTACACAAAGTAAAATATATGTACCAGATCTGTGGACTTTTACACAAAGTATTATATATATACCAGACCTGTAAACTTTTACACAAAGTAAAATATATATACCAGAACTGTGGACTTTTACACAAAGTAAAATATATATACCAGATCTGTGGACTTTTACACAAAGTAAAATATATATACCAGATCTGTGGACTTTTACACAAAGTAAAATATATATACCAGATCTGTGGACTTTTACACAAAGTAAAATATATATACCAGACCTGTGGACTTTTACACAAAGTAAAATATGGTATATACCAGATCTGTGGACTTTTACACTAAGTAAAATATATATACCAGATCTGTGGACTTTTACACAAAGTAAAATATATATACCAGACCTGTGGACTTTTACACAAAGTAAAATATATATACCAGACCTGTGGACTTTTACACTAAGTAAAATATATATACCAGACCTGTGGACTTTTACACAAAGTAAAATATATATACCAGACCTGTGGACTTTTACACAAAGTAAAATATGGTATATACCAGATCTGTGGACTTTTACACTGTAAAATTATATACCAGACCTGTGGACTTTTACACTGTAAAATTATATACCAGATCTGTGGACTTTTACACAAAGTAAAATATATATACTAGATCTGTGGACTTTTACACAAAGTAAAATATATATACCAGATCTGTGGACTTCATACACTGTAAAATTATATACCAGACCTGTGGACTTTTACACTGTAAAATTATATACCAGATCTGTGGACTTTTACACAAAGTAAAATATATGTACCAGATCTGTGGACTTTTACACAAAGTAAAATATATATACCAGACCTGTAAACTTTTACACAAAGTAAAATATATATACCAGATCTGTGGACTTTTACACAAAGTAAAATATATATACCAGATCTGTGGACTTTTACACAAAGTAAAATATATATACCAGATCTGTGGACTTTTACACAAAGTAAAATATATATACCAGATCTGTGGACTTTTACACAAAGTAAAATATATATACCAGACCTGTGGACTTTTACACAAAGTAAAATATGGTATATACCAGATCTGTGGACTTTTACACAAAGTAAAATATATATACCAGATCTGTGGACTTTTACACAAAGTAAAATATATATACCAGATCTGTGGACTTTTACACAAAGTAAAATATATATACCAGATCTGTGGACTTTTACACAAAGTAAAATATATATACCAGACCTGTGGACTTTTACACAAAGTAAAATATATATATACCAGATCTGTGGACTTTTACACTAAGTAAAATATATATACCAGATCTGTGGACTTTTACACAAAGTAAAATATATATACCAGACCTGTGGACTTTTACACAAAGTAAAATATATATACCAGACCTGTGGACTTTTACACTAAGTAAAATATATATACCAGACCTGTGGACTTTTACACAAAGTAAAATATATATACCAGACCTGTGGACTTTTACACAAAGTAAAATATGGTATATACCAGATCTGTGGACTTTTACACTAAGTAAAATATATATACCAGATCTGTGGACTTTTACACAAAGTAAAATATATATACCAGACCTGTGGACTTTTACACAAAGTAAAATATATATACCAGACCTGTGGACTTTTACACTAAGTAAAATATATATACCAGACCTGTGGACTTTTACACAAAGTAAAATATATATACCAGATCTGTGGACTTTTACACAAAGTAAAATATATATACCAGATCTGTGGACTTTTACACAAAGTAAAATATATATACCAGATCTGTGGACTTTTACACAAAGTAAAATATGGTATATACCAGATCTGTGGACTTTTACACAAAGTAAAATATATATACCAGATCTGTGGACTTTTACACAAAGTAAAATATATATACCAGATCTGTGGACTTTATACAATGTAAAATACATATTAGATTTGTGGACTTTGTAACACATAATGTATTATATATATATACCAAAGCTGCAGACTTCACACAATATAACTTACTCTAATATTTATTAGACTTTCAGTTGAAGGAGAAAATACATGGATTTTCTTTAAATATGTATATCAAAATTGTTATTTTTCACTTAAAATTTAACAGTTATAAACATTGTTTCCTTTGCTGTACCGATTAACCATATTCCAATTGTGGCAAACCGAATACAGGGACGGGTAATGCTCCCCAAATGGGACAAAATTTAAGTATGCAAAATAACAAACGGCAATAAGAGAGTGATGGTTCTTGTGCACTGCACTGTTCCTTGTTGTGATTTATCTACCTATGAAGTTTCATGTTGATACCTCCTATAGTTTTAGTGTAATGTTCCATACAAAATTTAAGAATGAAAAATAACAAAGGGCAATAACTCCTAAATTATGCAAGAGAGAGTGATAGTTCTGGTGCACTGCACTTCTCCTTGTTGAGATTTATCTGCCTATGATATTTGATGTTATAGTTTTTGTGCTATGCTTCTAACAAAATTATGACAGACGGACAGACGGACAGTCGGACGGATAGTCGGAGCGACAAATAGATGAAAAAAGCAGCGACTATATGTCTTCCCTTTGGGGAGATTAACAAAAGGCATAGAGGGTCTGTACTGCTAACCTTTATTGCAAAAATATTGGCTGATATCTTTGATGCTGGAAGTTATCCCAGTAAACCATTCACAATGTTATTCATATCTTATCACCATGGCACCGATAGAAGAACGTACCTTAACATTAGCAACCACTTTTGTGGTGTAAAGTTTGTAGAACTTACTTGTCTGCTTCTATCTTGTAGAAAGTTCCATACCCATCTTCCATCATTGGAGCAACACAACCATAGATCGGTGTGTATCCAACAAAACTGGTGGACAGAACATAGGATCCTCCTCCACCACTGTAACAGGGAGTAAGAAGTTACAATTGTAGTTTGTGATAGTACATGTATGTTGGATCATATATCACACAGCAGTTCCTCCTCAACCATCCATTCTCAGGTTACAGCTTTACCTCCTACTGAAGGAAGGGTCAGTTCTTTATCTCATAGAGAAGGGAGGGTCAGTTCTATTCCTCCTATTGGAATGGGTCAATGACCATATCTCTTGTAGAAGGAGGGTCAGTTCCATTCGTCCTACTGGAGCGAGTCAGTAATCATATCTCTTAGAAAAAGGAGGGTCAATTTCCTATTCTTTAGAGAAGGGAGAGTCAGTTTCATTCCTCCTGCTTGAGTGGGTCAATATCATTTCCCTTAGAGAAGAGAGGGTCAGTTTCACTCCTCCTACTGGAGGAAGGGTCAATTCCTATCTCTTAGAGAAGAGAGGGTCAGTTTCATTCCTCCTACTGGAGGAAGGGTCAATTTCCTATTCTTTAGAGAAGGGAGAGTCAGTTTCATTCCTCCTGCTTGAGTGGGTCAATATCATTTCCCTTAGAGAAGGGAGGGACAGTTTCATTCCTCCTGCTTGAGTGGGTCAATATCATTTCCCTTAGAGAAGGGAGGGACAGTTTCATTCCTCCTACTGGTGAAAGAGTCAGTTCCTTATCTCTTAGAGAAGGGAGGGACAGTTTCATTACTTCTACTGTATAGGGTCAACATCTTATCTCTTAGAGAAGGGAGGGACAGTTTCATTACTTCTACTGTATAGGGTCAACATCTTATCTCTTAGAGAAGGGAGGGACAGTTTCATTCCTTCTACTGTATAGGGTCAACATCTCATCTCTTAGAGAAGGGAGGGACAATTTCATTACTTCTACTGTATAGGGTCAACATCTCATCTCTTAGAGAAGGGAGGGACAGTTTCATTACTTCTACTGTATAGGGTCAACATCTTATCTCTTAGAGAAGGGAGGGACAGTTTCATTATTTCTACTGTATAGGGTCAACATCTTATCTCTTAGAGAAGGGAGGGACAGTTCCTTACCTTTTGGTGAAGGAAGGGTCTGTTCCTTACCTTTTGGTGAAGGAAGGGTCAGTTCCTTACCTTTTGGTGAAGGAAGGGTCAGTTCCTTACCTTTTGGTGAAGGAAGGGTCTGTGTACAGGTCTGGAAGAGGTAATCCTTCCTCCTTTGCCACACAGGATAGACCCAGCAAGTGACGGTCACACCCTACAAACAAACCCAGTAAAATTAAGCAAAAAAACACACAAATAAATAGCATCTTTCAACACAAAGTTTAAATTAGATACAACATGGCTGAGTAAATAATTGAGCTGCTCTTACAACTGCATCATCCCTCTTGATTTTGTCAATGGTTTTCAAGGTCGAAATTGTCAAACCATGGAAAGTGATAATTTTTTCTGATCAGCATGAAAAACTATGGTTTTAAAATAAGCATTTCACAGGCCTACCTTGGAGGTGATTTGCCTCATTCATCAGAGTATTGTGTTTGTTGGCTGCTGCCAAGTACATCTGTACTCGTGTCTCATCCTGAAAAACAAAAATAAAAAGCAAGGTCAAAGGGTCTTTAAGAAAAGGAACAAAAAACCTTCAGAACAATTAATTCTAAGTCATGAAAGAAATGTAATAACATGATTACCTTTCACCTATTGTCAAAGGGAGATAACAACATGAATGTCTCTCACCTGCTGTCAAAGGGAGGGAATAACATGATTACCTCTCTTCTACTGTCAAAGGGAGATAACAACATGAATGTCTCTCACCTGCTGTCAAAGGGAGGGAATAACATGATTACCTCTCTTCTACTGTCAAAGGGAGGTAACAACATGATTACCTCTCTTCTACTGTCGAAGGGAGGTAACAACATGATTACCCCTCTTCTACTGTCAAAGGCAGGGAATAACATGATTACCTCTCACATGCTGTAAAAGTGAGGGAACAACATTTCAAAGTAATTTACACCTGCTTTGTCCATGGTTACTATCTATTTACACCACCAAGGCCATTTAAACTTTCTGAATACCATGGCAACAATTTTCATCAGACAGTTTCAAGTGTATTTTTCTTTTTTGATAGGTTCAAATAGAACCACATATGAGCACTTCATTAATGCCATCTGTTTTACAGTACCAGAACAAAAATGAAAACAAACAAGATTCAGGAAGCAATCAAATTTTAATTTAGTTAACAATGAACATGTACATGAATATCAACACAATCAAGGTTTTTTAAAGGACTACAGTTGTTGTGTGGAGATATTCCATACATGACACTAAGGTATGCATCACAATGCTGATTGTCTATACATGTAAGGGAAAAACAAACAGAATCTGTAACATTATTCAACAATATCCATAACATATATGATGAGACTGGAAGTTAATGAGGCTTCTTGGTGAAACAATGAGCTAACTGACCTGAACGGTCACCTGATCTTTATTTATATAATGCTGCTATTTTTGTTGTTTTGACATGTCACATGACAAATCAACATGTGAATGAATTAAGATTACTTCAACTACATAGTACAGGTGTAATGAAAATTGAAAACATGCATAACATTAATCTGCCAACATATATTAATATTCCAACTAAGTTTGAATGATTTCCATCAGAAATTAAATTATGCTAAAAACTATGATTTAAACTTGACCACCTCCCCAAGGTGTAATGCATGCAAAACCATAGAGTCATGCAATTAAATTTTTTTTAAAGTACCTTAAGACTCATCCAATCAATCCAAAATCTAATTCTATTCAATACCCAGTTTTTGAGATGAAGTTTTTTCCAAATTTTAGTCAATTTAACTCCCTTTTGGCTGCACATCTCTGGCCCCTGAGGACGAGGAACCTTTGGTCAAATTTCCAATATTGCAATTTATTCCTTGTCAATCTTGAGTTTAATTTTGTTACACATGATTGTTTGTTACACACATATACAATGTTTGTTACACATATATACAATGATTGCTGACAAAATGTTACAAATAGCTGACAAATTGTTCTGACAAATTGTTACTGACAAATTATTACACATGTTGCAAAGCTGATAAATTGTTACACAAGCTATATAGCTGACAAATTGTTACATGGACTATATAGCTGACAAATTGTTACACATGTTGCAAAGCTGACAAATTGTTACACAAGCTATATAGCTGACAAATTGTTACACATGTTGCAAAGCTGACAAATTGTTACATGGGCTATATAGCTGACAAATTGTTACACATGTTGCAAAGCTGACAAATTGTTACACAAGCTATATAGCTGACAAATTGTTACACATGTTGCAAAGCTGACAAATTGTTACACAGGCTATATAGCTGACAAATTGTTACACGAGCTATATAGCTGACAAATTGTTACATGGACTATATAGGTGACAAATTGTTACACAAGCTATATAGCTGACAAATTGTTACACATGTTGCAAAGCTGACAAATTGTTACACAAGCTATATAGCTGATAAATTGTTACACATGTTGCAAAGCTGACAAATTGTTACACTAGCTATATAGCTGACAAATTGTTACACATGTTGCAAAGCTGACAAATTGTTACACAAGCTATATAGCTGACAAATTGTTACACATGTTGCAAAGCTGACAAATTGTTACACAAGCTATATAGCTGACAAATGACAAATTGTTACACAAGCTATATAGCTGACAAATTGTTACACATGTTGCAAAGCTGACAAATTGTTACACAAGCTATATAGCTGACAAATTGTTACACATGTTGCAAAGCTGACAAATTGTTACACAAGCTATACAAATTGTTACACAAGCTATATAGCTGACAAATTGTTACACATGTTGCAAATTACACAAGCTATATAGCTGACAAATTGTTACACATGTTGCAAAGCTGACAAATTGTTACACAAGCTATATAGCTGACAAATTGTTACACATGTTGCAAAGCTGACAAATTGTTACACAAGCTATATAGCTGACAAATTGTTACACATACTATATAGCTGACAAATTGTTACACAGGACTATACAGACTATATAGCTGACAAATTGTTACACAGAAAGCTATATACACAAGCTATATAGACAAATTGTTACACAAAAGCTATATATATAGCTGACAAATTGTTACACATGTTGCAAATATAGCTGACAAATTGTTACATGGACTATATAGCTGACAAATTGTTACACAGGCTATATAGCTGACAAATTGTTACACAGGCTATATAGCTGACAAATTGTTACACAAGCTATATAGCTGACAAATTGTTACACAGGCTATATAGCTGACAAATTGTTACACAGGCTATATAGCTGACAAATTGTTACACAGGCTATATAGCTGACAAATTGTTACACAAGCTATATAGCTGACAAATTGCTACACAGGCTATATGGCTGACAAATATACATGTTGTATAACATAAATAGCACCACATACAAAATGTAAAAAGCATATATTTTCTAACTAGATTTAAAACACATCTATCAGGTATTGAATGAAAATTCTTTTCTCACAACCAGTAAAATATTAATGTATCATAGTTCATGTGTGGCACTCACCTTCATCAGACAATTGACCACTGCAGTGTACCAAATGATTATGAAATAAGGTGGGAAAAATGCATTGAAGCAAAATAGTGATAATACTGTAGTGAAAACTGTGACTTATGATCTTCTACATTAGGTGGTAACAATGTGTTATCCTAAGAGAAGCAATTTTGTTACACTTCGTTTCAAACCTGACAAATGTGTAGAATCAATTTGTCCGTAAAATCATAACACCATTTCTTTCATTCTTCCTTTCTTTCTTTCTACTAATTCAATTGAACAAACCATGATATATGGCACCATGTCACAGATGAAGACATATAACAACCTGAATTCAACATAAACAACAGTATACCTGTGTCTATGACAGACAATATTCAAAGACACTATCATGTTGAATCAGAATTCAACATCATACAACAGTACACCTGTGTCTATGACAGAAAATATTCAAAGACAAAATCATGTTTACAAGTCCACATTTTTAAAACATAATTCCTTCTAAATAAAAGAGAATTTCCTACAAACATGGAAATACAAAAACATGTGTAATCTATGCAAAAAATTCAAAAAATAAAAAATGCATCTACAGGTATCACATCACTTTGATAAATTTGTACTACTAATACTAAAACAAAAATCCTGATAGTTTAGTGATTGGGGAGAAACACACTATTTTAGTCCTATTCTCATTCAGAAAGATTATAGCTCTGACACCCACAGCTGTATTATAGTTTGGATGTGTGTTTGTGTAACAGGTCACCCATCTCATCCAGACTTTGGAACAGCATATCACAGAACTTAGCAGCATCAGTGTGAGGGCTGGACTTCCACATTGTAATGGTAGGCACAATTCTGTAAACATAAACAAACTCCTAGTATACTGAGATGTCATATGCATGTTACTAAACATGTTCTCATGTAAATCAGAGAGAAAATTCTTCATCAAATATCGGATTCAGAAGAACTGTAATTGATAACTCAATCAATTAATTAAAAGAAATAAATGTTTAACTTCATCAAACAAGAGAATATCTGCATCTTTCATGTTCAAATATTAAATGTTACCTTCAACACACCCTGAAATCTCCCTCATTATTTTCCTTCACAATCAACTTTGCATACGTTTCCCTGAAGTCATTGATGACCTATGACCCCAGACTTAGCTCCTGATATTCACCCCATCCTTACACCCCATGACCTTAACTCCATCCTTGCATGCCCTGACTTTGGCAAACCATGACCTTCACCCCATTCTAAACTTCCTTAAAATACAAGTACAAGTAATTTGACATTCCTGACCATTACCAACCATCTTCTAACCTAAAAGTCCTCTGACCTTCACAAACTTTCACCTGACCTTGACATGCCCTGATCTTCACCCCACTTCGACTTTTACATGTCTGATCCTCTCCTGACCTTATAACACATGACCTTCACTCTACCCTCTCTTGACTCTATATGCTGTGATCTCTCTGAACCTTCTCCTAACCATGAAATGCCCTAACCTTTACTTCAACCTCTTCATAACCTTCTCCTGACCTTCACCTGCTTAACCTTCACCCAAACCTCTCCAGACCTAGACATGTCCACACCTTAATTCCATCCTCTGCTTACTTTGATGTTTCCTGATTTTCAGCTTACCTGATCTTGGCATTGACATGTCCCAACTTTCAACACCACCCTCTCTTGACCTTCAGTCTCATCCTCTATTGACCTTAAAATTATTTGACCTTCAACCCCACCTTCTCCTAACCTTAACATGCCATGGCCTTCAACCCAATCCTCTCCTAACCTTGACATTCCCTAACCTTCAACCCCATCCTCTCCTAAACTTGACATGCCATGACCTCCAACCCCATCCTCTCCTAACCTTGACATTCCCTAACCTTCAACCCCATCCTCCCCTGAACTTGACATTCCCTGACACGTACTGTTGAGGTTGGATCCTGTAGAAGATTCCATATCCATCTTCCACCATTGGAGCCACAGCTCCATCTGCTGCTGTGTAGCCCGCAAAACTTGTTGACAGGACAAAGTTACCACCACCTCCACTGAAGGGTAAAACATTTGGTAAAGTATATTGATAAGGAACTTTACCTCAATACTGCTTTTACAGCTAAGTTGTGTGAAATTTAAACAAAGTAAATTAGTTAACTGCATATATCAAAGCTCTTTTTCACACTGAAAAATTTAATAATAAAAAACATCATATTTCTGAGCAAATACAAAACATCTCTGCTATAACTTTATGTTCAAACTAAAGAGCCCTTTAATGAGTAAAAACAACCACTTTAAGCCAGTCATTTGTTTGTTTTTTTATTTTTATCTTTCCACAATCCACATGGATCTATAAGCTGTTTTGAATGTTTTAACAGAGATACACAAATCAATCTGGAGAGTGTCATATAACTTAATGGACACCAGATGGATGAGAGTGGGTATGTGTGGACAATTTCACATTTTATATAATCTGTATTCTGATGTCTGATACTTTAACAAACAAATTTGAATTCAGATTGAATCTTAACTAAAATGTTTTCTAAAGCAATTTGTAGAATTTGGCTAAACTATATATAATCATGACACAATTTTGTAACATGTTGATTAAGTTTGATAATTTTTGTGTCTGTAAGAGACTGAAGTTAATGATAAGGATCTGCCTGGTTTTACCTTTTGGTAAAGGAAGAGTCCTGGTAGAGATCTAGATCTGGTAACGGGATTGACTCCTCTTTAGCCACACAGGATAAACCCAGCAGGTGTCGATCACAACCTACAAACAATGTTTTGTCACTCATACATGGGAATTCAAGTGTATTATGTAAAGTTTAGGAAGTTTATAAACCTTTTCAGTCTCTAGTTGCTATTTCTAGCTTAATATCAGCAAAACAGTTTCAACATCTACAAAATCGTCTAGATCAAGGTACAATCTGATTGATCTCACCATGAAAAGCAAAAATTATGGTTCCTGTCGGACAAACAGGACAGACATGGGTAAAACTATATATACACTGAAACAAGATGTGATGGACAAACAGGACAGACATGGGTAAAACTATATGTTGTGGTGTGTCCTATCAGATCACATTCCATTCAGAAGCAATGACATAGCTAAAGAACCTCTCATTAAGCTCTATCATATTATGGCAATCATATGTCAAGGATAAAGGGTTAAAGGTCAAACTGACAACTTTTTACAATTATGGGAGCGAGGACATTTGTGTCTTATGTACATTTTGTAGTTTATGTATTACTGATACAGTTTTTCTATTAAATGGTAATGTGCACTGGGTTATTTTCACTCTTGTACCATTACACATATATTTTAATTTAACTCTCGGATGATTATAAAGAAATGAACATAAATACGAGAAATTTTCACCTCCATCTTAATTTTGCCTTCTCTGTTCATGGACAAAAAGGACCAAAATTAAATTGTTGCCAAAATATTCCTGGCATCACTAACAAACATATTCCTGTCTACCAAATACTGATCTAGTCTTTACAATAATTTCTTGATTGGTAAGCAAATCATACCTTAATGTTGTTTTTTAAGATTCTTCTAGATAACATAAAAATCATTAACCCCTTGCTTTACTCATTACTTTATCAATCTCACCTTTTAAGTTATTAGCCTCCTCCATCAGAAGGTTGTGCTTGTTGGCCGCGACTAAGTACAGCTGCACTCGCGTTTCATCCTGGAGACAAAATAAGACGAAGTGCTCCCTCTTTTGTAGAACTGCTACATATGCCATATGGCAGCACTACTACACACTACTGGTCAACTTTTAAGCACACATCATACAGACTGAGTAGTCATGGTGAAATTAAAAAAAATAAAACCTGTGTGCTTTTTGGTAAATGATTTCGCATTCACTAGCGTCAAAGTAAAATTATCAGACTGGGAGAAATCTAGTACACTGACCACTGACAGGTCAGCTAGGGTCCTGCTATGTGGCTGAAAATCCCTTCCCCAACCTACCAACCCACTCTTAGACATACACACACAGACTAGCAGATTACTGGCAAGTCCTTAAGTACACTCTACTACAAATGTCAAGAAAGACTGTTCCAAATCAAAATAAACATACTAACAAATACATTCAACATGATTTTTCCATTTATAATAACAGTGACCTTGACCTTAGAACTTGAAAAGCACTATCCCAAGCAAGCACTTTAGGTAAGGAAGTATTGTATGAAGATAGATTTAGTTTGGGCAAAGTAAACTCAAGTTATCAAACAGAAACTGATTTTAACTTCAAGTTACTGTGACCTTTGACCTTTTGACCTGAATGGTAATCTTTATCAAACAAGCACTTTTGGTTAAGAAGGTAGATTGCTTACAGCAAACTTGAGTTATTCCACAATATTTGTTTTCCATTTTACCAACAATAACCTCAACCCTTTGACTTCTGGGTCTGAAAAGCAATCCCTAGCGACCACTAAGAAAGCATTGTATGAAGTTTGAGTTTGATTGGCCCAATTTTATATATATTTTTATAAATATTTCTACTTAGGGTGACAGTAATTTGAACCATTGACCCTTACACCTGAAAAGCCATCCCAAATAAGCCATTGTAGCGAGGAAGCATTGTATGAGGCTTTGAATTTGATTGGCGAAAGCAAACTAAAGGGAAGCTGATTTTTCTATTTATAGTAACAGTGACATTGACCTTTGACTGTAAAAACTGTAAAGCAATCCCAAGCAAACACTTTCAGTAAGGAAGTACTGTATGAAGTTTGGATTTGATTGGCCAAGCAGACTCTACAGAAACCAAAATACAGACAGGCAGGCAGACAGATGGACTGGCGAACGAAAAGACGGACAGAGGGAAAGATGGACAGACAGACAAGCTGATTACTATAGGTCACCCGCATTTCAAAAACAAAAATACATAATCAAGAGGATGTTGCTGTTCAATGTTTAAAACTATACAGCTATGGCACCGTCAATCTATCAACAATTCGCTCTATAGTACAGTTTGCTGGAAACATATACATAATCAGTCAGAAGTTTGCCACCTAAGGAAAAATAGCTATTAAGATATTTAAGTAATGAACTGTAGATAACTCTTTGTTAACAAAATGCTTGGCATTGATGAGCAGGCATCTTCAAAATTGAATTCAATAGGGTATATTTTTGCAAGTAAACCTTGCACAATCATTCCATGCAGTCAGATCATATCATTTAAAGAAGTTAAACAAAAATCAACGTAGCTGCTATGGTCATTGATAAAAAAATTTGCATTATCATATGAATGTTTATTAAATCAAATTTCATCAATGACTTATATTGCTTTTGTAAGACAGATGAACAGACAGACAATCTATTGTATAGACACCAAAGTATTTGTTGGGAGGACTAATAAAGGGAGGTAACTGTACCTTCACTGAGGGATCTAGCATTGCCTTGCTCCAATCTAGAGCCTCCTGGGTACAAGACCTCAAAGTTTCCGTCCGTGCATGGTAGAATTGTCGTGTTGTTGCTGTCTCATACGTAGGAGCAGGTCTTAAAATTGACAACAAATATTTCTGAAGTTTGAAAATTGACAACCAATACTTAGCGTTCAATAAACAGGCCTGGGGTTTGAAAATTGGCAACTAATGTTTAGTGTTTTATAAACAGATCTGCAGTCTGAAAATTGACAACTAATACTTAGCGTTTAATAAACAGATCTGCGGTCTGAAAATTGACAACCAATACTTAGCGTTCAATAAACAGATCTGCGGTCTGAAAATTCGCAACTAGCATTTAGTGTTTAATAAACAAATCTGTGGTCTGAAAATTGGCAACTAATATTTAGTGTTTTATAAAGAAATCTGTTGTCTGAAAATTGGCAACTAATATTTAGTGTTTTATAAAGAAATCTGTTGTCTGAAAATTGGCAACTAATATTAAGTGTTTTATAAACAGACCTGTGATCTGAAAATTGACAATTAATATTTTGTGTTTTGACAAATAATACTTAGCGTTCAATAAACAGATCTGCGGTCTGAAAATTCACAACTACATGTAGTATTTAGTGTTTAATAAACAAATCTGTGGTCTGAAAATTGACAACTAATATTTAATGTTTAATAAACAGTTCTATAGACTGTTTAAATCCAATTCATGATAAAAATCAAAAGAGTTTTCATCACTTCAATATTTGATATTACTTTATTTTGAAATATGTTTCAGAATCTCTCTAACAACAAGTAATTCTTTATAACTGGTAACAGAGACCTATTTCAAGAGATGACGTAAGTATGTCAGTAATAATGACCTACTTTTTGTACATCTTGTAGTAGGTGTACTGAAGCGCCATCTGCATGTGAGTGCTGGGATGGAGGTTCTTCGATCTGAGGAATGTTTTGCCGTACTTTGTGTATTCACGAGTAAGAACTTCCAGGTTATCAGCCTGTAAAATTAAATCTTATCACACAACTCCTGCCTAAACACAGAAAATTTTATATCCAGAAATTCAGTTGCAAAAATATCAAGAGACATTGATAAACAAACACACATAAACAAATCCTTATTTGGTATTTGTTCTGAATGTTATAAAAAAAAGTGGAGAACAGCATCATCTTTATTTGCTCCGCATTTTATTTTTATTTTTTTCATTCGACAATTATAATTCAGAAAAGAAGAGATTGATATCAATAGATGTAAAACAACACCTGATTCATTGTTATGACATGTCATGTTAAATATCCTGTTAACAGAGTAATTAATATATCTACCAATGTAACTGGTCTATCAAATACCTAAAGTATTGATTGAGATATGATCATGAAATTGAACATCTGATTCCAGCCCTTATGTCACTAAGAAAGAAAACTGTTCAAATTCAGCTAATTTGACCTCTTTTGGCTCCATCCCTTGAGACTGTTGGGGCTGGACATAGTATAGTGTACATCAATAAACTACCATCCCATATTAATAGTCCTTGACTTAACTGAAAAATACTATTTACATATACATGTATAAATCAAAGTAAAGTTTAACACCTCTCCAGGGGAAATGGACGACTCTGGGGTCATAAAATTCACAGTTTTATTAAACACCATGAGACCTTTTCATCCATGAAATTTCTTCCTTTGGACATAACCTGCCTCTAAAAATGATTCATGACATTTCAGTCAATTTAACACAGTTTGGCTTCATCCTTCATGACTCTTGAGGTCAGTCAAGGTCAAAATGTATAAATCATCCTACTACATTTTTCCATATTCATATAAGTCTGACCAAATTCAATTAATTTCTGATGGAAATAAAAATGAAATTATTGGAGACCTAAAAAAATCAAAATCTTGTGTGGTTGAAGTTAATGGACATGGATCTCTCAACTGTCTTGCTGCTATGAGAAGACTTGGCTAGAAGAGTTTACTGGAGTGAACTTAAATGCCCTTCATTACAGCATCCTACAGGCCAAACATCTGAACTAGAAACCACTTCAATTATTGAAAAGACTATGACACATTTGACCCTTCTGACCTTAAACTTGAATCAAGATCAATCATTCAAGCATACTACTAGACAAGCATTATGACCCTGAGTATTTTGGTAACCCAGAACTTGTTTTTAACACATCTGATTTTTTAACTTTGAAAGTCGATCACTCTTTCATGCGTCTAGCCCTTCTTCATCCGAACTACTGACTCAATATGACTTAGTTACTGAGAAGTCATCTGAATGAAGGAAAAACTTATGTTTGACAGACAATGAATGGAGCAATATGATGGGGCAGGTGTGCTAGAAATCAGCCATGCCCAATGTAAGATTATTACTGGAAGGTGACTTATAAATAATGACATATAGTTCAGTTTCAAGCATTCCTTGAAATTCTACACACTTACTGATGTCCTGAAGAGCTGTTTTGCATTTTTGATTGCTGCCAGTATATCATCATTCACTCGAAATTCAAGCTCCACTGGCTGTGGTTGTTCTCGAATCTCCATAGATCCCTGAAAGTCAAAGTTCAATTCCTTAATATAATGTTCCTGCTGTGACTTTCAAAATTACCAAACTCATCAAAAAAACTTCCTCAATTACCTTGGTACATAAATTTATGAAAATAACATATAATTCTTTATCCAAAGTGGAGGCTAATTACATGATCATTAACATATACACAAGTAATATATATTAATCGGAACATACTTAAGGTTACTCTACAGTGTTTCATGTTTCTTTTTAATACACCAAGACCTTTACCATAAGAAACAATGAGCCATTCCCTTATATTTTGTTATTTGACCAAATAGTGCTGGAGTAAATTAATTATTGAAGGTTGTCTGCTTGTTGAGTTTATCCCTTTGTGAAAAGCCAGGGGTCATTTTGCTCTGAGGTCACCATGTAGTAGTTGGCAGTAACCTCACTGAACAACATGCAGGAAGCAAGCCACATACAATCTGGTGCAGTTAATGTTAGATTTGTAGTGACACTTTTAAATTTACATTGTGTACGGACACAACATAAGTAGATCAAAACTTTCACCTCCATTTGACCTTCTAATGACCTTGTCCTTACCTTCCACTTTCCTTTACATTGCATCAGGTGAAGGTCAGTATACAATAGCATGGTAACAAACATCATGCCATCACATGGAGCATGCTGTAATAGAATGACATAGTGTTTAACATAACATCACCATGATATCATGTAATATAATGTCACATGGAGTGTGTTGTCACATATTATATTATACTGTTATAACAGTTTTTGTTGATAAGATATGTTCATTGCAGTGTTAAATGAGTTGGATCATTTCCTCTTGGCTTATAGTAGTAGGCATAGTCAAAACAGGGGAGATAACTCATTCATAAAAAACATACATCACAGTTTGCTGATCCGAGTCCATTACTATAGAAAATGAATGTGTTACTCTTGTCAAACCAGCGGTTCCCAGGGTCACCAGTAAGTGTGATGTAGAACATCTGAAACACACGAAGTGACATCATTACTGTCAATAGTCATTATGTCTGATTCTGTTTGATGGCCTGTAAATTGACAAACATTAGAAAGAAAGAAAAATACCTTCTATCAGTTATGGCATCTAGATATCAGATATATAAACATATACAGGTCAACAAGGGTCACATGACATCAGCCACTTAGGGGTAATGTCACATGACATCAATCACTTTTGATTAATGTCCTATAACACCAGTTACTGTGGGGTAATGTCATATGACGTCACACATTGTGTGATAATATTGAATGACTTTACAGTAACAGTGAGATAACGGCACCTAGTATTTCAATCACAGTTGATAATGTCACATGACAGCAGTCACTTAAAGGTAATGTCACATGTTGTTAGTCACTTTGGGAAATGTCACATGACATCAGTCACTTAAGGGTAATGTCACATGACATCAGGCATTGTGGTATAATATTGCATGACATTACAGTCAAAATGTGATAATATCGCATGACATTACACAGTGGAAAATGTCACATGACATCTGTCACTTTTGGATCACGTCATATGACACCAGCCACTGTGAGGTTACATTATCACATGATTTTTGTTGCTAAGAGGTAATTTTAACACGAGATTTGTCTGTTGCATAATGATACATCATGTCCATTGCTATCACCAGCTCTTGATTTGTACTATAATTATATATAAAATTCATTAATTGCATTTGTTTACAGTATCATTCAAACATTCAACAACAATATACCTGACAAGTAACAATTTCTGGATGTTTTGTACCTGTAAGGATCTTTCAATGACATTTTAATATATATTGCTAGAAATACCTATTATGTGGTTATTTAGTTTTACAATTAAAATTGATAAAAACAACCCTTCTCCCACCTAGCTGATTTAAGATAAGACGACCTAACTATAGACCATTTAAGTTATGTTTTTAACATACTTACATCAGAATTGTCCTTTGGTTCACTGTCATCGAGGACCACATTGATAATGCTGGACTGAATGAGTTCTAGGTTTGTGTAGTTATTGGGGTGGAGAGCAACCAGTTGGCTTCTTGTCTATAAAATACACATCAATACAACAATGACTGGAATGAACACAAGAAATAAAATCAGAAAATATCTGTGTACCATCTAAACTTAAAATCCAATATCTAAAGTGTCAGATTGTCTTCTTATAATTGTAATGTTGCCTTTTTTAAGCCTGAAAATTATTTTGTTTGAAACCCATTTGTGGTCAAAACTTTAAAAGTGAATTTAAATTACTACTTGTAAATGAAATTTTGTGAATTGTAAAGATAAGAAAATGATAATTTCCATACAATGTCATCACCTTTGCCCATGTTGTGCGTTCATCCCCTGTTAGAGCCCCAAGCCCTGGTCCTTCAGGCTTGGTTTCACACACATCTTTGATCCTTTGTAGTTGGGACTGAATTTCAGGCGGAGTCAGAATTTCACCATTGGCATTCACACCATCAAATGCAAATATTCGTCCTCTGCACATCACAGTCAGATGGCCTGGTGAGGTTCCCTCAGAATCTGAAATACATGCAATGAAGGTCAGATAATTCACTTTTTCAGTATAGAAACACCAAATTATCCTAAAAACTTTAAACTGTATAATTATGTATCACCCCAATATTACAAGCATGCTATGGACAGCAAAATATCTGTTACTCAGGATATAACCTCCCTCAGTCTATTTGAGTAGAAATAAGAAAGTCATTATTTTGTTTCTGTGTCATGATTAAACTTTAATCACTGTTGTTTTGGGTTCAGTGCTCATGTGAGATGAAAACTTTTTTGTCGGCTTGGTTTATCACACTTCGAACAACCAGTGTTATTTTGAGACAGGGTCTCCTTTGAGTAACTGGTGGTTTCTTCCTCGGAAAAAATTACACCCTATCCAAAGCCATCGGGCAAAAGTGCCCTGCAAAAGGACATAACATATCATCTCATCTACCCGACAAACTAACTTTTTTTATGACTGCACTACACACCACCAATCTCCACCTGAAGTAAGTAACAGGTGCAAACCCCAATGTTTAAGCAGATAATGCTACATCTTTTTACAACCAATTAAAAATTCAGACAATTACACTATCTGGTGAAGTATCAACCTGGTTTAAGTTCAAGCTGACTTTTTAATAGGTTAATTCTGACTCTGTTATGACCCTAAATTTTTCACCTGTACAAAACCGTTACATTACCTGTAAGGAAGTAGGAGAGGAGTTTGTCCTTGTTTATTCCAGGTATTCGACATGTGTTATATGCCTTCCTGAATTGTGACATACAGAATCTGTTGCCCTTGCTGTCCTTCTCTGACTTCAGTCTCTCTCTAACACAGAAACAACATGTGATTACAGTCTCTCTCTAACACAGAAATATCATGTGATTACAATATTACAATGCTGTGTATTGATATTGTATCAAAGTGTCCTATATTGCTGTATTACAGTGTAATATCATGTGTAAGGTTTCATATATAGCAAAATATAGAGATCTAATACAGATCAATGTTTTGGTAAATCTGAGAAATTGAAATAAGTTTGATAAAAATGGTGTAATTGTGACAGATAGAAAATAAAAGTCACATCATCTACCTTTTGTATTACCAGCATTGGGAGTTGCATACAAACAAGAATCCTCCCAACTTCTGGTCAATATTTTCCTTAACTGAGAAAGGGGTGTATTTGCAGTAAAATGTATTAATGGTCCACTTTTATAGTCTCTGGAATATTTTAATGTAGCATTTTTTTTACCTACGTATAATTCATACATGATTGCAAGTTACAATAACCTACTTTCTGATGAGTTCCCAGAACTTGAGTGTGTAATGAAGAATGTTGCCAGCCCGTTCGATCTGTGTTCCGGCCTTTGCAGGGTAACAATGGTAAGCATAAGGAAATAGCCCAGCAAGGTTGACGAGTGGGGCAATTGGGTAACGACCCTCAAAGTAGGCAACATCTTCCCACCACTTCTCCAGCTAGTAAAAAATAAACAGAATTATAACATGTATCCTCCACCCAGGGAACAAAACTGAAACTGGGATACAGGCAGCCATATTAATTCTTACTATATTGTTGTTAGTTTCACAACTATATACAGAACTTCTGGCTTTTTCTTAACACAATCACCCACGAGAGCGAAAGAGATAGTTGCCCTAGGTCAGTAAGTAGGAATTGACAATCATTTAGTCAACTTTTCATTAAAGATGGATACTCATTGAATTTGATCAGTAAACTGGTCCATCTGTAGTTTAACTTTTGTATTGTGAAGATTTGAATAGATTATTTCATTGCTATAATGAACACATAGCAAAACTATTTCCAGAAAGCAAGGATTTAATTCAAAGAGTGTTTTTTGAAGTACATGTCATTGATAATCTATAAAAATTATCACTGTATCATGTATCAAGTTTTTCGAAGATTTTGTGTGTTTGTTTGCTGTGTTTTACACCCTGGAAAAAAACCGGGTCATTTTGAGATAACTCTTAGTGGCAACTGGTGCCTTCCTCACCAAACAACAAACCTGTTACATTCAATATATTTGCATTAAAATGTTTATACAAAGGACACAATCAAGACAACACAGACAGGTCTGTTTCTCTGCTTCATTAGAAAAACAAACCAACCCAAGTAGTAATTGTCAAACAACACTCCTCTGGTCACCATCTGAGACTGTAATAATCTACCAACCATCCTATTATGCCGCTTACCCCCATCCCTCCCCAAAATAAGGCGAGCATAATGTTGTGAAACTTTCCAATCTGACTGTGGGACCTAACAAACTACTTGGATTAGACAGTGTGTTAGACTAATACCCAGTTCCTGGAATTCTGTGCCTTGTTCAGTAGTTTCTTCTGAAGCTCTTGGCCCACTCCTGTTTCAAACTTACGGACGATGGACACAGTATTTGTGTACTCTTCAGGTGTGACATGAGGTTTCACTGCAAGATCAGATAAGGAATTATATATATAGAGAGGAATTCAGTACATTATCTATCTGTTGTTATGGTAATACAGAAAGTGATGACATTGCATTTCTTGTAAGGATCTTTATTTAGAATTTGCCCTGGTTGCTATGAGATCAGTAAGAGTTAACCAGTGGTTAGTGAAAACTTCAAATAGTCACCATTGATAAAACAAGAACATTCAAGTCAAGATTAACACACAAAATATGTATCAATCTGGTATATCTCATAAAACCTACTGCTGTTAAAAGAAAAATACAGCTCCAAATAATGATTGATTCATATTTAAAAAAATTACTAACTACTGGCCATGGTTATCTCTAAGTTGAACAATAGGCTTGTTGGAGATAGCAAGTGGTCAGCTAAAATTTTCAAACAAGGTTGGGAACATTCTTTATAATTTCGCAGCTATAGATTTATTGTGATAGGAAAGACTTTTATGTTTTGAGGATAAATTTTGACTTACACATTCCTGTTTTTTTTATGAATGAACATATAAATACAAACATTAAAACCAATTATTTAGTAATCACTTCATATCTTTTTGCTGGTTTCTTGAATATATGTTGTAGGCCATGACATAAATGATATCATACTAAATTAAAGATATTTCTCAAGTGTGTGTTGTATGTAGGTCTTGTGTTAAATAACTCCATACTGAATTCAATGTATTTTTTCAATGTATATTGTAGGTCATGGGATAAATTACTCATACCTGACTCAAGGTATTTCTTGAGTGTGTGTTGAAGGTCTGGAACAGGAAGTGAAGGGAGACTATCCTGAAACTGGAACGTCTTCTCCTTGTCTGACGCAAACATCACATCGGGATCAGGTAGACGCGCTGCCATCTTATCAGGACTGTAAAGAGACATAAGATTAAATTGAACAAAAAAACAGTACTCCTGTACCCTTTGTTATTCCAATAATTTTCCATTGCCTGAAGCTACAGGTGGCCAACAGCTTGTTTTAGCCGAGATGTTAAGTATGGGAGTAGATGCCGCAATAAAGGAATCAATTAAAGCAAAACACTTCATCATTGCTATGAGAATGAAGGGAATAAATCAGAGCAATTTTGCCGTCCACCATTATTTGATCTTTATTTGTTCTTTAAAAGTTGGATATTTTTCCTTCTTTTCTCTTCTTTCTTTTGTTTTTGCTCTTTATGATACAAAATTAGAACATTCCAAATCCAAGATGGCCACCTATCAGCCATTTTATTCTTTCAATCAGTCCCAAAATCAAAAGGCACAACTAGGGACCAAGGAAAAACCTACATATGAAATTTGAGAAAGATCCATTTAGTACTTCTAAAGAAATAGTGATAACAGCTATCATTGTTGAAATCCATGATGGCCACCTGTCGGCCATTTGGGTTTTCTAATCAGACCTAAAATCGAACAAGCACAGCTATGTACCAGGGGGAACTTCCATATAAGATGTGAGAAAGATCCATCCAGTACTTCCAGAAATAACCAAAATTGTTTCTGGACAGACAGACAAATGACAGATCACAGATGAAGTGCGATTTGAACAGCCGCAAACAATGCCTATCATTTATACAAATTTAATTCTGGTACCGGTATTTGAAAACTGTATAAACCAAAACCATAACTCAATCATACGCTTCATGGATATTCACAGGTATAAAGAGGTAAAGGTTTATAATAACCCAAGGTCATGTGACCTTGAAACTGGGTCAAAGTCATTTAACACAATATAGGCTTTTATTTCAGCATCCTACATTCCAAGTATCATAATCGTAATTCAATTGGTCTTTCTCAAAGTTTTACACATTCAACTTAGGTGACCTTTGAATTGGACAAAGGTCATCCCTACAGGTAATTAGATAAATATCATGGCCCTTGAGATCAGGCTTTTTGAAAGGAATTATAATATAAAGTATAAGACATCGCAACTGACATAAAATTTAACCTTCACTGATGTATTATCAGAATCTTCAAGGGATGAAACTGCTACAGAGCTTACAAGGATTTTCTAAAAATTTCAGCAATGACCTAGACTTTCAATCTAGCTAGCCTCAATTCCACTGTACCCTGGCCGACTGATATCTAATTACCATCACCTATTTACAGAAATATGTTATCATACTACAAGTAGGTAAACTGTAGGTCAACAGACGGGATTCTGATACATAAGTTGTTTATCTACCTGTGTTCACCTACAATTAAAAATGCAGGTGTCTACATTGATATGATTTGTATAAGTACCAGCCACCACGTCAGATCTAGCGACTGGCTGTATATTATCCAGGATATAGACACTAATCTGATGCTGGGAACATAAAGCTATTTAAAAACACATTCACTATAACCTATTGAATTATAGCTTTGTATAGTCATATATTCACTAACTTCCTAGCTATCATCACAAGGACATATACTAATATTTCTTATCAATAGTAATTACAGAATACTTGTGGCCCTTTGGTATGTAGCCAGCCATTCTACCATCCTACTAAAGCCAAATTCTCACTAGCCTAGACTTAGAAAATAAGGCAATCTGCACTTCTACATTAATTCAGTACTGTACCACGAATTTCATTCCTGCTGATGAAGCTCGGCTGCCTGACTACGCAAATGTTTTCAGACTTGCCTTACCGATCTGATTCTTGTTTAAATTACCAATCTCATGTTAAACAGTTCTAATTACTTGCTGATATTCTTATTACAAAATAATTTATTCTTTACTTCCACCTCCAACTAAAATATGTAAATTCCAGCTAGAGCAACATCTGCACTCATGCTTATCAGATATATGTTGCCTTAATTACTGAAGTAGTAAATGCACAGTGAGATTGGGGTTTGAACCCAGTCTCCTCTGAACTCTAGACTGAGGTCAGGTTCGGGTTCGAACCCAGTCACCTCTGAACTCTAGACTCAGGTCAGGTTCGGGTTTGATCCTAGTCCCTTCTGAACTCTAGACTCAGGTCAGGTTCGGGTTTGAGCCCAGTCCCCTCTGAACTCTAGACTGAGGTCAGGTTCGGGTTTGAGCCTAGTCCCCTCTGAACTCTAGACTCAGGTCAGGTTCGGGTTTGAGCCTAGTCCCCTCTGAACTCTAGACTCAGGTCAGGTTCGGGTTCGAATCCAGTCTCCTCTGAACTCTAGACTGAATGAGCTACCTAACCAAATCAATCAATCACAGAGTCTTCACCCACAAAGATGCATCTATTTATAACCAAGGATCAGGTGTCCTCTTGTCACCCATTCAAACACAAGAACTTCCTATGTTGTTGCCAATGACTGACTTAGTCTAGTAATCATAACAAAATAATTACTCATTGATTCCCAATACGATTGTGATGTATATTTGGCTTAACATATATAAGAAATTTTTTTTTTTTCTCAAACATGCTTGTGACAACATCAACAACCGAAATTGACATATACGATGCTTTAGTTGCTATGACCTGCTACAGACAATAAATACACAACAGGGATCGACTTAAAGAGGTGTTAGCCGAACCATGGGGATGCCGAATCAGGCCTTTTTATCTATACAGCAAAAAGTTGTTTTGTTTCTAGATCTAGCAGATATCATATAATAATACTACATATTTTAGAAGCAAAATAAATACTTTTTCAGATAGTCCGACTATGCAGTCTGGACCTTGGACTTCTGCTAAAAGATTTCCTCTGTAGAATATTATTTGTGACGTACCTGCTGCACAGTTCGCGAACTAACACGCGCACGGGGGTACTACTGCTTACTGGAGAGTTCAGAGGAATTTGTCGGAATCTTGTCAACATGCATCCTGATCTGATCAGACACAACGACCTCCTAATTCTCATATCGTCACACAAGACCGATCTTTGATCTGTTGACCTACATACTTCAAACATCTACCTAATGGCGGTAGGCAGCCAGTGCAAAGTATATGTAAATGGAAAACGAAAATCGGGTTAGGACAAGGGAAATAACTCGTGCATATAAGTCTCCATATTTTCATCTTCGTTAAAACATTTCCAAATTATTTCTAAAAATGATTATTCTTTTCATTTTCAATTGTTTAAAACATGTATTCATTACAACATTTTGCAATAGCAGACCCATCAAATATGTGGTTCAAGTGTTTCAGCTTGCCAATACATGTTTGGAGAAACAACTAGCTCCATCACCTGTACCAGATCTAGAGCACAAGTTTAAGTCCAAGTCTTCAACTTGTTCACCAAGTGATTAGTCTACACTTAACTGTACAGCCAACCCCAACCTGTTTTTTCTCAAAACTTTGTAGTGCTAAATTAATTTCACGTAATTCATTCAAGGAATCAGCCTGTTACATGAATATTAGGTTTTCAATTCTTCCAAAGAAACACTTTTTTTAAGACTTCAACTAGTAATAGTATTATGCATCAAGTGCACAAGTTTGAATCCTTAATTGTTGGGACATTTGATTGAAGGTGTTTTCTATGAAGTCAACTTAAATTTTATATGAGTGCTAAACTCGATAGATTTCAATATATATATATGGTTCCTCATGATTAAGCTTTATATATGACCCATGTAAGTAATCATGCAAGATTTGATCATATCATGTAATCATATCTTGTATCCAAGACAACTTTTCATGAATATTTGCTGGTCTCTATAACCAGAACTGACATATCTTTTGTCTACTTTCAAAATAGGAAATAGCTTTACCCTTAACACCTACATTTTCTCTTGCAGTGTTATAAATTGTTCCCTTAGAAACTTAAATCAATGGTTCAGCTGCTGATGAAAATACTTGTAAAGGCCAGATTAGGTTACAATCTGGTGTGACCAAATTAACCTATTGGTTAACAGGTAAACTTTGCTCTTTAGGCAAGTTGAGCTTAAAGTGAACAAATAAAACAGCAAAACAATATTTTTCTAAAAAATGCATCTTTTATTTTGATGTTGCATTACAGAGTTGCAAATTCATAGTTCAATTACTTATCAAACCATCATGTTTTTGCATTGAAAATTGCACAAAACAAAACTCAATAGATATAACACATATTTTAATGTTTTGAAATCAATATCAATACCTGTTTTGTAATTACAGACATGTACACTGGGAGTATAATTTACCATAGTCTTAAAAGTTAAATTCATTCCCAGGTAAATTCTCTCACATGCTAAATGAGCTCAACATGATTATATCTCCTATATATATATATATATATATATATATATATATAATACTATTTGTATTTATGAAATTTTCTTATTATGCAGTGTCACCAACATCCCTGATTTAGTCATGTCAGCCTGACACTGGCCATAGGGTGATAAATGCTAAAATCACCTTATATTTTCTCATTTTGGTGCTGTACTTGAAATATTCATATCAATTTTATCAACATAACATAGAACATTATCTTAATACATACTGATATGATTTTTATATAATTTAGTTGATCATATGCCTTTTTCCTTGATGACCAATTAAAACACTGTCACCCTTGATTTTTAAGGCTAGGACCGGATATTGTTTGCCACAGTGTTGGCAACACCGATTATGATTTCAATTATTATGTAGATATTCTCCACAAACTGAAGTATTAAAAGTGATCTCTTCAGATGTGCTTAAAACTAGTGTAAATCTTTCTATTAAAAATCGTAATATGCAAAAAAAGTATTGATTAAATAAATGGCAAAATCAGGTTGATGTCAATAGATAACTTACTGGTAAATGTATTCATTTCTTGTAAATGTCAGTAAGTAGCTTTAAACACTTAAGTACTGATGAAGTTATCTGCTTCACAAGCTTTTCATACAGGCACTTATATACATCAAGTCCAATTTTTTTTTTAAATCTAATATGTACATGTATAGGAGTTAAAGGACAAAAATTGGCCTCTTTGAATTTATATATTTATTTTTTTTGTGTATTACACATGGAAAGTTGTTCAACATCACTTTCATCAGTTTTCGTGTTTTAGAACTGAATCTTAGCCCTTTATTTATTTATTTATTTATTTATTTAACATGTGTTACATCCACCATCACAGCCATTCTGGCTTTAAGTGGAGGAATATGTTAACCATCAAACAAATGTATCAATAACAAATCTTAACCAATTAAAACCCGTGTCTTAAACTAATCAAAGCCTGTGTCTTCAGCCAATCAAAACCCGTGTCTTTAACAAATCAAAATTGTATTGTATTTTTCTTTTTATAAAATAATACCTGTAACTATAAACATTCCTGACCCATAAGACATAAACAGTAAAATAAAAATCATGTAGATTGTATCAACATACATTAAAACACTGATCAATGACACTGTAAAAATCACAAACATAAACAAATACATCATAGCGTCTATCTTCTACATATGATAATGAAAACAAATGACTAAACACACATGTACAGCAAATCACAGATTAAATCTTAAATTTTAAACGTCTTCCTGGTTTAACTTTTTTTTATTTTAATTTGTCCCTCAAACCGTAGATCTTTTCTTTTCTCTTCTCCTCTCTCCTCTGTTCTTGCTCTTATTTTCAATAGTAAAATACATTATTATCCTTTCTCCATAACTTGAAAAAATCACTCTTTATTTCTGCTTCTTCTAAATATGCGACAAATGCTAATACCAGAAATAAAACGATTCATTCAAATTCATTAAGAAAGATTAAAAATCATGACTGCCAAAGATTGAATTTTTTTCATTTGCCTTTTTTGAATTAAATCATTTCTACTAGAAATTTTTAATTATTCAAAGACAGAATATTGCAAACTTTAACAATATGTTGTGGACTAACACAAACACTTGTCAGAAAACAATTTATGTTTGACTATCCGAATATTGAGGCTTGTCAATACATTACCAACTGGTTCATTTTTTTGCAGGCATTGTGTACACAATTGAAAAAAACAAAATAAAATGGAATAACAAAATATGACGTGAAGCTACTTTAAAATATACAAAACTGATAAAAGACTAGAGAGGTTCGCTTGTACATACATTGGAGAACTTGCATGACAGCAAAGAAAAGGTCCAGGCACCTCTGGACTTTGCTGCCATATGTATCCTGACACATTTAAATGAAAAGAAAAGGTAAAGGTCAAACCGAGAGCTACAAAGGGAGATAACTAGGATAGCACTGTCACTGTTTATTATACCCTTTTTTGAACAATTGCACTGTTGGTTGATTTATAAAATCAAGTCCAACAAATTTCAATAGTCAGGTGGTCTCCTTTGACAAGACGTGACTTTAACATTTGTATGTTTGTCAGACCTTTTTAATACTAAATTTGAAATGTAAATGAACTAAATATTATTTTCTGAAGCAAGGAAAAGACCCCCATCCTGTCAATTTTAAAATGCAACTAAACATTAAGTTTCATCAGACATATCATTCCAAGCTGTAGTTATAAAAAGACATTGGTCATGGAGTAAACATGTGAACACTTGGACGTAGACACTGAACAATGATTTCTATCATCCATGGTCTCATTTCAACACAATGAAAAACACACTTCTCTAGGCTATAAATATTTCTCCAATGTTGTACAGGTTTGAGCTACTTCACCGGGATGAAAATTTTACACATGTATATACATTGGTATCCCTATATTTAGGCACACATCATACTTTTTTGAGAAATCATTTATCACAGTAAATCTTTGCCAGATGTTTAATTTTGTGCTACCATTATCAACCAGTTATATAACAAAAAATCTCTCAGATAACTAAAGGATGAAGCTTATACTTATTACTTATACAGTATTACAGGATATCAAAACCTGAACTGAATGAGTTAATTTTAAATTGGATATGTCCAGCAGAATACACATATATATGGTAGTTTTAGTTTTGAGCCAATCAGGTGCTGTATTGAATACAGTATTTGCCTATGTTTAAGGTAGATAACAATGAGAAGAAAGTTGCAGGTTTTCTTTTGGTATTTTGATTCGTCCTCCATAAGAGCACTTCAGTGATTCCACCCGAGCCATAAACAATGATAATATGAAATATGAAAAAAAAACATCTTTCATAACATTCAAAGAAAAATAAAAATTAAAACAATATTTACAAGATAAAATGTTCATCAAAAAGATGACAGCTACATATAATTATATGTATAATATTGGGTAAATTCCGTGTAAATATTAAGTGATATAAAATAAAACTTCAAACATAAAAATCAATTTTCTGTCAAACCAGAATCTTTCCCTTTTTATATTTACTTTCCTAATTCAATATCACAGACTCCTGGTATAAAATTTCGGCCATTTTCTAATAATTCCAGTCTCTAAGGAAGAGACACAATACGCCCTATTTTTGCCTTGACTTGTAGAATTCAATACAAACTTCACAATTTTAAGTGGCTACTTCAGCAGTTCCTGTAAACTTTACTTAATACTTGATCTATGTAAACACCTTCTCCTGTCTGACCAATCTAAATGGTTATCATTGTTTATTGAGGACACCATTATAGCTTTGCAGTATTTGATGTCATTGTATCCAGCAGGTTGCCCAGCTCTTCCAATGCATCCATCATTCCACTGGCAAATTTATCAGCATCTGTCTCCTCACTGACCCGCCATGATGTTACCACTGGAACAATCCTGAAAATCACAAGTATTGTATTTAACATGTGACTTGCTGTAACCTTATCACAGACACCTAAATCATACTAGTATTGTATTAGATGTGTGATCCAATGATATCCTAAAACATACAGGTATTGTATGTGAAAACCACAAATCATATCAACCTTGTTAACACTCGTTAGAAATGACTTATACATGTCACAGGTACAAAACACATGTCACAGGTACAAAACACATATCAAATGTACAAAACACATGTTACAGGTACAAAACACATATCAAATGTACAAAACACATGTTACAGGTACAAAACACAAAGCACAGGTACAAAACACATATCATGGGTACAAAACACATATCAAATGTACAAAACACATGTTACAGGTACAAAACAAATATCACAGGTACAAAATACATATCATGGATACAAAACACATATCACAATTACAAAACACATATCACAGGTACACAACACATATCACATGTACGAAACACATAACAGGTACACAACACATAACACAGGTACACAATACATATCACAGTTACACAGCACATATCACAGGTACACAACACATATCACAGGTACACAACACATAACACAGGTACACAACACATATCACAGGACAACACATATCACAGGTACACAACATATATCACAGGTACACAACATATAACACTGGTACCAAACACATATTACAATATACGTTAAAGAGAAATATACAATATCATCCTATGTACAACAGTTCCTGATGCCTTACTTTTCTGCCTCCACTCTGTAAAAGGTTCCATATCCATCCTGTACCATTGGAGCCACAGCTCCATAGCAGGTCGTGTAGCCGACAAAACTAGTCGACAGGACAAAGTTACCTCCTCCGCCACTGTAACACGGATAAGATATCAATGTTCAAAAATATTGTTAGACATTTTCCTTCAGGATGATATCTTTATTCAGAGGTTGTGATATCACAACAGTACAGAACCTGGCTATAAATAATCTGTGTCTCAGATCAATAACTTAACACTATGAGATAATGCCACATACACAAAAACATACAATTGACTGGGACAATTACGATTATGTAGTGGGTAGCGAAGACTACTTCAAGCAGTAGATCAAGGAAGCCATCAGGACATACAGCAATTTGTCTGTTCTAAACAGGGACGAGGGGGTACATAGACTCTTGCAAATCTATGACCAGGTTTTAAGCTCAGCAGAATCATTTTTCTTGGGATAGAACATTTAGCTATGAGCCAGTCTCAACTCAGGCCATCACTCATATATGTGCTAGTATTAACAAGTTCAACTGGGGAAATCACCCAAAGAATCTCTAATAACTGTACATATCATGTTTACCTCAAGGCAGCCATTGATGATATTATCAAATTACTTAATCAGGCAATGTGCAAAAAGTGCCACCACAAAACAATAAAGACATTTTCACTTAAACTGCAATAGATTTAGTTCGACTTATAACAACACATTTGCATGTTGGCAGACAAATAGGGGAGACAATTAATATACGTTTGTCTCTGGAAGAAAATTTTACTCTTATAAACATTGATACACCATTCTGATGATGTGTGTGCCAGTATTACAACACTCAGAATGGCAGACACTTAATTAATTTTAAAGCCATCTTATATCTTGGATGAAAAAAAAACAAAACAATGCATAATGGTTTACATAATAAGTGCATCAGATATCTGGTAAGATCTATTTCAAAGGGTCAGATGTGCTCTCTGACCCTTTAACCTAGGCCATTGACCTTTGATGTCTAATCAGATAAAGGACTTGTGGTGCCATTGTGTGAATATGGCCAAAATCTTACTGGGGGTTAATGAGATATCTTGTTCACAACTTTTTGATTACAAAAATGATAAATATGACCTTTGACTCTTAAACCTTGATAGATGACCTAAAAATATATCTATGCACAAAGCTTGATGAACCTGATGTTGTAATCTGACACCCACTCATATCTGCATACAATAAGTGATTACTTTACACCTGTACCACTATACTAAGGGAATGGGTAGGGGGAGTATGACACATTTGACAACAAGGAATCCAAGGTGCTTACTTGTTTTAGTTTTTAATCAGACTTATCATCATGATATGAGGATACCAATGTATCAATATTTTTATACTAAATATTCTGTCAGAAAATGGCACAGTCTACATTACTCACCTCTTTTTATAGGAAGAGTCTTCATACAACAGAGGAGTAGGAAGTCCCTCCTCCCGAGCGATCAACATCAGGCCTAACAAGTGGCGATCACAACCTTTAACCAGAAACAAACACCAGTTATACACCGAGAATATTTACAACTTTTAACCAGAGACAAACAAAACTGATAAACACAGACATACACCAGTTACACAAGAGAAAATTCACATTACATGTGCCATCATTCCTTGACTGGTCAAAAGTAAGATGAATCAACATATTGACTAAAGAAAAGCTTAAAAACAGTAACATTTTATTGCACGGAATATCTATTTATTACAGCGACTTGTTACTATAGTGACATGTTATACCTTCTTTTCCTCTGACACCAGTTCTAATTCTGTACTTAAGTCACCTCTGACCTCAACTCTTACCTTGTAGTTAAGTCATCTCTGACCTCAGCTCTTACTTTGTAGTTAAGTCATCTCTGACCTCAGCTCTTACTTTGTAGTTAAGTCATCTCTGACCTTAGCTCTTACTTTGTAGTTAAGTCATCTCTGACCTCAGCTCTTACTTTGTAGTTAAGTCACCTCTGACCTCAGCTCTTACTTTGTAGTTAAGTCACCTCTGACCTCAGCTCTTACTTTGTAGTTAAGTCATCTCTGACCTTAGCTCTTACTTTGTAGTTAAGTCATCTCTGACCTCAGCTCTTACTTTGTAGTTAAGTCATCTCTGACCTTAGTTCTTACTTTGTAGTTAAGTCATCTCTGACCTCAGCTCTTACTTTGTAGTTAAGTCATCTCTGACATTAGCTCTTACTTTGTAGTAAAGTCATCTCTGACATTAGCTCTTACTTTGTAGTTAAGTCATCTCTGACCTTAGCTCTTACTTTGTAGTTAAGTCATCTCTGACCTCAGCTCTTACTTTGTAGTTAAGTCATCTCTGACATTAGCTCTTACTTTGTAGTAAAGTCATCTCTGACATTAGCTCTTACTTTGTAGTTAAGTCATCTCTGACATTAGCTCTTACTTTGTAGTTAAGTCACCTCTGACCTTAGCTCTTACTTTGTAGTTAAGTCATCTCTGACCTCAGCTCTTACTTTGTAGTTAAGTCATCTCTGACATTAGCTCTTACTTTGTAGTAAAGTCATCTCTGACATTAGCTCTTACTTTGTAGTTAAGTCATCTCTGACCTCAGCTCTTACTTTGTAGTTAAGTCACCTCTGACCTTAGCTCTTACTTTGTAGTTAAGTCATCTCTGACCTCAGCTCTTACTTTGTAGTTAAGTCATCTCTGACCTCAGCTCTTACTTTGTAGTTAAGTCATCTCTGACCTCAGCTCTTACTTTGTAGTAAAGTCATCTCTGACCTCAGCTCTTACTTTGTAGTTAAGTCATCTCTGACATTAGCTCTTACTTTGTAGTTAAGTCATCTCTGACCTTAGCTCTTACTTTGTAGTTAAGTCACCTCTGACATTAGCTCTTACTTTGTAGTTAAGTCATCTCTGACATTAGCTCTTACTTTGTAGTTAAGTCATCTCTGACCTTAGCTCTTACTTTGTAGTTAAGTCACCTCTGACCTTAGCTCTTACTTTGTAGTTAAGTCATCTCTGACCTTAGCTCTTACTTTGTAGTTAAGTCACCTCTGACCTTAGCTCTTACTTTGTAGTTAAGTCATCTCTGACCTCAGCTCTTACTTTGTAGTTAAGTCATCTCTGACCTCAGCTCTGACCTGGTAGTTGAGTCACCACTGACACCAGCTCTTACCTGTTAGTTGAGTCATATCTCTGACACCAGCTCTTACCTTGTAGTTGAGTCACCATTGACATCAGTTCTTACCTTGTAGTTGAGTCACCTTTGACATCAGTTTTTACCTGTTAGTTGAGTCACCTTTGACATCAGTTTTTACCTGTTAGTTGAGTCATACCTCTGACATCAGTTCTTACCTTGTAGTTGCGTTGCCTCTGACATCAGCTTATTGTGTTTGTTTGCTGCCCTCATGTACAGTCTGATCTTTTTCTCAGTCTGAAACATTTTGATTTTCACAGCTTTAATGTTACAATCTTTATCTTTCATGAATAAGATAATCAAAAGTTTAAAATATCTTTAGGCAATCCATATATAGCAGAATACACCAATGACATTTTTTGATTTCAAATCATGGTGCTGTAATAATACCAGTCCCCTTGTGGGCCCCATAAGCTATTGTACTGTAATGATTTATAAATTTTCTAACAAGAGATCCCAGTGGTATTTTGGCATCCACCATTATTTGGTCTTTATTTGTTCTTTGAAAGTTGGACCTTTCCCCTTTCTTCTCTCTTCTTCTCTGTTTTAGCTCTTAATGACTTGAAATTTGAATATTCCTTTACAGAAATAGTGATAATAATCTTTAATCCAAGATGGTCAGCTGCAAGCCATTTCCCTTTTTTGATCAGTTCAAATATCACCCGGGCAAAACCTGAGACTAAAGAGAACCTATGTAAGAAATTTGAGAGAGATCTATTTAGTACTTCTTAAGTAATATAGATAACAAACTTTCCAAGTGAAAATCCAAGATGGCTAACTTTCAGCCATTTCGTTTGACTAATCAGTTCCAAAATCGAACTGGCACAACTAGCGATAAGGGAAACCTATGCATGAAACTTGAGAAAGATCTATGTAGTAGTTCTCTAGAAATAGTGATAAAAAACTTTTAAAGTCAAAATCCAAGATGGCCACCTGTCAGCCATTTTCTTTTTCTGATCAGTCCCAAAGTCAATCTGGCACAACTAGAGACCAACTGGAACCTACATAAGAAAATTTGAGAGAGAATCATCCAGTACTTCTCAAGCAATAGTGTTAACAAGAAAGGTTTACAGATGAACAGACCACGGACGGACGGATGGACTATTGACCATGCACCACACACCAAGCACCATTGATGTAGGGCATTTTGAACAGCTCACCATCATTAGATAGTGGGCTAAAACATTGACCTAGACCTTGACCTACCAAATAAATACCTTTCATGTCTTGTACAGCTCTGTGAAAACACCTTCCTATAGTACTTACTGATGTACTTGGGTCCACCATTGCCTTACACCAATCAACAAGTTCAACTGTACATGATCGCAGCGTCTCTGTGCGAGATCTGTAGAATTTACGAGTAGTAGCCGTCTCATATGTAGGTGCTGGCCTGTAAAAATTTAATACATTTACATGAATACTTTCTGAACCAGAACTCTACTGGAAAATACAGGGTACATTTATAGTGGTTGTGTTCTCACAGAACATCATTAGTATCTTTAATATTTTATACTGATATAGTTACCTCGTATACACAGAAAAAAGTTGGACTTCAATTTATAACAAATATTTTTCTAAGAGATCACCATTGTAGCTGCCTGCACAATTGTATAATTGAAACCATTTAAACTGGTCACCCCTCACTTTATGTAACATGGATCTATACATTTGCTAATATTGACAAAGGTTTAGTTAAGAAGTAACAAGTAACCATGTTAATGTTTCTGGTGGCAAGTGACTATGACGGCGGTTTGCTAAAAGTCTATTATACAGTAGTTACAGGTAATCATGTTTCTGGTGGTATGTGGCTGTGACTGGAGTTTGTTATACAGTAGTAACAGGTAACCATGTTTCTGGTGGTATGTGGCTGTGACTGGGGTTTGTTATACAGTAGTAACAGGTAACCATGTTTCTGGTGGTATGTGGCTGTGACTGGGGTTTGTTATACAGTAGTAACAGGTAACCATGTTTCTGGTGGTATGTGGCTGTGACTGGGGTTTGTTATACAGTAGTAACAGGTAACCATGTTTCTGGTGGTATGTGGCTGTGGTAGAGTTTGCCAACATTCTATTAATTAGTAGTAATAGGTGAATAGGTGACCATGTTTTAGGCGGTAAGTAGTTGTAATAGGGCTTTGTTAACAGTCTAGAACCATATCATTAGTGTTAAATTTCTTATGTTACCCTGATATATATTCTGGTGATCATCTGACACATCAACATTTAACATATCATTAAAATAACATTATAGTGACTAACAACTATCTGAAAATAACACACAGTAAACTTGGTGATCTTCCTTAAAAATAATGATTCAAAGATTAATGGCAGTCTTTACTTCTTATGCATCTTGTAGTAGGCATACTGCATGGCGAGTTGGACATGTGTGTCTGGATGAAGGTTCTTAGATCGGAGATACTTTCTACCATACCCCAAGAAGTGTTTTGTGCAGCAGCGTAAATTGGACCCCTGAAAAAAAAATAAAACTTTAACATGGACTATTTCATAAATATTTTCTAAATAATGAAGGAATTATGAAATAACTTTCTGCATGTTGTTAAAAAGATTGCACAAAAGACACAATAGATTAGCATCTCTTAATACAAATTTAGAATTAGATACACTAGAGTCAAACAATGAATTGAACTACATCATACAGCTATATTTGTCCTTCTAGGACAAGACAGTGATATGAAGGGCCTCAATTTTGAAGCTTAGGAATGGTCTGAGGAAAATCAAAAGTGACAGAAACAAATGTCAAAACTTAGATGAGGAAGTACAATAAAACCGTTGGATGTGCAGTTGAAAGAAACCCAGTGTGTATGTTCCTTGGTATTCAAAAAATACTTAATAATGCCTTTTTTTTAAATTGAAAACCAGAAAATGTAACCCATTACTATTCACAATGTCTTCTTTGGCCCTTTAATCTTGACCAATGATAACCTTAAAATGAATTGGTTTAAAATGTGAAGATACAATATGAACAAGACAGGCAGAATCGGTTAGACCAGGACAGAACGGGAGGAACAGAACAGAAGAGAGACAGGATGGGACAGAACATGACAGAGACAGCTGGGACAGAACAGGACAGATACAGGATGGAACAGAATGGGACGGAGACAGCTTGGACAGAACAGGACAAAGACAGGATGGGACAGGATTGGACAGAGATAGGCCTGGACAGAAGGGGATGGACACAGGTACAGAACAGTGACAGAATGGGAGAGAGACAGGAACAGGAAGGTGACAGGAGGAGACAGAATGGGACAGAGACAGTCTTGGACAGAAGAGGATGGAGACAGGTACAGAACAGCGACAGAATGGGAGAGAGACAGGATGAAGAGACATGGATAAACACTATATGCACCATATAAAGAGACTTAACATAAAAATAGTAATCATACATCATTCTGAAGGAATTATATACTATCTTACATCAACATATGTATCTATGACAAACTGAGATCAGATCAAATCCTAAGACATTAAACATCTTCACATAACTTACATAGGCAAGGTACATTTGTCTTGCCTTGGTTATACCAGCCCGGATGACATCATCAATGTGAAACACTAATTCCTCTGGCTTGGCAAGATCTCGAATTTCTGTGGAGCCCTGCAAACAATCAGCATTGTTATGAAATACATGTATCTACAATATAACCGTCATAAATATTCAATGAAATATCACTTCAATTAATAATTCATAAAATTTCAGTATCTACTTCTGTTTGAGTACTTACTTTTACCATAAAATGTGATTTAGTAAAATAACATTATATTTTGTTTAAATTAGATAAAAGATCAAATATGTACTGATGACATCATCAGTGTAATAAAACCAATTCCTAATAAGGATTTTGGTCATTTGTTTTGTACATCACATCATGTGTGTGATACTTGCTAAATATAGAATGACTAAATGCTTTACTAGAAGTTCACCTGCCCTTTCCCTTTACATCACACCAGTTCAGTAAATATAGAATGACTTAATGCTTTACTAGAAGTTCACCTGCCCTTTCCCTTTACATCACATCATGTTCAGTAAATATAGAATGACTTAATGCTTTACTAGAAGTTCACCTGCCACTCTCCTTTACATCACATCATGTTCAGTAAATATAGAATGACTTAATACTTTACTAGAAGTTTACCTGCCACTCTCCTTTACATCACATCATGTTCAGTAAATATAGAACGACTAAATGCTTTACTAGAAGTTTACCTGCCACTCTCCTTTACATCACATCATGTTCAGTAAATATAGAACGACTTAATGCTTTACTAGAAGTTCACCTGCCACTCTCCTTTACATCACATCATGTTCAGTAAATATAGAACGACTAAATGCTTTACTAGAAGTTCACCTGCCACTCTCCTTTACATCACATCATGTTCAGTAAATATAGAACGACTTAATGCTTTACTAGAAGTTCACCTGCCACTCTCCTTTACATCACATCATGTTCAGTAAATACAGAAAGACTTAATGCTTTACTAGAAGTTTACCTGCCCTTTCCCTTTACATCACATCATGTTCAGTAAATATAGAACGACTAAATGCTTTACTAGAAGTTTACCTGCCACTCTCCTTTACATCACATCATGTTCAGTAAATACAGAAAGACTTAATGCTTTACCAGAAGTTTACCTGCCCTTTCCCTTTACATCACATCATGTTCAGTAAATATAGAACGACTTAATGCTTTACTAGAAGTTCACCTGCCACTTCCCTTTACAGCGCATGATGTTGAGGTCAATAAAGAATGTACTGGAGACAACTATCATGGCATCCATTGGCGCATGCTACAATAAAAAGTAATAGTCAAAATTTATTCCAACAAAACTTTTATAAATCTCAGTAAAACACAAATATCCGTCGTTGGACATATCAAGTAAATTTCTTTTTTTAACAATTTACCTTACTAATATTTCCACTTATAGCAAGACTTACATCTTACTTTTTTCTGATCAATTTTCCATTTTTAATAAAGATCAAACATACTTATATAACTTTATATATTTCTATATATAATTACATATATTTGTTTGCATCAATTTTCCATTCATGATTAGTTGTCTTACATCACAGTTTGATGATGTCAGCCCATTCTTATGGTAAATGAGGATGGAAGATTTGTCAAACCAGCGATTCTGAGGGTCTCCAGCCAGGGCCATCTCAAACACCTATAAAATTGTACAAAACACACACAAATGAATGTTACCTTTAGTAATTCAAAATAAAACAAGCTAATGCCAAATGATGAATTAAACAGCATCATACATGTACAGGTGTTTTATCCTACTAGAACTTATCACTGGTGATAAGGTCAACTTTATTTTCTAAACCTAGTAGGTAACTTCATAAAAAATAACTCAAAATATACTCTCATCCATGGGTAACCATGGTAATGTACACAGAACATGGATAAAGACAACAGTGCTAAGCCATCATATACATACATTGGATTCATCTGTAGGACTGTCCTCGTCTAGGGCTACAGCCATCAAGCTACTCTGGATCAGCTCCAAATTTTTATGGTTGTCAGGATGAAGAGCCAGTAAACGACTCCTCATCTACAATAAAAGATTTGATAGGAAAACATAAATGATCTAAAAAGTTTTTTTAAGGAGCCACCTATCTATAGCAACTGTCTGCCTAACATGGACATTTCAAAATAGTGATTACAATCATCTTATCAACATATTATCTTGTTAATACTGTACACGATTCATATATATAATCGTATTACAAATTAATATTCAAGATTTGAAGTCACAGTCAACTCATCCTGTTAGAGTCGAAATTCCTGTCAGAATCAACTATTCCTGCCAGTGTCAACCATTCCTGTCAGAATCGACTATTCTTGTCAGAGTCATCCATTTCCGTCAGAGTTGACTATTCCTGTTAGAGTTGACTATTCCTGTCAGAGTCAACTATTGCCTTAGTTTTGTATTACTGCCTCCCCCTCTCCCTTACCTATGGTCATGTGATCAGCTGACTTATATGTCCCTTACCTCTGGTCGTGTGATCAGCTGACTAATATGTCCCTTACCTGTGGTCGTGTGATCAGCTGACTTATATGTCCCTTACCTCTGGTCATGTGATCAGCTGACTTATATGTCCCTTACCTCTGGTCGTGTGATCAGCTGACTTATATGTCCCTTACCTGTGCCCACGTTGTTCGCTCATCTGCTGTAAGCTGACCTATCCCAGGTCCTTCAGGTTCACTATCACACTGGTCTCTGATCCTCTGAAACTGGACTTTAAGTTCTGGTGCTGTGAGGGGCTCACCATGCTCATCAATACAATCCAAAGTGAAGATGCGTCCACGACAAAACACCACCATGTGGATTGGAGTATCACCTTCAGACACTGAATATAATAGTGTACATCAAATCTGATTATAAAGTACTACCAAAATCCAACAAAACATACGAGCATACATAAATCAACAGTACTATACTCCTCTGTTTTACAGCAAATGTACACTTACTGCGAGAATGGGGTTGTACTAACAGCAATTTTGATACTGTACACTTGTTGGTGTCTGTTCTGAGAGTACACTTGGTGTGTGTTGGTACTTACAGTACACTTGGTGTGTGTTGGTACTTACAGTACACTTGGTGTGTGTTGGTACTTACAGTACACTTGGTGTGTGTTGGCACTTACAGTACACTTGGTGTGTGTTGGCACTTACAGTACACTTGATGTGTGTTGGCACTTACAGTACACTTGGTGTGTGTTGGTACTTACAGTACACTTGGTGTGTTGGTACTTACAGTACACTTGGTGCGTGTTGGTTGTTACAGTACACTTGGTGTGTGTCAGTTGTTACAGTACACTTGGTGTGTGTCAGTTGTTACAGAACACTTGGTGTGTGTCGGTACTTACAGTACACTTGGTGCTTGTCGGTTGTTACAGTACACTTGGTATGTGTCAGAACCTACAGTACAATTACATGTAATTGTAATCTCTCCTGTTCCTAAATATGAACAGTCAGTGTATCAAACCCTACATGACTTATCACGCATCACTGAATGGAAAAGTAATAAAGAAATCCTCTTCACACTGGTATATCACAGCAAATCTTCTGCATTATTTTCAATTTTTTGGTATGACTTTTCATTGATCACTTACGATGCATATCTTTTTCACAGTTGAAAGTATTCTGGTTAAGTGAAGTTATGTTTAATGATGAATGCCAGCAAAAGTTTAAACATTTGAAGTTCCTAATAAATGTTCAGTCGTAATTTTTCAATTTAATTGAAATCTGTAAATGTCTGGAAGAAGTTGCATAAACTTTATTTTCTCACTTTATCTTTACATTCATCAAATATTATCATAGGATTGTACATGAGTTTCAATTTCACATGAAATTTAAGCATTATATAAGCAATGAAAAACGAAATCCTTTTTTTAACAAATAGTGCAGAAAATTTTCTTTTCGAAGTCATTTTTGGCATTCTAGTATCGTGTAATAGATTAAATATCTTTTAACACATTCTGTAGACCAATCAGATTTTCTGTTACATACCTGTTTTGAAGTAGTAGAGGAGTTTGTCTTTCTTGACACCTGGTATTTTACATGTGTTAAATGCACGATGGAACTGACTCATAGATAGGTGTGCACCCTTTCGATCCCTGTCAGGTTTCAAACGCTCCCTATAGCATAAATCAACATCATGATGAAAGCAAAACTTTATTCACATTTCAACAATCAAAAAACAATAGGGAAGGTTATACTCATGAACCAAAGAATCTGGGTTTTTTTTCCCTTCTTCCTTAAAACAGTCTTTTTTTTCCTAAAGTCTTTCTTGCCTCTGCTTTACATTTGGCTATTGGTTGAACATTAATCAATGCCCCCTTGAGACACCCCCAAGTCTTTAACAAGAGATCCCAGAGGGATTTTGCCTTCCACCATCCAATGATCCTTATTGGTTCTATGCAAGGCTGATCTTGATAACAATGGAATCCTACAAATGTATTCTAAGGAAGAATCTAATGAGAACTTCTCGAGTAGAAGTGATAAAAACTTCAACTGTCATTTTATTTTTAGAACAGGCACCATATTGAATGGGTATATCTTAGAACTAAAGAAAATCTACAAACAGTTTGAGAATTACCTTCGCAGTATTTTTCATGAAATAAAAAAAACAACTTTCAGCTGTCAAAATCCAAGATGGCCACCTGTCAGCCCACCATGGTATAGGTAGGTTCTACTCCATACTTGATACTTAATATTTTGGTAGCGTAATGACTATTTCACCCATTGTGAGTATATTGTGATTTGTGTTGTGTGAAGTGTCCTGTTAAGTGCCTACAACATATACTTCAGCGTGGTAGCAATATCAAGTAAATATCAGTTCCACACTATCACAAGGAGGCTTACACAAATATCTTCAGGTTCCCTCATTTCGTATACAAAGACAGGTCATCCTTAAATGAACGAAGATCTCGATAGAATGTCTAAAATCAAAATTTAAAACCTAACCATACTTACTGTCTGATAAGTTTCCAGTACTGTAAAGCATAGTGGGTTATGAGAGATCCACGCTCTACTTGTGTTCCTTCCTGTGGAGGCATATAATGGTGTAAGTAGGGCCCAGGACCTCCAAAGTTTACAAATGGTGCCTCTGGGTATCGCCCTTCCAAATATGCAAAATCCTCCCACCATACCTCCAGCTAAACAGGTAATGTTGATAGTTACCGTATTAGATAAGTGAATATAACAGAGACTAAGAAATTAAACAAAAACAACAAAGATTAATTTGTCAACAACATTCAGACAAGATGACCAGTCAGAAAAAATCTGTAATTTGACAAGTGTGCATGAGGCTTGCCAAAAACTGTGAATAATCTTGTTGACAGCCAGTACATATTAAAATGAAAGTACTGACTATCTAAATATGCATGTATTGCATTTAACAAACAAATGATTTGTATGTGATGTTGAAAACCCAAAGATTCATCTCCCAAAATATCAAGTGGTACATCAAACTGACCATGGGGAAATTATTCGGTACAATTCAGTACAGGAAAATGTACAGTAAGCTACATATTTTCTACAACATGGCATCAGGACAGGTACAAATAGATAACAGTTGATGGGACAAAGTTACATTAGTATTATTTGGGGTTAAAAATTGTCAGTGACAGACACTCACAAAAAGTCTCAATACTGCAATCACTCGCCCATATAATATCTAATTCTGAAATACAAGATACAACATACCCAGTTCCTCATGTTTTGTGCCTTTTTCTTCAGTTTCTCATGGAGTTCCTTTCCTACCCCAGACCCAAATTGTTGGACTAAGAACTCAGTCTGACGGTATTCATCGGGGGTCACATGTGGTCTTACTGGAAATGAGATTAATGGATATCAGATAATAAAATAATGTAAAGTGATTCATCAGTAAAACTATTATCGGTAATTAATTATTGTAAGATAATAACAACATTCCAAACTCTTACTTAAACATGCATTTAAAACTTTTCGGAAATATATTTCATTCTGATGTAATTGCTAATGCATAATACAAAGTACAAAGAATAAACAAATAAAATAGGTTTCAAGAAATAAATATTATTTATCTTTACTTTATTTCTTTTTACATAATTCATCTTTATAGTGTTATCAGTAAGAAAGTATATCCAATATGACATTGTCATTACTTCAAACACCAGACATGAAAGATGATTCAATTATGTCTTAATGCAACTGTGAAAAAAATATTTGTGAACAAATTACCAGTCATATTGAATCAATAACTCAAATATAATGTCATTATCCATTTAGATTCAAATGTCACTCTGTACACTTCATTTCATTAAGTTTCATCTCTTCACATTTTACTGAAGCATAGATGACTATGAAGTTAACATGAAGTTATATAAATGTTGTACATTTACAATTATATATACTTACTCGAGTCCAGGTATCTACTGAGAGTTTTCTGTAAATCTGGCACAGGAAGTGATGGCAAAGATTCGTCATATTGAAATGTCTTCTCTTTGTCTGATGTATAGAACAGGTTTGGGTCAGGGATGTTGTCTGGTTCAAAGTTCATTGTGGCTTCATAAATGAAGTGTAACTGCTAAATCTGTTTGGGAGAATAACAAAATACATATATTGTAAATGATTATTAACTGAAGCTCTAAGCTTTCAGGTACTGAAAAATATGAAAAAATAAACACAGCCATAGAAATAGCTACTGATGATGATCTAACACAACATGCTCCTTGTATCTTGTAAATATATATATATATATTTTGTAAATGTTGAAGGAGTAGCAAAGGCTCTTCCCATAAAGGTTATATAAGTAGGTAGGTAGATGGAAAGATGAACACTCAGTTGGACAGTACATACATCAATATCAAATACATGTACTTCCCTTCTTCTATTTTTCATTAGCCATAATTGCATTCTTAAGCTTGTTAGTTTAAGGTAAGAAAGTAGTATGTATGAATTAAATGCTAACTCTTGTGAAAACATTAAGAAATAACACAGGAGGGTTCTTTGTCTCCTGCATTAAACACTTTATAACAATTAAATATTATTGCACTAATCTCTTATCAGTTTCAGCTGAACCATGAGGTTTTCTTTTTCAGGGCCACTACAGATCATATCCTCAGCTAACAATTACAAACTTGAGTCTCTACCAATTAATATTCAATGTAAAGAGATACCTATCTCCTAACGAAACAGGCTAAAATGGTATAACACTACTATAACAAGTACTTGCTGTCTATATGTAACATCACTATATGCTAGTTAAATATGAAGACTTGTACTCAATTTTTTATCACATTATATTTCATAGCAAAAAACCAAATCAATTTACCAACTTATATTTAATATTGATTGAGAATAATTTGTAATATACCTGTCAGATTCATGCACCTCTGTGTAATACAACCAGTCACAATCGGTGCTGTAAAGATATAAGAATACATGTTTAAGATAATTGTCCAAATAACCCTGGGTCAAGACCAAAGGCCAATAGTTCATCTAAAGTCATCCTGACATTTTAACTTATCAATGTCAATGAGTCGACATTACAGCTGTACAGTTCACTTTCAGGATCAGTGTAACAAAATAGTCTTACATTATAACAGTTTACTGTAAATCGTTGATATTTACAGGTCCATGTATCAGTTCGTGTGATATCTAATGACCTGTTTTTTTAAGTAAAATAAAAGAATTAACTATTTTACTAGTTTATAAATGTCTGATAGAAAATCGTCTAATACAACGGAATGTCTAATTCTGTCAGATTAGCTACTGCAGGATCAGTAGCCACAGTGGCTGTCCAGCTTCATATCCATGATACCAAAAGTTCAATTAAGCATGTACAGCCAACAGTGGAAGCAGTGAATGGTTGATTACAGCATGGAAAAGAAGCGCAATACCAGATTGAAAATCTCGTCTTTGTAACGACATTTACCTTCAGATGTGATATACAGATGCACTTCAAACACATGCAGCTCTAGATCTTGCAAACGCTGAATGTTGTCAAAGTCCAGGTTCATGACCCCAGAAAGTGCCACCTAGTGCTCCATTTTTTACTTCATCACGGGAGGTAACTCTGTCATTATATACTGCTTTAATTTGAAATATCGAATATTGCAATGAAGAATTTTATGTATACGTTGTGTGTATAAGTATAAATACCATATATTCGTCCCTACAATTAAAATATAGAACTTTCTGTGTGGATTCCTGTTATTTTATCTGAAACATTTTGATAAAAGATATGAAAATCATGTCATTTGAAATATACATATATCACTTTTATATCAGTTTGATTGAAATTACCGTTTTTGCCTAAAACACAATTGACTAACTAAACAGTTTTGACTCTTTGACATTTACAATGTTTAAATGCTGAACTAATGTAAATACCGATTTAACTTTCCAGTCGTAAGTTTTTATATATGATATTTGGTTGGAAGAGTTTTCTAAAATTACTAATAACCCTCGACGTGAAAATGTCACTACTTTTAATTAGTTGCTCTACGAATTGTAAAGCATGAGTATTTGTTGAGGAATAAGAGTTTAACCAGACATCCCCAAAACCAATGTTATATAGGAAAACTTTAACATAATAAACCCAGTTAAAGATACAGTCATGCTAAATTCAACAAAATTACATATGCTGTTTCAATATACAATTGTTAGATTTAATGATTTTAAAATCAATATTTTATCACATGATATTTCCTGGTATAAACAAATACTTATATTAGCCATAGCATTACATATACATAATTTTAACGTGTAATACACATGTTCCAGAATTCTAACTTTTCAATATCTTGTATATTCAGTAGTCCGAAATATATTGACGTTCTACCGACCATTGTATGTATCAGTCTGGAGTCGGTGAACGATAAGCGTAACTTACTTATGAAATGGAAACGAATGTTAACACACAACCAAGATTTTCAATTTAAGTAATGTTAAAAATGAGTTCCATATCATTTTTTGACTTGCGAAATAAATTTGGAAAAGATAAAAAAAAAAAAAAAAAATGAAAAAACCAGGTATGTTTAAAATGATAAAAATATCAAAAGAACACAACAGAAATGGGTAAATACATTAAAACTGCTGATGTTTTGAGAGACTATTGAGAAACAGATTTGATTAGATGTTCTCTCCGAATGTATTTTGTGACATAACTGATTATGAATGTGTATTGCAAATGCTGACACTTTAACTTGAACCTATGGTATTGTAATGGATCTATTTTTGGATATATCATTAGTAGCTTATTGTGTAAATAAAACACCAAGACTCTTAACAAAGAAACATTTTATTCTAATTTTATTTCTTTTTATTCTAATTCTGCCAAAGACCACGGAAGGATCTGACGCCGAGTTGTGATCGTGTGGTCGTCATTAATTAGTTTTAGCTAGTAACTATATTATTGACTTATTCAATACTTTCTGTGAACAAGTGATACGATTTTAAGGATTGCCAACCATCCAGTCCTTATTCTGAGCTCTCCTAAATTTTAAATTAAGAATAGAATGTTCATACATTGTACTCAAAAGTTCCCTTTGTGTATACTTAAGTACTCATATTCTGGAAAGATATTATCAATTCTTTTCACTAGATAATGGGTAGAGGAACAATTACATCTACATACTTTTGTCCAAAAAAAAAAAGAAGAAAGTATTAGGTTACGAAAGATATGCAACATAGATGACAGATGCCATCCATTCATTCACAGTACCAAACACGTGTAAATGAACACTGCAAGATAAATGTCAATAATTTCAAATTTGAAACAAGCCATGGATTGTTCTTGTAAGAGCGCATAATTTGGGATTTATAATAAGTGACCAGACAGAGTTGCCTCCCTTCTCGTATATGTTGCATGATCATCATATATTTTACTGTGTTAATAGTATTTTCTCTTAATATTTGTGATCTTGTGCTGAATTATCATACAATACTACTCAATGCCGCCTTATCACATCAAATTCTATTTGAATGTCACGGAATAATAATTAAATTATGCTTTATATATATATTGAATACTATCACTTATTTCGGTGATGTACGGAAAACTATCACAAATAATAATCATTCTGGTGTCAGAAAGTGAACAACTACGTGAAGCAAAGGTATGGTATGGATTTACAGAAATAACTGACATTCATAAAGCGGACAGTATATAGAGTGGTAGACGGCCGAAAGAAAGGAAAAGATGATTTATACATGTATGGACACCAAAAACAAATCAGCACCAGCACCTTACCAACAACTTCCCACTAACCCACAGTTCGCTGGAAGGGACTTAAAACGGTGGCCTATGTGAGGATGTCTAACTAGCACGATGAATCTTATAGTAATTTTGTCGGGCTTCCAAAATACTATCAATATATCATAATTAATTTAGTGTAAGATCACCTTCCTCTCTGTCCTTTACCGGTCCTCTTGCTTCGACGTGCTTGTGTTAGGCTATAAGTATCGTCTCTACCTCATCTCTGTATCCCACACTCTCCCACCACGTCCCCCCCCCCCCCCCCCCCCCCCCCCTTTTTTTTTTTTTTTTTTTTCATTTTCATGTCCACCGAAAGGTCGAAATAGTGGGCGTAAAACTATTCAGTAGTAAAATTTCAGATGACTGAGTAGGGAAATCAAAATATTCTGCAACGTTCAGTTGCAAAGCAGTCCGAGTTATTCCGACGTTCTATTAACACATATATATCGGCTGGAGTGTTCATCGGCTCCAGATATAGACCGACAAAAATAAAAACAAAACATTATGTGTCCGGTTGCAACAAAATTCTGAAGTTGGACATTTAAACTGTACTGTGCAAGACATGTGTTAATTGCATGCACACTTAGTGAAACACTTGTGTGTTCATTGTAGTACTGATTTTTTTTACTCCGTTATAAATGTAGGTCAAAGGTCACGGTCAAGGTCACTTGGTCAAAAAGTTTGCTACCACAGCAAAAGTCCTGTCACAAGGAGCACACCTGTGAAATATGAACACCATACCTGTTACTATTTAATAGTTATTGTCAAAGTTAAAGTTGACAACAGAGGAAAAAAAACAGACCACACGAAAACAATATGCTCCCGATCTTTCGAGCCGGGGGCATATAAAAAGTCGATAGATTTGGACTAAGTTGCAATGTAACGTCGGGGTTCAAATCGCAGAGCTACACAGCCAATGAAAAACGTGATATATAACAGACGATATATGTGATTGGATTTAATGTTTTATGATGTTCTACGCCCCAGGCTAAAGAAGCCGGATTTAGATTCTCTACCACATGAAGTGAAAGAAATACCTATTTCGATATATCAGAGTTGTAATTAATCAATAAGGTTTGGATAAGTTATTGCTTACTTGGTTTGTTTAATTCATCTGATTTAAAGATATTACAACCTCAAACAAATGCCTCATTTTTCAATCGGAAAACGCTCGGATTTTTCCGTCAATCTGACAACATTCAGTGCAATCAATAGGTAATCTTATCAAGCGAAATATGATTGGTTGCCAGTGTCGCTATAAGGTCCGTTTTGATTGGTTCGTATTCACACTCTGAAAATGGCTTCTCTCCGTACCTGTACTGGCCAGGTAGATCGAAGACGGTTTTGCTAAATTATTTAAGTAATGTAGGTAGATTTCATGTTTGCACTCTGCAGTACAGGCAGTCACCTCTTAGTGAGTAAATATAACAGTTTCGTCCAGATTCGACTCTGCAGTTTGCCTGGATATCAAATATGAAGGTGAGTGTTTACATTTTGGCTTCGCCAAGAATCGATCTGTCAAAGAGAAGTGTCGATGCATGTTGGGATCTGTGTATTGGCAAATATAAACTTTAAACCAATTGTGATATGACTTGTCTATCGGATTATGGTGTTTATACTTATATATATATAACTGAAACCATCATGATATCCTTTCACAGGTGAACCGGCGTTATTTTTAACTTTTCGATATCGAATGTATCGATCGTGACTGTGAGAACCGACCTGGGCTATTATGCATGTACTGTAGACGTATCTTATGTAGGTCACAAGTTTTCTGCTGTGATGTGTTGATTTCTAACGGTATTCAAGATACGTCTGTTCTAAATAATTTATAAAAACTTATATAAACGTGTGTGCTTTACACGAATATCGTAATAGGTTACTCTTAAACAACCCAATTTGATCTACAGTATAAACCGTTAGAATTGTTCAGGTTGACTGGTCACGAAGCCCAAATTGGTTAGATTACATAGGCATATTGTGACCAGCTATTCAATTGTAAACAAGCGTGACGTTGGTCTGTCATGATTCAACTTGTATTGGGCATTTAAAAGCACATGCTGCTCTCTTATGAGGACAGTATTGCCGAATCCTTTGAAATATTCACTTGGGTGTCAAATTGTTCCCAGGAATCTTTGCCAATATGAAAACAGGTAAGAATTTCAAATTGAAAAAATGCATTATTTGTATCGTGTAATAACATACTTGTATTCTTTTTTTTTTTAATTTGATAAAAATCCATTCAAAGTTTCACTTTCTTCATTTAAATTATCATACACATTAGTTTGTTAAGATATTCAGTATGAAGAATGAAAATAATGTACATTTCTACATTATCAAATTTAATTAATGTTACCAGTGACAAATCTGAGTTGTGTTACTTTAATTGATAAGTAAGGTAGAAATATTTATTATATCTTTGATGGCACACTGCACTTTATATATCAATTAACACTACATGCAATTAAATCAAATGTGAACATGTTACCTGTAATCAATAAACACATCACAGGTAATTTTGCCATCTATTGATTCTAGCCCTCTTTGCCATTGTACAGTTACAATCATGTAATTAATTTTACTTCTGGATGGTCACTTCTAGTCCATTCATTGTTCCTATCACTGCTAGGACATCAGGAATGTTCAGTAATAATGCATTACAACATTCAGTAAAAGGTTCAATGTTAGGTCTACAGAACACTTAGCTTTCATCACTGTAGTTTCCACTCACTTTTGTGGTAACTACTTTATAATCAACACTCAAATAACAGATAGATTATTGGGTCCACGATAATATATTATTGATGAAGTAATGTGGAATGCTGGTTCATACCATTCAATATCTTATGTATGTATACACAGCTGGTAGACCGTAGAAGGAAACATCAGGTACATTTTTCATTTATCGGTCATTTATAAGCAGTTCCATTATATATGGTACAGTATGAACCCTGCTGGCTACTTACAGAGGTTTAATGTGTTGGTATACCCAACATAATGGCCGGCTTATCTGACCACGGTTTTTACATGACAAATATTTTCTTGGCAGATAACAACTTGGACCATGCAAGTTCTTACGAAATTCTGTTGTGATTAAAGAGAACCTACTTCAAAGTAGACTTTGATAATAATATTTCTTTGAACTTTCTGTGTTTAGGTTATATCTTTGTTTTCTTTTGTCATTTAAGTGCATATGAATTCTATTGTAGTGAAAGGATAGGTACACATTTATAGATAAAGGAAAATATCTATTTGTGGCACTTCATAATCAAATGCACAGGGTTAAATATCAACCTAGTTAAATGGTAGAGAGAGCTTTAACTATGCATAATAAGTATTTGTTGAAATATCTTAAACACAAAATGATCTTTAAAACAACAAACTGGGATTCATGAAGTTGTTTCCTTTCTTTTTTTCAGTGGAAAAAACATAATAAAGAAATTTTTTTAAAGATATTCCAATTTATGTGCCATGAAAATTTAAATTAGATTTGTTCAATAGTTTACACAAGTTAAGATATGTTCTGATTTTTGCTATCAATCCTGTGTTGGGATGTAAAAATCCTATCGATCCTGAGTTTTTATGAAAAGTTGCAATAAAGTTGATTGATTAATTCATGATACAGCAATTTTGCTGACTTGACTGGATCTCTAACGTTCCTCGACACCGAACCATTTCATAAACATGATGTTAATTTACCTGTACATGAATTATATAGAGTGCACTAGTTCACACATTCCACTGTCATTGTTGAGCACAATGACAGGATCAGTTGGTACAATAATTGAATCCTCTATAATTCATGAAGCTCCACAAAGCTTTCATTGCTATCAGGGTATACCTTGGAGTCTTGAGAATTTATATCAGTTTCTGGAGTGTTTCCTAGGATCGAGTGTTTCCGTTATTGATTAAACATGATTGTCATTTGTTTTTCTTATCTCTGAGAGTGTTGATAACATGACAGCATCACTGGAAGTCTTGTATCTGCTGTCACTGCAGGTCTCATGACCTCTGTTTGTCACGGAGGTAATTTGTTTCCATCAATTTTAACTACCCTGGTACCAACTTTGTCATAATATTAAACCCTCTGTATGTCATGGCTAGTATCATTTGAAGATTTTTAGCATCATTTTGGTTTTCCCTATTTGCTTTTAGTTAATATAATTCTTCTCGGCCAGTCCATGGGGCCATGCCAGTTAACACATAACCTCAGATTCTGAGTCAGGGTATTGGCTTATGACAGGATTAGTGACATTCATTGGTTTTGCTACTGTACAAATTTTTAAATTGAAATAGGCGGGCTTATTGCACGATTAATAATGGTAGTATATCCGTCATATAAACTGTTGAATAGCTTGTTGCTAAGCACTTTTGCCCTCTTAAACATTTCACTTTCTTTGAATAACTACTTTTACCTTTCTTTGGGTTCTGTTATACAAGTTTCAATAATGGTGATGGCTACATATCGGTGAAAAATCATTTAGGTCTAAGTCAATAATGGTGATTGCTACATATCAGTGAAAAATCATGTAGGTCTAAGTCTTGACGGCCTTATCTGCATTCTGTCTAATATACATTGTGTGTGTCTGAAAACTTCTATATGACCTTTATCACCTTAATTTTGCTAAACAAACAAATTGAGACACAACAGATTGTTTAGATGTGATATTGTTGGTATTGCTCAATATTCATCATAGGGTTTATTTGTTTTTAAGAGGTGAAAAAAAAATTATTTATAGTTATTTTTATTCAGATGTCAGACAAGAATTATACTGTATCAGTGGATGTTGACAAATGAACGTCTAGTATGTATGGAATGTAATACCAGTTCTCTGTCTGTTGAAGTATGGCTGGCTGACAGGCAAGATGTCTGACTTTCAATATTGGCTTTCGTTTCATGTGATTTGTGTATAAATGAAGAGATACCATCAGATCTGGGAGGTTCTTCTGGTTTGTCTTTTGAGGTGGTGAATAAAATTTAACAATTTTGTTAGAATATTCCTTTGTTAAATATTTTAATGTAAGTTTTTTCCATAAATATGGTGTAATATTGTTAGTTTTGTATTTTATTTCGGAATTGATACAACATTCACGCTACTTTGGTTATAATGTACATGCTGTTGCTTTCTTGTCTTTCATCAATATTTAACTGAGTGTAGTGAATTCTGTCTCCAACCTTCCTGTCTATAAATAGCCTCATTAGCTAGGAACATTGTGATAATTTAAGAATATCAATGTGGGGTCTAAACATTATGTCCATGTTAATTCTGGTGATTTGTAGTACTACATAATCTGACAATGTTCTTAGCTAGCCAGTAAATCTCATTCCCTGCTGTCTGTCGAAAATCTGCATTGTGGATGTAGTATCGCCATGACTTAAATTTCCCAAAATAGTTGATTAAACAGAAGAAATGAGATATTGTTAAAGGGTTATACCAGAAAATTAATTTGGATTCATTTAGGTGCCATTCAAACCTGTTTCCAGAGGATGATCTGGCTTATGTAAATAGTGCGCTGTGCAATTTATTCATTTCTGATTAATTCAGACTGGACACAGGTGAATGTTGATTATTTTGATGTCACTTAGTATGTAGATACAGACTGTGTATTAGAGTTGCAAAAATTTAAAAACATCTTCTTGATTGACATAGAGATCGAACAAAATAAAGTGGAAATGACAATGAATTGTTTGTAACAAATAAAGTCAAAAATGTTTTAGATTATATGTGTCTGAGCTTTTTTATGCTCTTTTACAGTTATTTAGGTAGGAAATTCTCTTTTTGTAAAACCTGGGGTTTAATATTTAGGGATTAATGTATATATTTCAGTCTGACGGTGGAAATATGCACACATCTAAATGTTAAAGATAGTATCATTTTACTTTTTAAATCTTTCGTCCAATTGTTGAAATACAGCATTTCAAATCAATATTTTGAATTTCAGATGTTGTGAATTGAGGTCCACCACCATGTGAGAGGCGGAAACGCCACACCACCCTTATCATATCTACCCGTCCAAGATAATGCCCGGTCAAGACCGACGCAGGTCGCCGGATGCTGGGTAAGTACTTGTATAACAGTTAGGTCAAAAGTGCTCAGACACAATGTCGTTATTGTATAACTACTTGGGTGTGAATTTGTCATTGTTATGGTTTAAGCAAACTTAAGGTTGATGTGGTTCAATATCATCGGAAGAATTTCAGATCTCTGTGGTCCAGTTATATACTGTGAAATCATTCATTTTTGAGGGGGATATATATTCCTTGATTATGTGGGTACTCTTTAGTATTCACATGTCCACAAACTGTTTAAATCAGTACAAGTTGATTCATAAAGCTAAATTTATCTACATAAAAATTCAGTCCCATGAAAATTTATGATTTAAAGTAAAGTGAATTAACATTGTGCGTGTCATGATGCTTTAACATAAAACCCTATTGAGCGTTCCTTTCATTCAATCTTTTAATTATCAACATGTGAGTTAGTTCGGTACAAAGTATGGTTAGAATGGTTTAGGGAATTACATTACATTATACAGGAGGCAGTGTCACTGACACCACAAAATCTGTTTTGTTAAATGGCAGTATAATCTGTATAGTTATGAATGACAGATATACAATGAGTGACCCATAGATTCAGGATCCATAATGACCCAAGATTGTGTTTCTTTAATGACAGAATTTAAAACTAGGTGAAAGATTTGGTCTACTTTTAAATAAAGGGTTAAGTTAAGTAATTTCCCCTGTCTGTTCTGTTGAGTTCGGTCTTGACTCTGTCAATAGCTTACCTATAGAAGTATATTTAAACAACTCTCATACATTTTTACTTTGACAATGAAATATAGTGTTCCTGCACCAGTTTTTTAAGTAAAAGGTGGACAAATTTTTCAAGGTCACCTGTGTGACTGAATATTACAGTTAATTTATTCAGAGCCATTCCCTGTTAAAGTTTAAAGATGACATCATTCCCCGTAAATTTAGGTTAAAGGTATCTTCAAAGTTATATGTTTGTGGGAATTAAATGTTGAAGTCAATTCTGTTTTTGAGTACCTGGCTGGAATTTTAGACTGATTTACTTACCATGTTCTACATGCAAGTAATTTATGTTACGACATTATATGCATATTATCAACATTTTAAAATTTCCATTTTATTACTTAGAGAAGAAATTCCTTAAGTATATGCTCCTAAAATCCAAATGTTTAGCTGTGTGATATTTTAAAATCTTATAAATGAACAACCTATAGCTATTTCAGGGTAAATTTTAACATGCCGATCGTAAAATGTGTAAATGCATTGTCTGATGCTATCAAAGGTAAATGCCATCTTATTTCCAGGCTACACATTTCAATTAGTTTTATTAGGAGTTTCAGCTTTAACACAATATTTATTCTAAGGCTTAATGGAAGCTTTACTCCGATGCCATAATCCCCTGTGAACAATAATGGAATAGTCCAGATTACTGAAATGGGGTTTTCTATTAATAAATATAGAGGTTATAACGTATCACAGGATTATGTGGATATTATGTAACCCAAAAAAAAAAAACTGAAATTGTTTGTGAGCCTTATAAAACAAACAAAATGAAGTGAATGTCAATATGAGGAAATGTCACCTACGATTATACTGTCCAATCTGTCGTCAGTTTTTGACATGTGGGATGAATGATAGTATGGTATAATACTGCTACACCAAAGTTAATGAGGGTTATTGAGTATTTCATGTACACACAGTTCATATCACCGAAAACATTTTAAGTCTTGTAAGATACTGTTACATTCTTTATCTCTTACTTAAGAATCTATTTTGAAATGGGTTTAAATATGCAACCAATATTATTTTATACTGAATAATAGTTGGTTTTGTAATTTATCCTACAATGATATTGAATACAGAAAGTTAGTGTAATATATCAGACGGTAGAACATCAGACTGTGAATCTTATTGTCTCGATCCCTGCGTGGAAGAGAGGGGACAGTGTTTGTAAACAGCTTAATTTCTCTGGAAAGGATGCAGCACATCCTGCCTGCAGAGAGGTAGCCATTAGCACTAACTTAATGCAAGGAAACCTCTACATCAAACTGACCCTTGCTATCCACAGACAATAAACCTGAGCAAACAAGCACTAGCTGAATTAGGTTGTTACAGGCATTATAGTTTTAAACATTTGTACAAGTCTGGCATGTTTCAGTTTTCAACCCTCAACATAGCATGTGAAGAAGTATAAACCCATTTAAAGTAAAAATTCATGCTTCATGGACATTTTTTAATGATGAGAAATTGTGGAAACTGGATAATCACGTTAGGAGTGATTACTTCACAGTCAGGTCATACTGTGACCGTAGTGACCGATGATTACAAATATAAAAAGTCTATTGTGTTGTTTACCTTCATCATGAACGAGTCACCCTTTGGAAAGATTTACAATCAAGCACTTTTCTTGTTTTCAACACTTGGCATTAAAACAAACCTGCCATTGACATCTTATATTACAGCTGGGGTATACCGGTATGCTCGTTAAAACAACAAGTATGTAAGGTGTTTGTTTACTTAACCACTGAAAGAGAACCTTATTGTATATATAATGGTGATACGCCTCCCCCGCCCTGATGACAGGTAACTGACTGGTCAGACTCCCATAACAAAAGACTTACATGCACTTTAAATAAATACAACAATATCATAGTGTTAATGGCTGGCTGCACCAGTACAGTACTGTGAAGTTCAGGATTTCATATATCGCCTTAGGCTTGCTCACATTGTTGAATTTCAATTAATATATGTGTGAGAAGCACTCTGGTAAAAAGTGAATGGACTTGTTTGATTACATAACTAGAACAAACTGAGAACAAGTACATACAGGATTGATAGCAGTGATGTCACACACATAGTACTGTATATATCAGTGTTATACTCAATAGTGTTCTGTAACATTCAAATAATGAAGGATTCAAATATTTCTGTGGATATATATGCAGCTTTTCACAAAATGAGGTATGTTAAACTATTTTCTTTAATTTATGTTACATGAACCACTTAAATGCAATATCATCATGATTTGTCACTGGGTAATTTAGGAAGTTTATTAAAGCATATGATCCTTATAGACAGATAAAGACATTAGGTTGTAGATACCCTGTTTCCTTATTAGATCCATTTCAGGAGAACTAATTGAGCACATGCAAACATCAATATAAATGTGATAGTTATATAATTAACTTACATTCCTAAATCAATTTGAACTTGTCATTATTTCACAAGATCCTGATATGTAACTATTTGAATTGTTTGGTAGAATTTCTTAAATACATATATAGCAATAATGAGATAGTTTAAATGCCTTTTAAGTAATTTTTTTTAAACATCTAATACTTCGTTATTATCAGGTATTAATATTTCCTGGTAAGCAGCCAAACTTTGATAATTTTTTAAAAATATCCAACCCATGCAAAGTATTTCCTAAAACATGCATTGTAGTAAAGTTCTATTTCTCCAAAAATAGCTAAAAAAAGACCAAGATATTTTTTTTTGGGATGAAATTTCCTTTAGAATTAAACAAAGCAGTATTTTTCTCTAGACAGGAGTTTGTTTAATCACATTATGTCGGTTGTTCTTTTAACTGCACAATGATAATGCTATGAACTTTTGTTATCCTATTTTGGCAGCTGAAGTTCATGGAACTTAAGTAGAACTTTATATATGACCATCAAATTGTACTACTAGTATGGTAGGAGTGAACTTCTATAGAAAGCAGGGATCAATGACATCTTCCTTGATGTTGTACTAGTATGGTAGTAGTGTACTTCTTCTATAGAGAGCAAGGATACCTTATTTTTTAATTTTCATTTTTTTTCTCAGTTTTATAAAAAATTTTAAAGCAAAGAAGAAGTGTTTTCCTTAGAAATGATGTGATCACCAAGATTTCTTTATTTTTTTCTCACTCAATACAAAACATTTCTGTAGAATTGCATTATTTTCCATTAAAATGTATTTTGTACTGTTTTTATTTATTTGTAAAAATATGTTTACATACTATTTTCTAATGGTATTCATGTGTGAAGTTGATCAATGTGAGATAACTGTGGCTAGAAAATGTAGACTTCTGGTTTTAGTTGATATTTTGATACAAAGTAGTCCAACTAAAACAAATGAAAAGTTGAATTCTTTGTATGACAAGTATTTTTCATGGTAGAGCAGTTACTATTGGAATTTTCGCACTTAAAGTTTTCCATATTTAATGGAAAGATAAGAAATATATTGGATTTCAAGATGAATGATATAGCTTATGTTTTTTATCCTGAGATCCAGATCAATACCGGCATATATGGTGGGTCACCTAACACTAGGGTATGTAGGAGGGTGGTGTAAGTGGGTCACTGTACACTTGAGTATGGAGGGGTGAGGGGGGCATAGGACAATCACCATACACTACAGTGTGATGTGGACAGGGACATAGATGGGTCACCTTACACTAAAGTATGGAGGGGGGAGGTGAATTGTAGGTGAGTCACCTTACACTTGAGTATGGAGAGGAGGGGGAGGTAATGTTAAGCCTTACACTTGAGTTTGGAGTAGAGGGGCGTAATTGGGTCGCCTCACACTGGTGTTTTTGTTTGTGATCAGTCTGTGGCCCACATTTATATGATTTTTCTGTTTGTTTTACAGAGAGAGTAAGAACTTGAGTCAACTGCTACAGCTGATTAACACACCTGCCAGTAAACAACAGGTAAGTCTTCCCAAGGTAATATATACCAGGTAAGTGTTCTTAGGGCATTTCAGGTGTGTCATGCACTGGACCTCTCCAAGGAGTTTGACCTTCCCAAGTGCATGTAGACACATCAAATACCGACTGGATCAAAAAATGTATAAGTGACTTTGCATATTCTTTTTAGGTGTTTTGTACAATATTCAATGTGTTAGTGTGCAGTATTAGGAATCAAAAGCATTGATGAGAACATTACACTGGTTTTTTAGTTACTGTTTCACTTTGAATGACAGGATTAATTTTAATGACCACTGTCTTGAAAGTTTGATAAAATTACAAACGTTTTATACCCAAAGATTCTTAATCATGATGGATGTCTTTATTTGTTCAAGAATCTTTGACATCTAAAAGATCAAAATTATTTTAATTATAATACCACGTCAAAATATATTTTCAAGGTTTCTGTCCAAGCTTTATGATGAAGTTGAGGAAACAATATTGATACTTAATACATGATTATTTCTATTTTGGAGTAGGCTAGGGACAATTCACCCATGGAATTCCTAATTAGGCAATTCTCAGATTTCACCAGATTGAGAAACACCTTGGTAGAGTTTCCATATTTAAACCATTAGGATTTGCTTTGTAACTGTTCTGTTCTGTACGTAGTGGTCTAATATAAAATGTTTGAGTTAAACTCAGCACGAGTGACATTCATCATTTACTTGACTGGTGTACATTATATAGGTAAACAGATTGAGTGTATTTATATAGTGTAAACACTGTGTGGTACCTGTATGTCTATTGCACCATCCATGTTAGTGTTTTATATACAGCCCACACAACACGGACTGATCCTCTGCAGGTTCAATAAGTTTATCTCTAATCCTTCTATACAAGTAGAATATAACAGGATACTTACCTAAATAATCTCTGGAGAAACACCTGATATTGGAACTGTCTATATAACTGTATTTACCTGTACATATAGTTTACAGCAGCTAGCACAGTCAGTGAACTGTTAACCCTATAATCACCTTAATAAATTTATATACAGGTGTGTACTAAAACATCTGGTAATGTGACAGATCAAGAAATATTGTATGGTACAATATAAGTTTAGTTTTAATATCAGGTAGACTTAACTTTATTTTCATAATTTTACCCTGTACAAATGATATGGTCTATGTGTGAGACTTATTATAGACAGTTGTAGTGGTGTGGTCTGTGGGTGAGACTTATTATAGACAGGTGTAGTGGTGTGGTCTGTGTGTGTGACTTATTATAGACAGTTGTAGTGGTGTGGTCTGTGTTAGAGACTTATTATAGACAGTGTAGTGGTGTGGTCTGTGGGTGAGACTTATTATAGACAGTTGTAGTGGTGTGGTCTGTGTGTGTGACTTATTATAGACAGATGTAGTGGTGTGGTCTGTGTGTGTGACTTATTATAGACATTTGTAGTGGTGTGGTCTGTGTGTGTGACTTATTATAGACAGTTGTAGTGGTGTGGTCTGTGTGTGTGACTTATTATAGGCAGTGTAGTGGTGTGGTCTGTGTGTGAGACTTATTATAGACAGTGTAGTGGTGTGGTCTGTATGTGTGACTTATTATATACATTTGTAGTGGTGTGGTCTGTGTGTGAGACTTATTATAGACAGTGTAGTGGTGTGGTCTGTGGACGAGACTTATTATAGACAGTGTAGTGGTGTGGTCTGTATGTGTGACTTATTATAGACAGTTGTAGTGGTGTGGTCTGTGTGTGACTTATTATAGACAGCTGTAGTGGTGTGGTCTGTGTGTGTGACTTTTTATAGGCAGTGTAGTGGTGTGGTCTGTGTGGGTGACCTATTATAGACAGTTGTGGTGAGGTCTGTGTGTGACTTATTATAGGCAGTTGTAGTGGTGTGGTCTGTGTGTGTGACTTTTTATAGACAATGTAGTGGTGTGGTCTGTGTGTGTGACCTATTATAGACAGTTGTGGTGAGGTCTGTGTGTGTGACTTATTATAGACAGTTGTAGTGGTGTGGTCTGTGTGTGACTTATTATAGTCAGTTGTATTGGTGTGGTCTGTGTGGGTGACCTATTACACAGCAACAATATAACTCCAGATTTATTGATGTAAAGTTGATCAGATTAGAAAGGAAGGAGGTTTTTTTTTAGAAATCAGTACAGAGTAGTTCTGTGAATCATACTGATGAATGAAAGTGACTCACTGAAATGTTTACTGTACAGTATTGTGTAGTATTTCATGGTTGAAAAAATCTTATTTATTTTACTGAAAAAAACTACCTCATTAATGTCGTGTTGATGTGTTACAGCACGAACAGTAACACTGGCCACAGACTTATACATTGTATGTCCATAGTACAGTAAAGCATGACTACGACTGAATAGTTACTGTACTAACTAGAATAGTATATCTCTGTTATGTAAAACATATAAAAAACACCTATTGATTTCTATACAGAGTTTTTATTTGACTGAGGTAGGAATTTGTATTCCCTTAACAGTCTTAACTACTACCTGGTATATGAGAACAGAATTTTTCAATATAAGTCAGTGAACCGATGGTAAATCCCAGCATATCATATTCACTTATCAGGAGTGTCTTCCTGTGATTTTTTAGCACTGTACTTATTTATATGTTCCTTTTGGTAGTATTCCTTGAAGTATATATACAAAATAAAGTGATATTAAGCATTACCCACATGAAAATAAGTGACATTATCAGAAGTTGGATTACATAGAATATATAGGAAAAAATCTGTGGGGCAAGAAAATGACATTAACAGATGTGACGTTAAGTGAGTTCCAGTGTATTGAATGTGTAGAGCCTACTGATACTTAAGATGAGCCAGGAAAATCTTTGTACCAAACACATAAGATATCATGATTGTTGAAAAAAAGCAATCTATGATGCTTTATATCAGCATAATCTTTGTTCATGAAAGTGTCTTTAATGATTTGAGAGAACGTTTCAGAATTTAGATATCAAAATTTTTTAGTTTAATTTTTAAAGAAATATCATGTAGGAATTCTATAAGTGTTGTTTTTCTAATTGTGTTTGGTTATCTTGGGTGTTTACAGTTGCCATCATTGGAGTTGAAGCCATGTCAGTCAGAGAAGTACCTGCCCTGGCCCCTCCCACACCCAAAGTCAGGGGCCCACCAGGGCAAATCCTCCGAAGCTGTAGCACTGGAAAAATTCAGGTATGAAAGCTGCAAAATATTTTGTGAATGTAGATATTTTAATATAGTTATACCCATTTAACTTCTTAATGAGCTTCAGTATTGTTTCTTTTGCAATGGATTTAATTAAAAAGGAAACATTTCTTTTTTCTTTCAGTCAAAAATATCAGTCGGAGAGGAATTTTTGCAAGCACACTCACCATAAATGGTTTTCATCGCTGTTTTCAGCACTGGTGAAGCAGAGGTTATGTTGCGCGTGAGTATATTATTACTATGATCTCTGCACGGACTGATTTGTGTTATATATACACCGTCATATAGAGCTGTTTTCTGCCGGTGAAGCTGGGTTATAAAGTCCAACTGATGTTTACTGAAGTCTGAACAGGGAAAGTTGATGAAAGATATATAGAGAAATGTATTTTATTTGTTGTTGCTCATCTTTAAGCGAATTATTATCACAATATTTATGATTTACAATCTTATTTTTTTTCGTCTGCATCCTAGTGATAAATGAATCTGCAAGATGAAAGTTGTCCAAACAGTGTGATATATAACCTGACATATGTGTATCTTTTGACTATATAGAAATATTTATTGTTTTTAATAAACAACACAATGGAACACATCACTGAATGTTTTGTGATATTCTTACCAGGGCATGGATAGGGCGTGCTCCCCCAGAGAACATATTGTTACTTGTTACATGTTTGAGAATACTGATGAGGGATCATGCCTTCCATCGACAATTTTTCGATCTGGGAGGTCTCAAAGTGCTTGCAGAAGTAAGTAGGGTATTAATTAGAAATCTTTAATTATGTAACTGTCCAAGCTGATTTACGAGATTTCTTATTAGAAATGAGATAGATATATATGAATATTTTTGACATCCTTATAATTACCTTAACTTATTTTTTTTTCATAAACCATGATATTTGATAAATTATTCCTTAACTGTGTTCTGAATTTCTAATCTGCTGTTTTGAATGATTTAATTACAATGTCTGGAATTTTTGTAGCATTTCCGGAAGGCTGCAGACAGCTACCTAATGGATGATCGGAGTCCATATGTTGTGGACATCCTGAAAGAGATGACTAGTAAGTGGACAGATCTGTTGCCAAATATTTTATACAGAGAAATCAATGTGGTAATCTTAAATCTGGGCAGAATTGTCAATTTTTAAAAAAAAATCTAATTGTTGAAGCTACAAAAGTTGAAGAATTGAAAGTTTGAATTTTTTTATTTTGTCGTTTGTTCTTACACTACAGGGATTGGGTGACACTAAACCTTTTCTTTCCTTTACAGATATCTTCCAGAAGTTATCTGCCGTAGTGTCACAAAGGACATGGCTGGTAGAGTACGATGTTCATGCTGTAAGTCAAAATTTCACCAGTTGATAAAAGATTTATTATAGAAAAATGAAAAGGATCTTGTTACAAATTCTTTTCTTTTAGAGAAAAAATGTTTTAGTTCAGTATTGCTTTATAGACATGACAATTGGTCAGCAGTTGATTGTGAATGTAATAAGTAGATATATATTTACTGGTAATTTGTATTTTCTGTTTATACACATATAGCCTTGCTTTGCTTATTTCAGTCTATTAGAAATTTTTCTGGTAGACTGTTGAAAATAATTTATGTGACAGGTAAAAATTTGAAGTTATCAAATTTTTATATGGTTTATGTTGCAGGCATTGGTGATGCTGTTACATGCTACAGATGTGGTAGTGTTACATTGTTCTCTACATGCCCTGTACGGCCTGGCTCAAAGGTACTACAGTTTATATTGTACAATAATCATCAATGCTTATACAGTAAATTAAGTCTCTAAAAACCATCAACACCAAGGGTATCTACATTCTCACTATTTCCATAATGGTTAATTGTACCTGCATTGTATAACTTTCCTTTTGTTTTTGTAGTGAAGGACCACGTAAAGTTATAGGCGAATCAAACTCAATAGAACAGTTGTTATTGATTGTGCAAGAGTATGATAATCTGGCAAAGAGGTGAGTCTAACTCATTAGAATAGTCAATATTGATCATCCAGGAGTACAATAGTTTAGTGAAGAATTGAGTGTAACTCAATAGAACAGTTATTTTTTATTGTCTATGACATCTAATTGAGAGATGAGTAAGAAAGAGAACTCCAATCTCTAATTTGATTCCAAAAAGCAATTAACCTTTACAATTTGACATGTTAACCATGAAAGATATTTAAAGAGATTAGAGATTTAAAGAGAAAGACATAATGCTGTCTTATGTCTAAGCTATAAATTGTCCCTATATTTGTGTTTGCAGGTTAGCAGCCCAGTTGCTGAAGTTACTTTGTCACGATTGTCAAAGTCGAGAGATGGTGAAGTTGTATGATGGAATTCCTATTCTGCTGAGTCAACTCCACTTTGATAATGTGCACCTTCTCCTCCCTGTTGTATGGTGTCTAGTTCAGCTTTGTGAAGACCCAAATGCAAGCAAGGAGATAAAGCAAATGGGAGGCATTCCACTTCTCTTGTCCCTTCTACAGTATGTTTACACTACTACACCTTACTCAGCGACTTGTCTCTTCTGTTGTATATTTGATTAGTAATACTGAAACTAACGGAAGGAAATTGTGGAGCAAAATTCATTTCTTAAAGGGATGATATTGTTCTGAAAAAGAACTAGAAAAGTTCAATTTTTTGTTTTGTTAATCTATCTATTTTTTGTGTGTGTGTGTTTTTTTTATATAACTTTAATACATGAATGTTACACTTTAAAAGTTTTGAAATTAAAAAAAAAAAGAAAATGCAAAGAAATGTTACATTACCATATTTGGTAAGCTTTATTATGTATGACTGGGCATCATTTGGCTTTTGCTTGACCATTGCAGTGACCGGACGTTCGTGACAGAGAGGACAGAAACAAGTGAAGGAGCTGCCAGTGCTGGTCCACATGGCAGAACAGTAGATGATGTAGGTATATCTTGTGATAGTCATGTGATAGTCATGTGACTGTAGGTTTTAGAATTACTGTCCTTTAGATGTTTTATTTCTTTAATGCTTTTGATGTTTTTTTTGTTTTTTTTTTAACTTTTACTTTCTTTTGATATTGAGCATGCTTTGTTGAAGAGAGAGGGTGAGGAGAATATCTATCTATGAGACGTTATTGGGTAACTCATCTTCTTTAGTCATAGAATATCTTTTATTGATTTCCAATTACAATATGGATTAGAAGATCTAGAGTATTTAATACCTGTATGTGACTAATTACTTCCCTATGGAGACCTAAACCCTGATTATCATGTATGTGTCATTGAGACAAGATCTCGGTGTAGGAAAAGATTTAAATACAGCATCACCTGTTTAGATCTGATGCAGATTTGTACCTGCAATCAATGACCTGATGACATTGAATAACAAGCAAACTTGTTACCAATCCTTGTTAGTCAATATTCCCGTAAAGTCTCGCTTTCAGAAAAGTGACTCCTTACTATTTCTGTCGAACAAATACTTGGTGATGATCATTTATAGTCTTTTTAATGCAAATCTATACACACCATACAATGGCCATTTGAATAATCTCCAACTGACTGAGAAATAAAATGTTTTTACTTTGGGAAATCAATACACCGACCAGGTGTAATTTTAGGAGTTTCCTTTAACCATTGTGTAATAGTGATGGCCAGATTCTGTTGTTAGGGTAACAGGAGACAGCTAATGTTGTTAGAAATAACACCTGGTTAATTACATAAATGTGCAATAATTGCAAGTGAAAATTGTTTCTACCTGGTAATTGCTTTCTAAATATATTCTAGAGTTTCTGCATCATTGTTAATGAAATAATAAACATCTGCTGATAACGTAGGAGTAATTGCAGGGAGCAATTAATTGATTTCTCTGCTTTTTTATCTTCTAGGTCATTGATTTTTAAATTACACATTTGTACAGAAATTAAACAATGACAAAGTTTTGACCCATTTTAGGTTTTGTTTTGGCTTATTTGATTATAAGAAGGAACTATTTACTGGGATATTTCAGGGTCTATTGCATTATATAGACTGGGGATTATTTATACAAAGAGTGCTCTATGTGTGCACTACATTAAAACTTTACAGATGTATGGAATTTTATCATGTACAGCCCAGTTTATATACATTTGTACAGGAATGCAGAAAACAATTAGAATTTAAGTGTTCAAACTTGTCAATTTCTGTGATTATATTTTGATTTCTCAGGCAATATGGGAAACTATTCCCTCCGAAATGAAAGATCCAGCCTCCAAGGTGAGATGGCTTGGCATGTCTTGTGTGACCCCTGATCCCATAGTCACATTTCATGGCTTGACCAATCATCTGTCACCATATCATGACCACCCTGTCCCATTGATCTGAAATTGACACCTGTCATAATGATAATGTTTCTTTGGTAGAACATTGGAATAAAAAATGTTTAATTGAGGACCAGTATGTCAATATTAAACACAAGATCAAATATTTTTGCCACATGTTTTTTAATATAGATATTATCATCACAATCACAAACGTTGGTTTAAATCGGAAAAAACACCATATCCCATCCATAGAAATGAACTATATTTAAATATTCACTTATTTTATAAAACAGTAAAGTTGGGAACAGGTTTTGATTTATCAAAAATTTCATGATATCAGCTCCGTCCTGTCATCATCAATATCATACTGACTTTATCAGGTATCAACATGTGTTTTTAACAGCCGCATGTGTCATCATCATCACTGCTTACCTTGTCCAGCATTAGTTATCTGTTCAAGCTTGCATGTATAGTATAAAATACAACATTATTAGCTATATATTCAGAACAACAGGAAGCTGAGTTTGATGTACGACGTACAGGACTATTCTCTCTAATTTTTTTTTTTAACTTAAAACCCAGATATACTATGATTATGTCACTTTGAATCAATATTTGTCTGTTCATCTTTGATAATTAGTTATCTCATTGCAACATAAAAGCCAGTTTAAGTTGTGAAAAGCAAAATAAAAAATAGCAATGGTTTACTAAATGCAAAATTGTAAACTAAAATTTCTCTTACAGAATTTTTAAGCTACCATTATCAAAAATATGATACAGAAAGGAATGATGATGAAATAACAAAACCTACAAAATGTGAATGGGAAATGTTTTCCTGATTTTCTCAGCACATCCAGACTGAACTTGATGTTATTGTAAACATTTTGTTAAAGTTATCTTTACTTTGGTTATTTCTTCAGACAAAAATGAAAAATGGAACATTAAATTTGAAAGATAGATTCAAGAAAAAGACTGTATTAAAACAATAAATAACTTGTACTAGATAGAAATTCTTCATCAATAAAAGATTACCAATCATGATTAAAATAAATATAGAAAGATATAAATAACTGAATAATATTAAAATGATTCAGTCCATTTTGTTGATTGTGTTAAATATCTAATTGATTGTATGAATTATGTTGTAAATGAGGGCTGATATTGCTACAGTTCTTGTTTAACTAAGTGTAGATTCAACTAAAAAATGTTCTTTCTTAATATATTTTGAATATATTTTAATTTTTTTTTTTACATAAAACAGTAAAATAGCCTTCTTATCATTAGATGTTTTTCAGTTAAGAAAATAATTCCAGGGAACATTTGTATAGCCCTCTGATAGCTCTGTATTGTATCAACTGGTGTTTGTAGACTCACACTAATAATTCACTGTCAGGCCTAATTACGTTTGGTTGATGATTGTGTGTATTTGGTATCAGTATTGCCAGGGTTCTATTGTAAGCGTTTTATCCTCTGATTAGGTTGTTGATGTATTGATATCCTATAGATTGATTTCTCTTCAGCTTGTCGTCTCTTAGTTTGTTTACAATTAGGATGATGACAAATGATCGTACAGCTGTATGGATAATAAGGCCTGATCAAATGTTTGTAAAGTTATTTGTGAAATTATGTCAAAAGCATTGATTGATTATGTAGTTTCAGGATATAATGAAAGAGCATATAATGTTATAATATAATTACCCTGTTATCAATGAAATAACTACGATAATATAATTACCCTGTTATCAATGAAATAACTCTGATAACATAACTACGCTGTTATTAATGTAATAACTCCAATTACATAACTACCCAGTTCTCAGTGTTAGAACACACATTGAATAATCTTTCCTTGTTACACATGTGTAATATGACCTAGCAAAACTACGATTGCTAAGTTCTTGGTCGTTCCTGTGTCCCCTAGCATCATATCCAATCCATTCAGATGCCCACAAAGAGATGAATACAGAGGAAAAATATTGCTAATTCAGATTTTTGTATGGTAAAATTTTGTTTTCAAAAATGTTTGTAAAAATGTCATATATTTGTCTTTATTCAGATGTATATTGAGGTTTATTAAACTTGTCACATATTTATCATTTTACCTCGTTAGTGTGTCAGTTAACTAAAAACAGAAAATTCTGAAACTTTTTTCATAAATTTCATTGGGATAAAATCTTTAAATAAATTTTAGATAATTTTAGATCATCAATTGACCATTTAGCCTTCTGAAGCAAATTTCCTGTATTTATTTACTCATTAATTTTTTGTCCGTAACATTGCATTAATCTGCTGCATTTTGAATATTCAACCTCTTCTTCAAAAAGAAAAATGAAGGGGAAAAACAAGAAAACAGAAGAAAAAAGGAAAAAATAAAATAGTTTCTTTTCCTTCTTCTTCTTCTTCTTCCAAATGTCATTGTTTTAACCTTGTTGTACTTCATTTTTATTCAGGCGGAAGAGCTCATGGAACAACAGTATTCTTTAAAAACAGGTATGTTGAATTATCCCTAAATTTTGACATTACATTATCATTATTTAATTAGTACATTAATGAGTTGATCATTTGGATTATTTTTCTAGGGACTCTTTCTGCTTGGTACATGTTATTGATATTCAAGTTTAATGCTAAAAAATCTTTTTGGTATAAAAAAACCATTTTCTCCACTAGCATGTTAAAGGAAAGAAAACTCGAGGTGAGAGATGTATATTGTTCTTTTTAAGATATACATGCTTTTTTTCTCCACTAGCCTGCTGTGCGGCGCTGACAGAACTAGTCATGAATGATGCTAATGCCTCTGAGATAGCCCAGGCTAATGGAATCTACTCCTTAGGACTTCTCATCTTACCCCCATCCAAGGACTGTGGTGACAAGGAGCGTAAAGGCATCGTTAATCTACAGGTACAGACATCTGTGGCCATATTTGTCCAGGAGACCAACACATATCCACTCTCTTGCTCGAAGTGAGGAAGTGCAGACAGAAAAATACTTATTAAGAAATATTTTTCAGGGAAAAATGTTATTCACATTTAATAACAAAATTTGCTGAATTTTATGAAATAAAGTGCTGCAAAAAACCCCAACTGAAGACAGCTACAAATAGAATTGAAAAAACTCAGAATGACTTTCTAAAATACTGTATGATTGGATCTTGAACTGCACTTTTTTTAATGGAAGGCGTAAAAGAATATTCCAAGCAATAAAAAAGTAGCATAATCCACATGTAGATGAGGATTATCAGTGTCAGACTAAATACAGTGTGATATGTTATATGTTACAGAGAAGTGCCTTCAGGACACTGAGGTTCCTCTTCAGTATGGAGAGAAACAGGAAGTTGTTTAAATTGCTGTTCCCGCCTCAGCTGTTTGAGAAGTTTATCAGTGTCGGCCATTACAATCGAGACCTTAAGGCCTACATGCCCTTGGTGGATGCTATCAATGGTCTCCCTGTAAGTTAGCTTAACCTCTCCTGCCAACTGACCGCAAAGAGATGCGTGTGTTGACTATCCCATCTTTTTAGAGTAGAAATGTCAGAATTGAAACATGTTATAAAACTTTGTTTTGATTATGTCCTTCATTCTATATTTCACCTGATAATTTAGATTGATGAATTTCATCGCATATATTTTGAAGTTAAATACTTTTTTTGCATGTATAAGTTGATTTTCTTCTGATATAGAATGTAGTGGGTCATTGTAACACATTTTCAGATTGATTTCCTGATATTAATCTCTCATCAAGAAATTTCAAACTTTTATATACTTGTATATTTTTACAGGGTGCTAAAGTTGAGGAGATAAAAAATAATATTCTGGAGACCAACCATAACAAGACCCCAAGTCGCCATATTGGAGAGTATGATGTGTTTGATATGCTAGGCAAGGGTGCTTTTGGCTCGGTGTATAAGGTCAAGAAAAGGACTGCTGGTCAGTCCTTCCTGGCCCTGAAGGAGGTAAGACACTGGTCAACATATTAAACCTATTTGTCAGTGGTCATGGACCATGCATTGAATCTTACTGGTTCCTATTCAAATAATCATGTGGTACAGAGGTAACACAATACGTCCAGGGTTTAATTCCCTTTAGTAAGACCACTCGTGTGCTTCAATCTGGGCGTGATTAGTACAAGTTGGATAACTTGTTTCTCAATTGTTGTAAAATAAATGAAGTTTATATTTATATATCTACTGATTACAAATGGTTGGTTTAATTTCATTAATGAACTGGCTTATATTGGGTTAAGGCAAAACAGTCAGCAACATTGTGGGACTGAACTCAATAGTTATGGTCAGTAACTATGTGTCATAATTCCTGGATGATGAAACTGTAAGAGAGGATAAACAGATAGATATATAGATATACATCATTGATGTGGAGTTATAATCCCTGTTAGAATTTAACATTTAGTGAATGCAGACCTGGTGTCGAAAATTTACAATTAGTGAAGTCACAACTGCCTCCATCAGTATACATAAAGTCAGGTAACTTATATTAAAAAACACAGTGACTTTGTTTTATTTCATTTTGGTAATTGTCTCCATATCCAGTCGTAGAACTGTAATTAGGTTGTTTCCCAAGTAATTACTTGTCAGAATATCATGATTTATAATGTTATGTTATATTTCAGGTAAACATAGACAATCCTGCTTTTGGTAATACCATCACAGACCAGAAACAGAGTGTTGGCGAACTGATGAATGAAATCTCCATCATAAGGGAGCAGATGAAGCATCCTAACATTGTCAGATACCACAAAACATTTATGGAACGTAAGTCAGATACCACGAAACATTTATGGAACGTAAGTCAGATACCACAAAACATTTGTGGAACGTAAGTCAGATACCACAAAACATTTGTGGAACGTAAGTCAGATACCACAAAACATTTGTGGAACGTAAGTCAGATACCACAAAACATTTATGGAACGTAAGTCAGATACCACAAAACATTTATGGAACGTAAGTCAGATACCACAAAACATTTATGGAACGTAAGTCAGATACCACAAAACATTTATGGAACGTAAGTCAGATACCACAAAACATTTGTGGAACGTAAGTCAGATACCACAAAACATTTATGGAACGTAAGTCAGATACCACAAAACATTTATGGAACGTAAGTCAGATACCACATAACATTTGTGGAAAGTAAGTCAGATACCACAAAACATTTGTGGAACGTAAGTCAGATACCACAAAACATTGGTGGAAAGTAAGTCAGATACCACAAAACATTGGTGGAAAGTAAGTCAGATACCACATAACATTTATGGAACATATGTCAGCTACCACAATGCATTTATGAAAGGCAAGTCAGACAATACAAAAATACATAGAACATGAGTTAAATGTTACAATATTTACAGTGAACACATATCCCATAACATTTGTGGTAAAGATGTCAGATATCAGAAACATTTCATGAAAGAATTTGTGAAGTTTAAAAGATACATGAGAAGATTTGTGAAACTGGATTTAGATAATTAACTGACTCCAGTGACAAACCATCAGACTAGTCAACTAGTCAATGCCATGATATCTTTTAAAAAGTTTTTCATCTTCAAATATATGACCCAAATTATGATACATTGATTTAAACATTTAATAATGATTGATTTTGCTTTTTTAGGTACAATTTACTGAATTGTTTCATTATGTAAAGATTCTCTATACACAACCAGGAATTTTAATATGTGATGTTTCGGTGACCAGTACGATCCGTACGCTGTCACCTTCTTCAGACAAATGACCAGTAAAGCATGTACACAATGGTGTGATATGTGTACGAGTTGTCGTGGAATAGCGTCGATTTCGGACATGCTGACAAGTGCCGAAATGACTGTTAGCGAATAGTAAAACCATTCGGCTACGCTCACGATGAATTGTTTCATGTTTTGGTTACAGATGAGAGACTATACATTGTCATGGAGCTGATAGAGGGTGCCCCTCTAGCGGAACACATTAATTCTCTAAAGGAGAAACGGGAGAAATTTCCTGAGGAACGTATCTGGAACATATTTATGCAGGTTTGATACAGCATTATTTTATTGATTTTTTCTTGAAATCATGATGTATTTCATAGTTTGTCTGCCATTTTATTAGGTGGGGCAGGGTGACTGGGGAATGTATGTAATGTTACCTGTGTAGTCCATCCCATTCTGTCTGGTTTTGAACGTTTGTCTTATTTTGAAAACTTCTCTATAGATTTGGTTTATATTTACCCCATAATGTCGTGACATGATGGTCTACACCCTATTAAATCAAGGTGGCCAATCAAACTTAGGTAAAAAGGTCAAAGGTCAATCAAACAGTGATATACTTTTATACATTGGACGGGGACATTCCTGTCTTGTAGACGCATAATATACTGGTATCTCATATACTGGTATCTCATATACAATCAAAAAGAAAAATTTTGTTTTCTTCAGTGTATATATTGTTATGGGTAGACATGTAGACAAGGATGTGTTTGTATCTTTATATGTAGTTTGGATGATGTTTGTAGATGGTGTTAGCTCTGCGCTACCTACACAAAGAGAAAGGAATACTACACAGGGACCTGACGCCCAACAATATTATGCTGGGAGACAGTGATGATAAAGTCACAATAAGTAAGTCATAGGTGTTTAGATGTTGTTCTATATCAATTTAGAGAATAAATATCTGAGAATAATTCTTTTACTAAGTCTGTAGTTGAGACTTCATGTAGTGGCTGCCTAATCCTGTTTCGGTGTCAGGCTGAACTCAAATAGATAACAGAACACCATACGCATCAGCACTAAGATTCATTGCTTTTTTACAGTGAATTATTAGATTTTAGAGAGGAAATGCAAGTACACACTCGTGAGAAGTATTGAAATTTTCTCTCGACTCCTCAATGTTGGCTGTTAATCACCAAGAAACAAAGAATGTCCTGAATATAAATATATTCATTATTGTCCTCTGTCTGAATATGATTATATCTGTCATTTTGCAGCTGACTTTGGACTGGCAAAGCAGAAGAGGACAGACTGTAGCAGGATGACCAGCGTGGTCGGTACGATCCTCTACTGGTGGTAAGTGAATTATATTGTACCTGAGATGTAGGTGCCATCCTCTACAAGTGGTAAATACACTAAATGCTAGCACTCTAATGCTATATTTGAGGATTTTGAAATAATTTTTACATAGAAAATCACTGGTTGTTTCATGACTTCTGCTGAAAAAAATTGTATTTGCTAGCACTCTATGCTATATTTGAGGATTTTGAAATAATTTTTACATAGAAAATCACTGGTTGTTTCATGACTTCTGCTGAAAAAAATTGTATTTGCTAGCACTCTATGCTATATTTGAGGATTTTGAAATAATTTTTACATAGAAAATCACTGGTTGTTTCATGACTTCTGCTGAAAAAAATTGTACTTGCTAGCACTCTAATGCTATATTTGAGGATTTTGAAATAATTTTTACATAGAAAATCATTGGTTGTTTCATGACTTCTGCTGAAAAAAATTGTATTTGCTAGCACTCTATGCTATATTTGAGGATTTTGAAATGATTTTTACATAGAAAATCATTGGTTGTTTCATGACTTCTGCTGAAAAAAATTGTATTTGCTAGCACTCTATGCTATATTTGAGGATTTTGAAATAATTTTTACATAGAAAATCATTGGTTGTTTCATGACTTCTGCTGAAAAAAATTGTATTTGCTAGCACTCTATGCTATATTTGAGGATTTTGAAATAATTTTTACATAGAAAATCATTGGTTGTTTCATGAATTCTGCTGAAAAAAATTGTATTTGCTAGCACTCTATGCTATATTTGAGGATTTTGAAATGATTTTTACATAGAAAATCATTGGTTGTTTCATGACTTCTGCTGAAAAAAATTGTATTTGCTAGCACTCTATGCTATATTTGAGGATTTTGAAATGATTTTTACATAGAAAATCATTGGTTGTTTCATGACTTCTGCTGAAAAAAATTGTATTTGCTAGCACTCTATGCTATATTTGAGGATTTTGAAATAATTTTTACATAGAAAATCATTGGTTGTTTCATGACTTCTGCTGAAAAAAATTGTATTTGCTAGCACTCTATGCTATATTTGAGGATTTTGAAATAATTTTTACATAGAAAATCATTGGTTGTTTCATGACTTCTGCTGAAAAAAATTGTACTTGCTTCAAGCTTTTAGTAAAGTTGTGAAAATTTGATCCACTAACAAAAAGAAACTGTACTATACAGGTGAATGGTACAGGCCAATCTAGCCTTTTGTTGCATAAGCCTTTGGTCAGATCATGGAAATTTTGATTAAGAAGAGAACCAATTCACAGTTTTACTCCTGAAGCGTGTTCTCTTTTTGTATCAGATGCTTTAAAATATCATTCAACACAGTCTGGTTGTGGTCAACTGCTGGAAGCATTACTCGGGTCTCGCTACATCGATTATTCCACTTGCAGACAAATATCTGTGTCTACCTCACATTTGTTAATGTTTAACACCCTTTTGTACAGCCCAGAGATTGTCCAGAACCAGCCGTATGGGGAGAAGGCAGATGTGTGGGCGCTTGGTTGTATCCTCTACCAGATGTGTACCCTTAAGCCTCCGTTCTTCTGTGATAATATGTTATCACTAGTCACCAAGGTAAGCAAGGGTCAGGTGTGGGCTACCATTTGCCAAAAGACACTGTATAATGAAGTAAGCTAATAATTTTCTGTTTCCTGAATTTGCAGTACAATTGCCTAACTTTTTCATCTCACTTTTTCTTTGTAAATTTTCATTTTTATTTTTTATGTCTTGTTTTTAAAGAAATAACTTAAAAAAAGACAATCCTATTCAAATTATTTGGTCATGAACCCATTAAACTATAAACTAGATACTTACAGCAGTTTCAGAATTGAAGAAAGTTGATTTAAAATGTTAAACATTGTTTTTTCACTCTGTAGATTGTGGATGCCAATTTTGCCCCTATACCAGAAGGACAGTACTCGGACAGACTCATTAACATGATCAACAGGTAGAGTATAACATGTTAATACAGACATTCAGAATCACAAATAGTATTAAAATCAGTATTTAAATCTCTACTGACCCTATTAATATAGACATCTTTCCCATTAAAATTTCTATACTGAACCTATTAATATAGCAATTTTCCCATTAAAATCTCTATACTGACCCTGTCAAATAGACATTTTTCCCATCATTTTGAATTTCTATAATAATTGTTCTTGTAAATTAAGTGATCTTCTAGTCAGGTTTCCAGACAGAGGATTTCTATTCATTTAGTATACATACATGTAAAGCCAGAGAAATTGTTTAAAACATAATGATTTTAAAATTATTTCAAATGATAAATAACAAGATGATTTGTGTCAGCATCAATGTAAGCAGAGTCTTAAGTTTCTGTATGTTTTTGTTTTTTTAGCTGTATCTGTCAGTCCACCGAGAAACGACCAGACATTGTACAGCTTGCTGGAATGATGGCAGACAAACTTCTCGTCCACATGGACAGTCTGCGCACAAACCAAATCTCCATGGAGAAGAAACTTGAGAAAGAGCGGACAAAGGCCCAGAGGTAAGGTCATAGAGGTCAAAGATATCACACTGTCATAGAGGTCAAAAGTCACAGTCATAGGCAATCACAGTGTTCAACTTCTGGAAGGTTAATGAAAGTCACACCATGGACAAAGTCACAAAAGTCCAAATCTTTGAATTGCTTTGATACTAGAAGTCAAACTGTCCTGTAAACTCCATGTTTGAATGGATACAATTTAACCTCTGTACTTGACTTTACTGCCAGATATAAAAAGTGAGACAGAAAGATTATATTAATATTATATATTTACTTCATACAATCGTGTCTTTGTTTTATAGACACTATTTTGAAGCCAACCAGAACATGCAGAATTATCACCGTCTGTTCCTGGTATCCAAGGAACGATATGATCGCCTTGCTAACCTGGCTGGGAGTGGAGGAGCTGCAGGACTGAAGAATGGGGAAGTAATTGACCCATCACTGGTGGACATTGATATTAATTCCTTGGCAGGCTCTGTGTGCATGCCTACTTCTATAGACATGGACATTGACCGTGGCACAGGTCAGTATTACATTGTAATATTGTTAAATTTCTAAACATATAAGTAAAACTATTGTATGAGGTTGAATAATATTTTGATATGAGTTTTTTTTATCCCACATCATTAGATGGGTGATTCAAATTTCTCTTTATCTGTCATCTGTCCATTGTTCGTCTGTCATGCAAAAATATTTGTTATTGCTATTTCTGGAGAAGCACCAGATCTATCATTCTCAAATTTCATATTTAGATTTCTCTTAATTCCTAGTTGTGCATACTTCATTTTGGGTCTGATTGTCGAAAGAAAATGGCTGACAGGTGGCCACTTTGTGTTTTTGACAGTCATAGTTTTTTATTGCTATCTCTGTTGAAGTACCTCATATATCATTCTCAAATTTCATGCATAGGTACATCTTAGTGGGTAAATGTGCTTTGTCAATTTTGGGATTTAGAGAAGTATACAACAACAAACAGACAACAGACTTGGATTTTTACTATGAATGACTATCATTACTGTTTCTCGAGGAGTACCAAAAAGATCTTTCTCAAATTTTAAATGCAGGTTCCACTTTTTCCCCTAGTTAAGATTTGGAAAGATTACATAAATTACAAGATTAGAAAAAATTACAGTAAATGGCATGTTTTTTGCCTATTTTCAGGTTGGACGAGTGATGACGAGAGTTACCCCAGCAGTGGCAGTGAGAGTCGAGAGAGTAGTGCAGGAAGTACCCGCTCTCAGAACCATGCTAACCTTCGTAAGGCACTGCCCAAACCACCGACCACTCCTAAACAGTTGCGGAAGGACCGGCCATCTCGTAGTACTGTTGCCTTTTACAGTCCACTAGTACTTGACATCCCAAATACACGTAAGTAGTAAATGGTTTGATGTTACTATATATCTGTATCATTACTCAGAATGCCATTGTTCAGATGTGTATGCTGTTCACATTGCAATATTGAAATTTTATATTAAAGTGTCAACAAAATTAGATTTTTTAAAACAATTTTAAAAAGTATATATATGCATGCATGTTTTAGATAGCCTATATTCCCGACTATTGAACAGAGTTTGTGAATTGAAATTTGTTTCAACAGATTAGTCCCTGAACTCACAACTTACACTGTATCTGCCACATAGAGTACAATTAATACAAAGCTATGTTGGTTTAATGTAATTACCTGAATTGATCTGTTGTAGCAAAGACAAGTCGTGACTCGGGGTTCAGTTCAGGTGATCCTTCACCTAACAACAGTAGTGCCTGCAGCAGTGTCGGGCCGCTGGACCCTATCACCAATGGTCCCTTACAGGCTGCTGGCTGTCGTAAATTCTCTCGCTCTAACAGCACTCCCTCTTCCAGCTCACCGGCCCGTAAAAAGAAACACAGCAAGCGACCAAGTAAGTTACCTAAAACATGTAGAAAGGGGAATCATTCTTCTGGATTGGCTGTGAATTTTTCTTCATGAATTTCTCATTTAATAATGTGAATATTCATTGTGAGTTGAGATATTTTGCCACAGCGCTCTCTCCTGCATTTCAAGTATTTGAGAACTAATTGCTGAAATACACTTGAAAATTAAAGAATTTATGTCAAATCTGAAAATTTTATTGAAAAAAAAAAGAAATATCATTCAAAACATGTTTTCCAAAGCATATGTTTTAACTGGGTTTTATTTGGACTATCTGATGTTTTGTGTTTGTTGAATTGTTGTAATTTCTTACCGTTTGTGTTCTGTTAACAGATAGTGCTAACACACCAACACTGACCATATCACAGCGTCGTGTACGTCAAATCAGTGACCCAATTTTGCAGATGTTACATCAGCTCCACAAAATTATCTACATATCCCAGGTACAAACAAGGAAGTCCTCAGTCTTATACAGTGTTAAAATAAAATGCTCAAGTTGAATATTTATGATTATATATAATCAGACACATTGTTGTATGTATTTCTGTTGAAATTAACAAAGTAAAAAATTTTCATTTTAATTCATTTTTTTTTTTTTTTTTTTTTTTTTAAATTTTTTTTGTTAATAGCGTTGATATCTATTTCAGCTACCTCCCACATTGTGTCCTGATGCCAAGCGGAGGAGAATTGAACGGTACAAAAGAACCCTTTTTGCTCCTCAGAGTACAACATTTAATCTTAAAAGTGAATTGAAAAAGGTATGCAATTTTTTTCCCCTACTTCTGTCTATAAAATCTAATAAAGTCTGTAGAGCCATCTGTATTTTCTTATTAGATAAGATTTGAAACCTTTCTAAAAGAAATAACAGAATGTGCTATTTGGCAAAGATGCAGACATTGGCATGTGGAATCAGTGGGATTTTAGAGTAAGGTTGTAAAAAAGTCCAAGAGTCATTTCAGCATTTATGAATCGTGATGATGCGTTTGTAAATGAGGTATAAATTTCTCTCTTTTCACAGTTAATGTCGGGATCAAGGGAGATAATTGATTTTAATCTTGGTCCTTCGGATTCCAAGCGCACTGGATCTGCAGGTTCTACCAAGTCTTTGGAGACTGAAACGGGCAATGGAGTTGAAACAGACATATTACGTAAGACATTTTTTTTCACTCCTACATATGTTTAATCAATATTAGTCATTTCATTTTATTATCAATATTCATCATTTCATTTCATCTTCAATATTAGTTATTTCATTTGTCATCAATATTACTCACCATTTGAATAAAGAAATACATAGCAATTTCATACTACCCAAATTTTTTATATATAATTTTGGGCAAAGATTATGTATATATAGTGTATTTTTGCCCTCTTTGTTACAATTTTGTTTTCGGAGCAAAGATTATGAAACTTTAGGACTTTACAGTTAATGATTTATGTTCAAAATAGATTTCTTGTGTACATTTTTTATCAATGTAAAGTATTCAATGTGATGACATTCAGGTTTTGACTGTGTTATAGGAAATAGCCAATGGGAGGCAGATCCCAAAGATGGCAGTATCACATACGAACAGCTACATAATATGATAGAAAGCACTCTTCTTTCCTGTGGGTACTACAACATGTCACCTAACGCACACGAAAAACACCCTCCATTGGGACCAATCAGTGTGGACCTAACAAACAGTCGAAAGTATGAAACGCCAAGGTAGCAGTAAACTGTCTTATCAAGCAGTGATATCTTCATAAACAGAAATGTACCTCACCAAACAAGCCATGTCAGAACTACAGTCACACTACTCGTGTGAACGAGAAACACTATCAACCTTCCAAATCTTGTGTAAAAATGATGGACAGAGTAAGGCTTCTCAGTCTTGTGTTGAATTGATGGATAGAGAAAGTATATCAGTCAGCTAATCAGTATTGAGTTTACAAGCATTTAAGTTGTGGCCAATACTGCGAGGATGTGTTCAGTGGTTTAGAGGTTGTCCTTCAACATTGTGATGGAAAAGTTTAATCAACAATGTGATTTAAAATTGTGTCCCAAGGGGCAGAATTAAGATCTGATGTAAAGGAAACTGACTGCTCTGCAGGATTTAGAAAAGTTTACCTGTTAAGGATACTGCTCTGTAGAATCACACACTGAGGAAAGTTTACCTGTGAAGGATACTGCTCTGTAGAATCACACACTGAGGAAAGTTTACCTGTAAGTGATACTTCATGATGTCAAATGTTGCTTGGGTGATGAACATAAGGGCTTTTTATGTGTCCCATCCAGACTGGAGGTTGCTGTAAAAATGAAGTGTATTTACCATGTCTTTCTGTGCTCACATTCCTGTATTTTGTGTGCAAGCAACCAGGACCAGTCCCTCCTGTACTGCATCTGTCAGCAACCAGGACCAGTCCCTCCTGTACTGCATCTGTCAGCAACCAGGACCAGTACCTCCTGTACTGCATCTGTCAGCAACCAGGACCAGTACCTCCTGTACTGCATCTGTCAGCAACCAGGACCAGTACCTCCTGTACTGCATCTGTCAGCAACCTGGGGCTTAGCCCTTCCTAGTACGGTATCTGTCAGCAACCATGGTGTTAGCATGTTTTGTACTGTATCTGGTAGCAGCAGTCCAACCTTTCCTGTACTGTATCTGCCAGCAGGTGGCTAGCCCATCCTTTACTGTATCTGTCAGCAGGTGGCTAGCCTTTCCTGTACTGTATCCATCAGCAGGGTTCTAGCCATTCCTTTACAGTTTCTGGCAACAGGGAACTAGACCATCCTTTACTGTTCCTCCCAGCAGGGGACTAGCCCTTCCTTTAATGTATCTGCCAGCAGGTGGCTAGCCCATCCTTTACTGTATCTGTCAGCAGGTGGCTAGCCTTTCCTTTACTGTATCAGTCAGAAGAAGGGGGCTAGCATTTCCTTTACTGTTTCTGCCAGCAGGGGGCTAACATTTTCCCTCTTTTCCTTCTAGCCAATGCAATACATTTGGTTTCAGATTAATTTTATGAACACAAACAGTTATCTATAACTTGATTTTCAAATCTGAACAAAATGTAGGTGTCCATTTAGATACTGTATATCACATGAGAGAGTCCTATTACTTTCTCTAGCTGTTTGAACATTTCCAAAATTCTATGAGACTTTAAACTTGGTTGTCTGAATTGTTTTGTTACATTCTGTAATCTGTTATATAACTTAAGATACATTCCCATTTACAGTTGCTGTATATCACATTGAGAGAGTCCTATTACTTTCTCTAGCTGTTTGAACATTTCCAAAATTCTATGAGACTTTAAACTTGGTTGTCTGAATTGTTTTGTTACATTCTGTAATCTGTTATATAACTTCCCACATATATCTCCCATATTGTTGCCAATAAATTAATCTGTAGTGTGATGTACACTTCCCAGATATATCTCTAGTGTGATGTACACTTCCTAGCTATATATGTAGTGTGATGTACAAATCCCAGTTATATCTGTAGTGTGATGTACACTTCCCAGTTATATCTGTAGTGTGATGTACACTTCCCAGATATATCTCTAGTGTGATGTACACTTCCTAGCTATATATGTAGTGTGATGTACACATCCCACATATATATGTTGTGTTTTAATTGATGATACAACTCTGAAGTCATTTCATCTGATAATTTTATTGTTACTTGTATTATACATCATACTGTATGATTCCATCCTTTGAAGTGCTGTTTTGTATATAAAATTTTATGCCGTGTTGATCATCTTATGATCTGAGGAGTTAGTGCCGTCCATATTTATATTATTGTCTATAGTTGTTGATAATTCTTCACTTGTTTAGTCCTGTAATTTATTAATGTTTGTATAGTCTAGAAACAAAATCATATTTATTACAAACAAATCTAATATATTTCATTGTTAATTGACATAGATCAATCTTAATTATTTATTTAATTATAGCGTAAATCTTGTTCCATTCAATGGGAAAATTATGTAAGGTTTATTGAAATTCACAAGATGTTACAAAACACAAGACTTGTATGAATTAGTTTATATGATTTTTAAAGAACCAAATCCTCATGTAAATAATATATGGAAAATATTAAATAGCACACTGCTTGTGCTTAACAGAATAGAAAAGGTGAAGGAGAGACAACTTCAGAAGACTTTGTTTTTAATTTGGAAGACTTACATTCCAAGATAGATTTAGGGACATTGACAGTTGTTTTAGTTTATGATGAGTGATTGTTTAATCAAATAGAATATGTCAAATGTTTGCCAAAATTAGAAACATCATAGAAATGGTCAGGACCACTTAAGGATCAGTTGATAGTTGTGATACCTGTCCTGTGGTACACATAGTTCATTTTCATTTCTAAACTTATGATCTTCCAAATTTTTATATCCATAATGAAATTGTTTATTTTTTTTCTGATATTATTGCAATCCAGAGTGAACGCGATATTCTTAAATTCAGGGGAGAAAATATTTGCAACATAATTACATGCTGAACACATTCTGAAAATAAAAAAAGGGATTTGATTTTCCTTTATTTTGAATAAATATATGGTTTTGTGTCCCGCAGAAGTTAAATTACTGGGAACCTTGTTGTCTGATATAATCAGTTTTATCTGATTACCTGATATTTATTTCCTGAAAACACCAATCTTATCAGTATTATTGCCAAAATAATCTATTAATATGTGTTGTTTTTCTGTCTAATCCACTGTTGGTGTAACAAGTGTTGCTTTGCTGTGTTTTTTTCACTGTTCTTGTAACACTGCATTTTGCTGATTAATTAATGAATTATCTGCTTTTTTCATGAAATACTTGAAGGAATCTTGATCTAAATCAAGATAATTTCTGAACAATCATTCACAATTAGATTTGGATGGTATTTATTGGTATTTTTCAGTCTGTAATCTCTGAACTTACATGTACATATATAATGCTATTCAAATATTTGTATGCGAGATATTATCTTCATATGTAATTATCAGTAGATTTGATTTTTTTGTTCGACTCCACTACAAACCAAGTAAATTCTTCAAGTAATCGTCAAAATCAGTATGCTATGAGGCATGTGGAAATATCTCACTGGTGTATTTAGTAATATTCTTTTGAATTACCATTCAATGGTGTGTTTGTTGGTACTGTCACAATACAAGACTTGTGTCTACACTCGAATCAAATCTTAGTGTTACTTTTGTTAGTGTGTGAATCATATTTTTTGTGGTTTTGTCTTTATATTATCTAATGAATTAAGTCAGAGTTACACAAAATATGTATCCCTTACGAACTGTTCAAATAAGATTTTTTTTTTTTTTTGGCTTTTAGAAAAATGTTTTTATTGATAAGAACAAAGCTCAGTTAGTGTAATGTATATAAATAAGAAAAATCAAGGATAAATGTTTATATTTTATTTGTGTTATGCATGGGACTTTTTGTCAGTAATTGCCTTTTATGAAGAACATTCCTGATTCACATTCCCTTACTACTGAGTTACAAGGCGATAGTTTCAAAAAACATTCCTGAAGGAAACTGCATTTTTGAATTGGATGATTGTGAAATTTGTGAAATTATTCTTAAAAGTTTTACCTCAGCTCAAGTTGAAAGAGTGTTCAACAAAACTATAAACATAGGCACAAATCAATTCAAGATGTTATTTTCAGTTCAGGATAAAAATGAAATTTATGAAATTATTCTTAGAAATTTTACCTCAGCTCAAGTTGAAAGAGTGTTCAACAAAACTATAAACATATGCACAAATCATTTCAAGATGTTATTTTCAGATCAGGATAAAAAGGAAATATTTCAAAATTCTGATTTTGAAAAATAATCATGATAGAAAAAAGTCCACTCACATATTTAGTGTGAATTTAGTAAATTTGCCCTAAATTTAATATTTTTGTATGGTGTGTATTACAATACACTGATATCAACGTCATCATTCCATTAATCTCAGTGATTTAAGAAGATAATTGGTATAATTATTTATATGTAATATTTATTAATTTCCATTTCGTACATAAATATTTCAGTATTGATTTGCAATGTGTTATCTAACTCGCTTTATTTTTACATTAATTGAAATCCAACATTTGAATGTAACTTTGGATAGACTTCATGCCAGTCCCTAAGTTATGTTCAGAAAATACCATGCTGCATTTGACTAGAATTAGATCTCCTAAGGGATCAGAACAGTAAGACTGATTTTTGATGACCAGACTCCGTCTAAACTTAAGGATGTAATTTTGCATAGTTAAGTGTCAATATACCGTCCACATTCAAGAGATCTTGTCATTATACATTCATAATTTTACAGAATTTTATAGTTTTGTTTGAGGAACTTTCATTATTTACAAAAGTCAACTGACCATATTCCATCCTCCCACCGAGTCATTGTCCCATTTTATCAGACTTTTTTTTAAAAAGTATTTTATCAAAGTTCTCTGTTTTGGTTTTTTTACCATATGATACACATAGATACATATATATATATATTTGTCTCCAATCCATGTTATCAAAGATTGTATATTTGTGATGAGAGAAAAATACATTTGCTCCTTGATGTTCAAATATTATGCAAATCGACCAGGTCAATGAAATGTAGTTGTTGTATTTGTATTTATATTTAGAAGTATTGATTAACATACCATAATTTAAGTTGCTTATAGCTGTTTTTCCCCTCAGAACATGTCTCTATAATAGTTATGGCAGGAAATGACTAAGAAAATCAAATACACAAGTTGACGATGGGTCATTTATGGCTATGAATATCAGATTTCATATCTTTGAATGTTTTCAACGCTTAAATTTTTCAAAAGTAATGTAATATATTCTGCTTAATTAAAACACATCTTTGCATTAATAATACAGTTTGAAATGTGAATGTCATTTCCATCATCACTTATCATCCAATCATAATAGTCACAGAATACAATTTTTATTTATTTTCAATCACACATGGTGATTTCTGTAACATCAGGTTTGCCGTCCAGTCATTTGACTATATTTTGTCTCCAATGTTGTTTTTATTTATTTTGTACACAGACTTGGCACATCATTATATGTGTTACGGTATGATTACCTCATACAACCTGTTATTATGACTTATGAATAAATTTCATATATGAACTTTTAAAATTTTGTTTAGTACTTTGTTGTCATTGCATTGTCTACCTGCATCTCTGAAAACCTGTAGACTAAGTTTTGTCTGTCAGAAGTTAACATTCATAACGGAATTATGATACATTTGTATTTGGAACAATCCCATCATGAAAGGGGATATTAGTCTTAGTTAAGAAAGCAGGGAGGTTTCTATTGAGAAAATGAAAAACTCAAATAAAAAAAATCACTACTTAATCATGTAATTCAAAAGTAGGCTATATGTAATGTGTTTGTCATACTGAAAGTGACGATCGAGGTAAATGGCTGATGTCATCGACTATTTAAACGTCAAGACCAAATAAAAACATTAAATTTTGAAGAGACGGTCACATGGACAAGAAAAATGGAAGAGTAGTCGAGAAGTTCCAGCATGCAGTGTTCACATGTACCATTATATCAATAGAAACAAAAACAATACAATACCAACATGTCAACATAATCATACTACAAACTCATATTCAACAAAACTAGGGCAATATATGATAGAAATAAAGATTTACACAGAGACTCTTGAAAAAGTACACAAAAAATTAAGACCAGATGTTCCGGAGGAGTAAATGACTTCTGCTTCATGGACAATACCCGCCGTGTAATCATGGTCAATCCATGTAATATCATGTTATCAAATGAGAAAAAGGCATACAACAACGGAACCAACAGGCTCACGAACGAGCATCTAACACGTCCAGCTTTATATTGTACATGGAAATAGAATATTTGTTCAATAACATCACCATGACGACCGTAAATCTTCCTCATAATTTTCATCAACTTGCATCTTTTGAAACCGTGGTACGAGTTTGACCGTTAGATGACAAAATACCCTGAAAGGTAGTTAACCGAATCATAAGGTGAGAAAGGACTTCGACATCGAGATTTAACAAGTCAAGGAGGGGAATTAGTGTATGCATTAAGCTTGTATCCCTGTCCAAGAGAATGAATTAATACAAAATTGTTCAAACCAAGTTGCAGAAAACAGAAAACACCGACTATCAACAGAATCTTCATTCAAACTAAAATTCAGTGCAAGTACAGCAAAATAGGAAAAATTGAAAGATTTACACGGAAATACCCAGCAAAAGTACAAGCAGAATGATACTATATAATAGCAGTTCTCATATCACAACCAGTAGAGATATAAGTGTGACGTTCTGATGACTACACAGACACAATCATGAGACAAATGTGCGCAGTGCGAGAGTGACAGTCTTGTCAACGAAATGCCACGCTTATATCATCTTCTATCGGTTGTGTTATAAGGCCTTATTTTCTACTTACATTACCAACCCCAAAGAAAAGAACCGAGAGAATACGATTGGGTGAGATTAAACATAATATTGACAAAATCGGTCTTCCAGTATAATTCAATGTTTGGAGAAATTGGACAGAGAATCGTTCACCGGGTACATGCCGAAGTGCTTTGGAGTACCTCCTTGTTTCATTTCACTCGGTTTTACAGTAGTTCAGCCCAGATACAGTGACCACTACAATTAATGCCGGAAAAGTTTAATATGGAGAAATGGTTCTATTATGACGCTGCAAGATTTCAACGACGATAAAGAAAGATTTGCATGGTTTAGGCCAAAACATACAGAAAATGTCAGCGAGCAGAGAAGTAGAGGCACAGACAGCAGATTGTTTCATTGAGAGAGATAGGGCCTTGATACTTAAACGATAAATGCGAAAGCGATTTTATATAAAATTGTGCAAAACTGGAGAATGACTGTAAAGAGAGAAAGAGAAACAGGTCAACCTAGGATAACAAGTTTAGGCACTGATACAAGAGACTAGGTGATCAAACAGGTTACCACCCGATCAGAGTTCTGAAAGTACCCTCATCTCAAAAATAACTTCTCATCTCAGAATAGGTCCAGCGCACGATGATCTCACACTTGCAATTTGAGAAAGATGCTAGCCAAGAACTGGAAAAAGCTGAGCAAAGTTGAAGCAGCTTGTTCAGGAGGAAGAAATGGTTGATGGGAACAACATTCATTTGGGAAGGAATTCTGTATCAAGCAGAATTCTGGCAGGTGGATGTAGACTCCGATCACAGTTTTTCTTTATCAGAAGTGGTATCAATGAATTCTTCTTGACCTTCTATGGAACAAAACGTTTGCCTTAATCGAGCTCATAGTCACATGGGAGAAGAGGTTCGTGAGCAGAAGAGGTATGATGTATGAATACCTGCTGACAGGATGCAGCGACAAGAGACGGCAGGCATAGCTTTTCCTTGTAGATTAGGAATATAGAAGCTTCCCAACCCAATTGTGTGGGCAAATGCTGAGTTGACAAGGCGTAACTGGACGAAACCGGAAGTCAGCTCCATTGCCGTTCAATCAGGTTTGATTTGAGTGAAAAGAAAGCCGAACCATTCTAAACAGGGTCAGTATTGATGGTATGCAGCCATATAAAGGACGTCACAATATGTATCAAACAAATCAATGCAAAATAAATTTACAAAATAACACAAATGTTTTATTTTGAGAAATAATACATTCTACAGATAGAGACTAAATATAAATGGACGGATTAATTGAATGGTTAAAATAATTTGATAAGTCATCTTTTGTTCGTTATTAAATATCATTGTAATGCAGGTTTAAAGGAATTTATAGATGGCATAATGCCATGCTGAGTTTACACCTTTTTTGTCTATGTATTAAATCAAGATAGGTATTCCATTGAAATCCTCGTTTATACATCATCGAGTCGAACTGTTATTTAGGAGACATGCATTCTTAGAAACACCGATATGATGGGCAAGTATTGTGTTCGGATTCACAGAGAGATGTTATGACCTTGTAATAAATACATCATCGTGACGCAAACAACCAACAGGACAGCCAGCGGAGACGCGTGGTCGCCTACAACAGAGTATTCAGAGATAACCGGGGTAGGTGCTCATTTTAAAAACTATTCTGAATTCTTTTATTGAAAACTGGTAAACGGGTAAAAAAAATCATACCTGTATTTGAAATTTAAATCGGTACATATTACATATCAGGTTGTTGATTTGATGTTCCAGATGAATTAACAAGACTTCATTGATGTAATAGTATAATTAAATTCCGAATTATTTTGTATGAATTATATTATCTCCTATCTTACTAAAACAATAAACCGCGTCACGACCTTACCGATGTTATATACTTACTAAAACAATAAACCGCGTCACGATCTTACCGATGTTATATACTTACTAAAACAATAAACCGCCTGACGACCTTACCATTAATACCATATGAATTATTATATCTTATTTCAGTAAAAATATACTTATTCAAATACGATATTAGATGCAATTGATAGTATAAAGATTTTTGTGTCACAGAAACATCAAAGCTGACCTTTGTGACGTATTGTAATTATACGTACCACTGCTGTTGTAATTAGGATTGCCTGTGTCACAAGATCTGTTCTGTCCTATAACACAACCATCATAACAATTACAAGAAATATCTATGAACCACGTGAAAGTCTAGAAACCAACACACCTCTACAAAATAAATTGACGACAAAGATAAACTTATCATGAACCAATAATGGATAGGTAACAGGAAGATAGACTTCATATGAAAACAGCAAGAACAATAAATTTTGATTTAATTAATAAAACAGATTATTGTAATGTAAACGTCTCCTGAATTGTATTTTTATGTTTTAATGCTTTCAATATCAATCGTTTTAATGAAGATGTAATTAGTACTTAAAACATTTTGGTTTGTCGAATCTTCGATGAGTTTCAGTCAAAGTAACATTCCTTTACTATCACTAAATTGTGTTGCATACAAAATTGGAAACCGTGTCACAATCTTACTGATGTTATATACTTACCAAAACAATAAGCGGCGTCACAAACTATAGTACTTTGCAGCTTGTAGACGTAGTAAGTTTGACAACTTTTAATCGATATATTGTATTCATGTAAACAGGATCCATCGATACCCAGTTCACACGCAGTCCTGTTAACTGTGTCACCATCGGTAGGATGAGTATCTGTAAGTATGAATAAAAGACACACAAATGAATAGAACCTTTAAGTGATTTCAAAGTAGATACAGTAGAGCCAAAATATTGATTAAACTGCATCATCGAACTTTCGCGGACTAACGATACTACAGTCATAAATTCAGAAGCCTAGGAAGCAACTGAGGAAAATTCAAAGTGATGTAATGTATTTTTATACACAGGCACTATCAATACCTAGTTCGTTCGAGGTCCTGTTAACCGAGATAACATCTGTTGCATGAATACATACAAGCAATATTGTATTAACTTACAAAGAACCCATCACTATCAATTTTACACGACGTCCTGTTAACTGTGTTCGTATGGTAGGGCGAGTACCTCGATGTACATTGGTATACATAAAATACACCCTTTATTCAATATAAATTTTCAAGATGAAGTTGAATAATTCGCGTTTGTTAATTTCCACCATCTTTCTTACAGAGCTGGCTTTCGGAATGGATTGTAAGATCCACATGAGATGATGAAATATTAAACATTAAGTATGTTTTTATAGAGACCAATGTAAAAATCGCAGTATTCTTTCAGAACACGAATAAAAAAGTTACATCACGACAGGATCTTAATGACATCAAAATAACCAGCAACGACTAATATTATATATTAAGATCACTTCATAATTAACAGAAATGTTATGCCAATAAATGAGAACATATACCATTCATCCAAATAGGAAAAGATGTGCCACAACTGTTGACTTGTGGTGGTTGTGTTACGATCTGTAAATCTTCCCCGTCATTGGTTACTCTATACCAGACGTCACTAACGGCGTATCGGTCACACACAGGAGTTCTGTCGTCACCAGTTATTGTGCACTGTGTCCCGCGGTCCCCAGCTCGATGTAAATAATGGCTGGTGTTACAAGGTTCAGACAGTCCTGTATCCACTGGTAGATAACCAAAACAGTGATATGTTAATAGGAACGAGCAATGGAAATGTTCACGTGAGAGTTAAGAATATACCAGACAAAAAATTCAAACAAGGGGGAGATATTTAGTTAACAAATGCAACTGGACAATTCTTCAACAAATCTATGGAGCTCATAACCAAAAGATAACAAATTTAAAGATCTGAATCTGACATTTGAAAAAGATGTAATATAGATTAGTGCAGTGGGTGTGGGTGGGTGAGTAAGTGGGTGTATGTTTGTATGTATGTGTTTTTACATGTTGGGAATCTAATGGGCAGTTGTTGTATGTGTTATATAGTTCACATGTATTATCTCTACCTACTGTTTAACCACGGGGTGCCCATGACGAGGAGAAGACGATGTTCTGCAATGGCTCAATGTGTCATGTAGCTTATCTGTATCATCTTTAATGTTTTACCGATGCAGAGGACATGACCTGGAGATGATACGGTTGCAACAGCGGTTCGATGTGTGACATGATCTCTGAATGTTGGTGCTGTTGGTGCCGTTAAATATGGTTGTGTGTCTGGTATAGCTTATTGGTATCATTTCTATTGCTTTACCTGTAGGGAGACCAGGACGAGGAGTTGACACGGTTGGTACAGGAGTTGTACCACGACAGGTGTCGGTTCCTGACAAAAAAGAAATAAATTGTAAGAATACATGCCGATTTTGTCTAAATGATAACATCATTTTTTCTATCTACGTGATTTAGAATAATATCACAACACTTAACCTTTACAATTTAGCGCCATCTATATTGTTATTATATCAAATAACTCTTCTAGACAAAATGGCAGCCTTGTGTCGTCACTTGTTTGACACCTACCGAAGCAGTATGCTGCGTCACACGTGGTTGTAGCTCGGAGTTTGTAGACGTGGAACCCATTACAGCTCATGATGGTGACATTGTAGGTACTCTGGCAAGTATTATTTATACCTCGCATACACGCCGTTAAGGTTGTATCGCTATACTTTGATCGTGGCAGAGAACCTGTAATTGTAGTTTAACCAGGTCAAGACGTGGAAAAAACCAACAACATTAAAACAAGACCATTTGCTAGCAGCGTAAGAAATGATCTTCCACTTCATCGACAGCACTTCTCAACTAAATGAAAGTCGAATATTGAGTGTTTCAAATAAGAAATGAGTTCACGAAAAGAAATAAGAAGGCATTTCAAAAACAAGAAAATACCAACATGTTAACATAGTCCAAAACCAATCAGTTACGTCACGTTTTCAAATGAGTTGTTCACATTGGTTTCGCAATAGTAAAAGAGCAAGATAAGCGGCTGACATTTAAAGGCAGGACGTCTTTAATGTATATGAAAGTAACATTAAACGATATCGTATTTGTGACCGTTTTGATAAGCTCTTCTATAAATTAAGTCGAGTATAAAACAAACAAGTGACACAACAGAGGAGGAACACACTTAGTTCCCATAGGTTTGCCAAGAGTCCTTTGGAAAACCTTGCCACAAAACTCGACGAAGACGTTGTCAAACAGAAACTGATTTTTATGCTTTCGTCCTCCGTTTGTTTCTTCTTTGGTTTGGAAGTATTTTTCACGAACAACGCTTCAGTATAGTTACATAACGTATAAAACTGCATTGTAATGTTTACCAGCTGTTGCTAAATGTTTCAATTTTTGAAAAAAAAATATACATTATTATAACATTCTTAACGGCCCTTAAACACAAAAAGGCCATTAGGGCCATCAAATGGTAAAACACACAGCGATCCAAAAAGGAAATAACATCAAACAAATAAAAGACAAATGCTAGAAATCTTAAATGGGTATATTATCACAAAAGATTAAAATGGTACGTCATAGTCTATTATATAGACCAACATCTTTCAGATAGCCTAGAATTTAACAAATCTCAACAAGTTTCAAAAGGGTTTTTAGACTTTACATTAACATAACAATAAAAACATTCTCGAGTAGACAGAAGGTCGATGCAGTCATATAAAAATATGTTTAACATTGAATGGCTAACATCCTATGCACCGAAGATTATCGTCGCGTTTCAAAATATTTGAATGTGTAGGGTATGTGTGACCCATCCGCAGACGGGCAAAGACAACTGCGTCTCGGTGGTTGTCTCTATAGCCTGGAGACCATTCATAGATGATAGGTTTTACGGAATGCAATTTATTATTGGTATATTGATTCCATTCCTCTTGTCACTGAGCTGTTAAACATTGTTTGATAAATGGTTTAAAATCGGTAAAATGTAATTTAAAAACAACAGGTGGTAGCTTCCTTTGATAACTTTTTCATGGCCTGGTAATCCCATGTGCCTAGGAACCCAGCAGAAAGCTATACGAAAGTTAAAGCTAAGTTCATGATATAGTATTAATGTATTAGGAATGAAAATATTTTCGATATTTCTATTGTTAAGACTTTGTAGTACAGAAAGAGAGTATGAATGGATAACATTACTTTGTTAGTTTGAATATATTAAAAAAACTAGGTAGATAGCTCGCACTTTCGCGAATATTGTAGGCGTTGTTCGGTAGCCGGCAGTCATCAATTTCATCTTGGGTAACCATGGCCGCGGCAACCATATCATTACCTTTTAAACCATCAGTATAAAAATGTAGAAATGTTTTATATCTTAACTGCAATTTCGAGAAGGATGAACGAAAGGTGCAACTGTCGGTGTCGGATTTAACCAATTCATGAAGTAAAAGCCAACTTTAGGGGAAGTTCCACGGTGGAATTTCTATCGTTTCAAATGACTGAATTTGTTCAATATCAATATTTGTGTTTTGTATATATTTTTACCTTACTCTTCTGGAATACTGGCCCTGTTCATATTTTTGTACTTTTCATGAATCTGCTAAGCGTGAAGCAGGGAATAATAGTAGTATTAAGATCAAAAGTAAGACAGTGTCAGAGGTGACATTAGAAATCTAACAGTTGTTTAACAGGATCTGATCCCAAATTTATTCGCCTTTTAGGAATCACGCAATGGAAACTGTAGGAACAATTACCTAAACGATAGCTGTTGGTCTAATAAACCTCAGTTTGATAGATATAGTTATCATTTCTGAAACAAACAATATTATTTACTTTTAAAGTTACCAATCCTACAAGAAAGGGGAAATTCCAATAAAACATTAAGTGGTACTTACTAATTAATTCTCACTCCTATGTGTCAGAATTATAAATCCCATACAAATGTGTTTTGCTTTGTATTATATGCTAATATTGATAAAAAATAAATTTAAGTGTGACATGGCACATCCATACAAATAATGATCAAAGGCATTGTACTTACCATTTAGCCATATTGGAAAGGATGTCCCGCACTGATTCAGCTCAGGAGGGTGTGTCACCATATCCTTATATTGAGGATCGGATCCCATTTCATTCGGAACTTTGTACCAAAGCGACTCATTAATGGCGTATCTGTCACATACTTGATTATAAATACCCGTACATCCGGTCCCCCTATCCTCGGACCTGTGGAGTTCTATGGCTGTCTCACATGGAATGGCCTGGGACTCTAAGAGAGAGACAGAATAAACATTGTATCTTATCATATGAATACAGTCAATGTTCCTTTTGGATTTAAGAATGAAAAGAATGGGAGGAAAGGGGAAATACATATATATGATATACATAAACATTCAAATTTTACAAGAAAATATACAGAAATGTATTACAAATAGCTAAAACAATTATTCATTTAAGAATTTGTCATCGTTTTGACTACCCGATTAAGTTGTGTCGGGGTAATATCCTGTTTGAATTTGACTGTGGATTGCTACACTGTGTAGGCATGTTATGAACAGGTAAATCAACAAAGGAATGACTTATGAGATAGCAAACCCGGACTTCGGTCTAAAGACAATGTAGATTGTTCAATATTGATTACTTCGTCACAAGCGACAAACATGAAAATGGAAGATTAATACCACTTTATTACACATAATGTTTATAAGAATTTATCATCTTGATAAAAAATTTTGAATCATCAATGCAGTAATTATATAACATAAAAAATATATTATTGCTAACGGATGATATAAATTGCTATTAACAATATAACTCTTCAAGTAGTGATACACCTTTCGTAGTTTTGACTGACTAGAACGTTGCATTCTAGCCAAAAAGAAACAAAAAAACTCAAAATCTATATGAATGACACGATGCAATGTGACACTATGGATTTTTATAAAGAATATAAAACAGTTTTATACAAAACCATATAAAATGATATCAATGAGAAATCGCATCTTGAGAAGTTGTACACATGTGATTATATGACTTTTAATACTTGTATAGAACGGAAACAAGACAGATATAACATTATATTTAGCACTAATTTAAAGTGACAAATATATTTCAAATGTTATGATATATAACAATGTGATCTGTTATTCAAACATGTGTTACTTACCCCGTAAAAACCAACCGAAAACGAGAAATGTAAATAAAATCAGCATTTTGTCGTTAAGAAAATATTGTGCCCTGCCTTTACATACAGTGATAAAATTATTTGTTTTTCTCCTACTCCACATTGACATTCAGATATGGGTGGGAAGATAAGGATGGCATGACAACCTCTGTCAGGGGGCTACATAGGTAGAGAGGCTGTGTGTCTATCCCTGCTGGATACTTCAATTTATTATCTTCTCGAGTTAGCCTACATAGTTATAACGATCACAGTGTTGTATGCCATTTACACAACATGTGGTTCCTACATAGTTGATGTTATAGGTATATTCATTGAAAACGTTATCAGTGTTTCAATATTGTTTAATTGGTGGATTGAAATCAACATGTTCAAATTATGTAGTGTCAGGAAAAGTTTGAATTAAGGATCTTAAATAAAATAAAGTGGAACAAAAGATTAAAGAAAAGTGATTAACAGAACACAAGATTATTGAAACTAACTTTAAGTGTAAAAATATAAACAATTAGCATTTGTTCACACGCGATATTATAGCGGCAAATAAAGCAAAGCAACAACATGAAATCACAGTATCACGAATTACGCGTGAGCACAATAAAACATATATCGCCACTCAATTCAGGTTTTAAATACAAATATAAAGAAAAACAAATTGGATACGACAGATCTCAATTTGTTTTCGTAAGTGGTCCAATTCTTAACGGTTCAGAGACACAGGGGAAGTCATGAAGGATTATGAAAGTTGGATATCAAGAGGGAAAAATGTGTTAAAACAAATTAACTTTAACATCGGATATATCTAAACGTGACTATGGATTTTGAAATCTTGTTCCACAGACCAACATCTTTCTGTGCTGTTCATTGAGACGGTCTGTTGAACTCCAGTAAAAAGGGATATATATATATACGGTATAGATGACCACAATTACAAGGACAGCATTAGTGTTTGTGCATTTCTCTTTGGATAGGACACTACTAACTGACTTTATGTTAAATGGATTTAAGTTTTTCTATACAACTTTGTTTTTACTACTTTGACATTAAAAGCTATGATAAAAGAGGGTTTAAAATGTTGTAATAAATTTTTATTGTGTCTCCTTAATCATGTATATAATGCGTCTGGGGAAACATAAAGAGGGTAATAGAGAATTATTTGTGATAAAATACAGCGTTAATTGACACAGGGAGGTGGACCGTGCTGATAGTCGGTAGACTGACTGGCAAATGCTTAAGTTGGTGAGTTTGACCTGAGGTCAATGAAACTGTCAAGACTTCAGAGCTATTCTTACGTAAACCTTTTAATTAAGTGGTGGGGGATGTCTGGTCGTGGCACAGGGAGAGAGGAGAGTTCCTTGGAAAATAGCCGTATATGGGACTGTCTCCGGATACTTAGCTGAAGTAAATTAGCTAAGGGTTTCTGAGGAGTTGATCGGGGTTAATGTAGTATGCGTTTTATAAAGTGTAAATAAAGCTGAAAAAGTACTTTTGGTGTTGTGATATATATCCACCTGGTCACCTTACAATATGCAAATCAACAGGTGGCAGCAGCAAAGTCACTTTGGCGAGACTGAGTGATTTATTTAAATTTGTCCTTCGCGTAAAACATCCTTCAGAACTGATACGGGCCCTCCAGGCCTCTTAATTTACTTGCAAAGATGTTTTTTTTATCCAATGTCATCTCTAAACTTTCTTTATCTCTGTTTCATATTTTGAAGAACAAAAACAAAAATAAGAAATATATCACAGCATCATATCAATCACATGACGTCACTTTCGAGATTCTGACTCAACGCAATTAAGCTGCTAATTGACAAACTTACCGGTCACGAATTTTTTTCAATGTTTTGGCTAAGAACAGCAAATATAAGGGGCCTAATTATATTAAAAGCGCTTGAGTGCACCGAAACCGGAAGAGTTTGAAACACTCCTCCTATGATCAAACTTTGTTCTAAAAATTAAGAAAAAAATAACATTTTCCTTTATTGAATTGATCATAACTTTTTTCTTATGCCAAATTTGACAAATAATGTTTGCTTAAAATGACAAGTAGATTCCAATGAACAAAATAAGTGGTTATAAGAAGCCTTGCGATGAACCCTTGCCTTGTTATGGAGCCATATCTGAACCTTACATTATACCCTCAGTAAATGTCATAAATTCTATAATTCAGACCTTTTGAATTTTTTAAGTGCTATTTCAGGGGAGTGTATTGGGGTGCTATAAATGCCACATGGTTTGGATTAAATCTGGTCGTGGGCAAAAGTCCATTGTTCGTGAAAAAGCTCCTTTACTGATAGGTTAAAAAAAGAAACACAACTTCTTTAATTGTAAAATATTTTGTATTGAATATAGATAGCCGCGTAAAAAGTTAGAGGAATACTGGGAGCACCTTAACTAAAGCCCAATTAATGTTATTCTTTAAAATGTGAGTTATATTCTCAAAATACAGTTCCTTTATTAATACATTCTTGTTGATGGTATGAATAGTCATGTTTACATAATCAGTAACTTACAAGAACCATGAATGCCAGAGCTACATGTATGCTGAGGATGAAATCGAACCTGATAAACTTGTTATCTTTAATCTCCCTGATTATGGATGTTTTCATGATATCTTGTGCAGTACCCTTTAACATTCTGTTTTTCTCTTCTGGAGTGTGCTCGACTTCAATATTGTGTGAGGATCAGCTCTTAGTACTTCCGGATCATCAAAGCCTTTTTACATTTCTGCACTGTTTTGAAGATAGCAAATGAAAATTAAATGATTTTAATCATAAATAAGTTGTAACATGAAAAATGTTACGCTTTTGGATTTATTGTTTGTATGAGGCAAGGCATATTGTACTCAAAGTAAAATTATGTGAAATATTGCATTTTAACAAAACTGCAATAATATACCTGATATATAATCTGACCATAATACGAAACTGTGGAGGAAATTCATAAAAAAAATAGGTACATTTACCGTCATGCAGGTAATATTTACAAACGCGGGCCTCATTCAGCAGTTTACTCATTAGAAAACTTTAATAAGACAACAGATATAATACGAAATATTGTCATTCAACATGTTTACAAGAGTTAATTTAATTAATGGCTGTTGTAGATTTATCTGTGTTGTATAAAACTATCATTCAGTAAGACGTGTTAGTCTAATAAAAAAATACCTCTTTTGTTCAACAGAAGAATGAACCGAAATCTAATTTGTTCACTGTAGTCGTTTAAAAAGCACAATGTTTATAACAACGAGAATTTGTCTTTCACTTTGTTAAAGAATTCGATGACGCCAGTGAGATTAAAGGAGTTTTTCTGTCTGCAGACCTTGTATTTACAGCTGATCTTTGAGAAATGACTTTTCAACAGAGTAAAAGCACAAGAGAATCTACAGCATATCCGTATATCAGAGAGGTGCAACGTGGTATCATGGCATTTGGGCGAGATATTCAACAGATTATGTATTGTCACGTATCGTGTGCAGCACAGCCCATGCCATAAAAGGTATGGATACTTCATTGTGTCGTCTTAAATATTGCGATTTATCATACAAAAATACAGTAAGGAGACACCAGACAAAGAATATAATTTGCTGTATTACACTGCCTGACAGATGAAGGAACTAAAATGAGCCCCCAGCTTAGGTGGATATGTTTTTCTTTTGTGTATTCCATTCAGGGGACATTGATAAGACTATTGCAACACATCAGATCACATTTTTTTTACCCTATCCAGTCTTTCTGAGCTTTGTTAACTCATATTGAAAATTCCCCTATATCATACCCGGCAGTTTCGAGGACGCTAAACCGCCAAACAAACAACAGAAAAAATGACATTGCTACAACATGCACTAAAATCAATGAAGTAAAATAGCTAACTGCAGGTAATATTTAAGTTGGTAGTTTTGTGTGGCGACTCCAATCATATAGTACAGTATTACAGATGAATACTAGGATTCTGAAGCGTTTAATTGATGTACACGTGAAGCAAGGTAAATGGTTACATAAGAACATCAACAATAACCTTGACCCTATAACTCAAACATTTACATTTTTCCGCGATATTTACGTGTGTTTCAATAACTCATGATGGCTGGAAAGGGGAATGAAGTTGTTTTCTGTACTGTCTCGTTTGTTATTTTAAAGTCAATCCCGTACCTCGTGGCTCTCTCTTGCAGATAGTGTTCCCTCGTATGCACCGTACAATCGCGCTCTACACCTTATCAGAGTTAAAATGTCGAAGGCCTCACTTAGAATTTTTGCAAAGTATGAGAGCAAAACATTCATGTCAATTGCACACAATTTCTGGTAGTGTACCACGTCGTCCTGATTTCTGGATAAATAACCCACTTCCATAGTGCATCTGTTGTATCATGCGTGTTGTATGTTCTGAATGTAACGCCTATTCGAAATTCTATGCCTAAATGTAGAACTAATTAATATAGCGGTACAAGACAGCTTAAATCTTTATTTGTTTTAGACCTTTATCTGATGTTCCTAAAATTATAGGGAAGTTTTATTTTACTTCGATTTTAATGACCTCAATGAGTTATTTTACTGTTGTTGTTATTTTTATTATCCCCCGCTTTCACCGAAACGGGGGAATATTAATTTGGGTTTGTTCGTCCTTCTGTCCGTGCGTCACACTTTCGTTTCCGTGTTCTAACTGCCCCAAATATTATCCAATTTGGGTGAAACTTGGTCAGCAGATGCATATTGGGGTCATAAAGACTAAGTTTAACTATCAGAGTCATCTGTTGATAATTATGGATACTAATAAGGTATCCTTTGACTTCATTGGTCGGTTCATTTACATGCTTTAACTTTCCTAGATATAATCCGATTAAGATGAAACTTGGTCAGCAGATGCATAATAGGGCACATAAGACTGGGTTCAGCAATCAGCATCATCTGTTAATATCTATGCATACTAATTAGGTATCCTTTCATTTCATTGGTCGGTCAGTTTTTGTGCTCTCACTTTCCTAAATATAATCTGATTTAGATGTAACTTGAAGTCCCACAAATATTATCCAGTCCCCTATACTGATCATCATACTGTATGGACTACTATACCTACTGATGACCATGGATCTGCTTAGCACCATTGTAATTTGTAGTATGCAAATTTTATTCAATTAGTTCACTTTATTGGTTAATGTTTGATATGTCCAATCTACTCTATATAATCCTTTATATCTTTCTTTGGCTTTAAAGTAATACATCATAGCTCAAGAGAATATATCATTCTACATAGCATTATGACATGTTTACTCCTAACCTTTAAAATATTTACTTACAATATGTTTGAAAAGCGGGGGATATAAATTCCATGAATTTGCTTGTTATTATTATTATTATTTAAGCTGATCATACTAACCCGATATAACTTAATCAAATGTAACTAAATCACCAGATATAATTAGCTAACAGATTATGATTAAATGACCGAATATAACTTAACAATCAAATATAGCTATTTTCGCAATCAAATAAACCCACAAAGAGTGTCAGTGAAAGTTTATTTCAAATTCGTTTGAACAGTCAAGTCATTAACTTCTGCAGAATTTTTTAATTGACTGTGTTGAAAATTATTATTATGACATTCTTAACCGAATCTCAATACATGCAATGTCATTAGGGTCATCAACCGGTAAAAACACATCGATCCAAATAGGAGATAACATCAAACAAACTAAAAGATAAAAGACAAATGCTGCAACAGTTCACTGTAGTCTTTGTAGAAAAACGCAATGTTCATAATGATGAGATTTTGTTTTTGGGGTTGTAAAGGAAGCCGATTACGCGATTAAAGAAGTCTTTTGTGTTTGCAAACCTTGCATTCACAGCTGATCCATGAGAAATTTCCTTTCAACCACAAAGGAATCTATGACAAATCTGCATAGCACACAAGTGTAACGTCTAAAGTCAACAGATTATCAAAGACAGTAGGTACATTTTGGTAGCTGATATGTTGACTTTTAAAAAAGCGATTATATAATGACCTGTTCGCCATACAGCGTAGCCCATGGCGTAATTAGTGTGGGCACAACATTATATCTTCTATCAGTGAGAAGACATCAAAGAGTCAACGAATATGGCCTGATTGATAACACTGCAAGATTGTTAAAGGCATTAAAAGGCTCAGCAAATGAACTTACAAAGACAGTAAGTGAAATTCGTTTTTTTTTAATTATTGTCAGTGTATTCGGGTTGTCTCCCTTGATACATATATGCTTCATCAATATTTAGGCTGTTGAGTAACAAATCGCATGAGAGTATGGCTGAATGTAACTGGTTTTTATTATAAATACTAATGTTTCATGTATAATGGCATATTTCTGCAGTCCAATTACTTCTCGCCGAATTCCAAAGAACCACGTATAATAACATTCATATTGGGAATAACTTGGATGCTCTTAAGTTTGTCATAGTTGTAGGAATCCATTGTACTGGAATGTTTCAATATGACACACAGAATGGCGACTTTTGTTATTGGGAAATGTTGAACATTTTGTGTTTTTTCCTTGAATATACAGAGTGTAGCACCATGAAAATTACATTGAGCACGCTAAGTGCGGACAGTATGACGCAAAGATAACAAAACCACAGAAGGGAAACATTCTGCATGAGATATCCAAGCAAGGAAGGACACAACAGTGGACCCAAATACCCCGTTACCAAAAGGTAGCTGGACACTTTTCCACCAACTGAAATCAGATACGAGTTGATCCAACTTAGAGCTGAGGGCCATATAACGCCAACAGGTAGTCCAATTATGAATACAGAAATCCAAACTCCAAGGTCGGCTAACAAATGTGCACTTGTTGTCAGACATACAAACCCAAAGGCGTAAAGTGTAACTGCAAATAATAAAGTGGTATAGGATTTCATCAAATGTACCATAAATATACCAACACATCTGCCACCTAATGTTGCAAACATCACGACAGAGGTTAACAAAGCACCAGAAGTTATTGACCACTGCAAATACTGAACACAGAATATTGTCAAATAAGCAATGAACAGTAATTCAGTTGTACTGTAAACCGCTGCAAACACTCCCACATTGATAAGTTGTAGATAATTTACAATCCTTGGTAATTCTCCTATAAACTGGTATCGGACTGTTTTAGATGTCTTTGTAGCTTGTGGTCGCCGTCTTGTATACAATACGATAAATGGAATCGCAATAAGAAAAGTCATTACTGCCGATATAGAATAAGCAATATATAACTTCGATTCCGAAACAACAGAAGAGTTGTTTGGTAAATCTAATGTATTGTTGCTATACGATTCACTCGTAAAACAGCAATGACTGATGTTTGGATGTAAAGTCGATAATGTCGTCATATCCGAGATGTTCCGATGACCTTCGTCATTTTTTTTCTCCCGTAAGAATGGCGCCGTTGCTATTGGTGCCAATGCCGAGGAAACAGATAAAAATGCATAAAGTATCTGAACGTAGAGACGTCCTCTTCTTGTTGGTCCCCAGATCGACATGGCTGTTGATGTAACCGCTTTAAAATGGAATGAAGGAATTAATAGTGTTGTGCAGAGGCATATTGAAATAATCGTCACTCTCTATGGTTTTGCATTTTCTATAAATATCCAAATTTCTATTCATGAAATTGATATCGGATTGCTAGATTTGTCCACAACCCATATAAACAGCGTTGTATTACTGTCTAGTTGTTTAACAAACTGTTATCAAAGCTTTAGTAAAAATTGTAAAACACTCTTATGTTGATACTCAAGAAATGGAATAATGATATATGTAGTGGATGCTGGATTCTCGCAGTCCAGAAATGATCATTCACAGATGGGGAATTGAACCTTTTCTGTCTCGTTGTAGATAAAGATCGAGTTAGACGGCTGCTGTAGAAATCTATCTTGCCCTTTATTTCAAATTCTTTTGTGTATGTTTGTGATTAAGGTTAATAAATCTCATTATTTCCAGACTATACGTTATCAATATATGTGAAAGTGAAATGAAGAAATTTGCAATAACTTTGGAACCGTTCTGTGAGAAGCCCATGGATAAATTTAGACTGTTATGAAAACAATAAGAAAGCATTCAAAATAAGAACATAGTTTGTACCCATGCAGAGTTATGCTGAAATTCGACCATTTTCATGATTTCGTTATTTTCATATTTTTCCTTTGATATGGACATAAATTTTTGGAAATATAGTTTACCACCATTTGGTAGTGAAACCCTTTGATAAATGATAAGGTGAGCCAGCAATAAAACGCTATTTATATGGATCTTTGTGAAGCTTTCAAATCCAATATTACGAGAGGGTCTGTGGCCCTTTCATAATGTTATCTTTATTCTTTATTCATTCGAATTACCTTGTTATTCAATAAAACTCACTTCCGGCGATCCTCAAGACCGCTACTGATACTGACCCTATTTTCTTTATGCAAATTACATCATTCTAATATCGCTATATATTCCCTCCGTTATCGAAAGGATCCTTATTAGGATTTTATTTAGATATGAAATAATCTTAATTAAGCTAAAGAATGAATTCATCCTTATTCTATGCATTAATATGTCTCAATATCTTATCAAGCTACAACAAGGTAACCCTTAAGACAACTATAGCTATTGACCCCACTTTCTATGCAAAATTACATTCCCGTGTCAAATGTACCCTTTCAGGAATTTTCGCAATATTGCAAAGGAATAGTTTTATCCTTATTCTACGCATCACATTGTCCCAACATCAAACTGGAACAAAGAGTGTCATCTTATATGCTAACCGACGTTAAGAACTCCTCCGGATATCCCATGTAGCGCATGTGCTGCTATCATGATCTCGTAATGGAAACACCAGGGAATAGTTGCAAGAACGGACCCGTTGACCACAAGAGATATCGCAAACATAAGGTATGCGTTCATCTTTGAGTACAAAACCCCGCCGAGAGCAGATCCAACCATACGTCCAGTGAAGTATGACGTCATATATCCCGACCCTCTATTCAGATCTGTGTTGGTAATGTAAACAAGGTCCGGAAAAGCAGGTCCAATCTGGGCAAGCGCCCATCCCTAAAATGTCAATATGCAGCATAATTTTCAGAATACAATTCTGACGATAAGACAAAAGCAGCAATGAAAACCACTTTTCAATACAAATTAAAACTAAAGCAAAATAATGAATTTAGAACAGCAGAACCAAATAATGGAACTACATAATACGTCATACAGCCGTTGCTGCCTACTAAGAACAATCAGTAATTTTTAAAAGTTGTTAAAGCTAGGAGTGACTGAGGTAAGACGAATGTTGAATGTTGAAACCAGACTGAGATGGGAATCATCACATTACTTATCACATTACTCCAAAAAAGATCACTCTTCTTGCATGTCACTTAATGACAATTTTGTGAGTGTGTGTTTGGCAATTATTATTTTTTGCATTCGACAACGTTCTTTTGTCAATTTTCGCAATTGTGTTTTATATCAAAATGATCAAATATATGAAGGGATGAAGGAAGAGCTTCTTTAATTGTGAAATATAATGTATTGAAATACGTAGTAAGAGGAGTAGCAGGACACTTAATCCCCAAATCAATATGAATGATCCGCCATCCGTAACAAAAACCTTATCCACAGCAGGTACGCCTAAATTATTTGTATATCTTATAGGAAACTTCGGACACAGTTTTAGCATTTAAAACTGGCCTACAGTTTAGCATTGCCAGGCGCCCCCAGCGCATGATGGTCTTAGTTTCATAACGGTTTTCTTAATCTACTTCACGTTGTTTTGAACGTCCGTCCAAGCAAAACAGGTTATGGGTTCAATACCCGAACCGTGACATATCAAATTTATTGAACGGGTTTCACAAAGAATGATAACCCAGATAATGTTATCTTGTCCATGTATTACATCTTAATGCTATGGTACTTCACAGGAACAGACAGTAGCCCAATCAGCCATGGACGTTGTTTTCATATAAATCTATTTCATCCAGAATCAAACTCCTAAATGTGAGTTATGTTCTCCAAATACCGTTCCTTTTTTCAGACATTTTTGTTGATGAAATGAATAGTCATGCTTACATAATCAGTAACTTACCAGGACCATGAATACCAGAACTACAAGGATGCTGAGGATGAAATTGAACCGAATTAACTTGTCATCTTTAATTTCCTTGATTATGGATACGTTTTGGATATCTGTTGTACGATCCTTTAGCATTCTGTTTTTCTCTTCCGAAACATGTTCGATGTCAGACGAACCATGTGTGTGAGGATCCACTGTTAGTACTTCCGGCTCTTCAAGGTCTTTTGACATTTCTGTAGTGTTGTAAAGATAGCACACGGAAATTAAATGTTTTTAATCATAAATAAGTTGTAACATATAAAATACTACTCTCGAGACTTATTGTTTGTATCCAACGTATTTGTAATTGAAGAACGAAGAATATGTATTTTATTTACATTGGGCGTTTGATCGTGACGCAAGGCAGGAGATACTTAAAGTAAAGTTATGAGAAATATTATAATTTTAATAAAACTACAATGATACATCTAATCGTAATACGAATTTGTGGAAGAAATTAAGAAATCCTTGGTACATTTACCATCATAAAATTAATATTTACAAAAACGGGCCTCTTCTACAGATTATTAAACAAATAACTTTAATAAGATAACAGATTAAATGCGTAACTATTCTCATGTTTATAAAAAATACCTTATCGTTCCTTCGTTCAGCAGAAGAAGAATGATCCGAAGTCTAGTTTGTTCACTGTAGTCGTTTGAAAATCACAATGTTTTTTAACAGCGAGAATTTGTTTTTCACTTTCTTAAGGAAGTCGATCACGCCAGTGATATGAACAAGTATTTTGTCTGCAAATTATGTATTCAAAGCCAATCTATGAGAAATGACTTTTTATCAGAGTAAAATCACAAGAGAATCTGCAGCATAATCGTATATCACAGAGGTGCAACGTGGTATCGTGGTAGTTTTGGTAATCGAGGGCGAGTCCTAGATAGTCGGCCGCCAGTCGAGGACGGTGCGTTTCTATAGCCAGATCTATTCTAAATGCGATTATGCATTGTCATGTATGGCGTACAGCGCAGCCCATGCCATAAAAGGTATGTGTACTTCATTGTGTCGTTTACAGTACTGCGATATACCATAGGAAAGACACCAGACAGTTAAAGAATATAATCTGCTGCATAACAGATGAAGGAACTAAAAATAGGCCCCCAGCATATGTAGATATTTTCTTATATTGAATTCCCCTATATCATACCCAAGCAGTTTTGAGGACGTAAAACCGCCAAACAAACAAAACAAAAATGACAATACTTCAAAATGCACTAAAGTCAGAGAAGTAAAATCTGAAATAGAAAGTGGTTTTGTGTGACGACTCCAAACATATAGTACAACATAGTTTCTGTTATCTGGCAAATGGGGGACCCCTCTATATCCCCACATGCTGAGATGAATGTCAGGCGTCTGAAACTTTCAATTCATGTGCACGTAAAGCAAGGTAAATGATTACATAATAACAGCAACAATATCCTTGACCTTATAACTAAAACATTCATATTTGTCTGCGATATTGATGATCTTCATACGTGTTTCAATAACTCATGGTGGTGGGAAAGTGGGGATAAAGTTGTTTTATGTACCGTCTCGTTTATCATTTCATAGTCAATTCCGTACCTCGTGAAGCTCTCGTCAGATTTTGTTCACTCTTATGCACCGTAAAACCGCGCTCTATACCTGATCAGAGTTAAAAAGTCAGAGGCCACACTCAAAAGATTTTGCAACGTACGGGACCAAGTTATAGATGTTCAGACAATTTCTGGTCGTGTACCACGTCGTCCTGATTTCTGAATAAATTACCAATTTCCATAGTGCATCTGTTGTATTATGCGATTTGTATGTTCTGAATGTAACGGCTATTCGAAATTCTATGCCTAAATGTATAACCCATTAATATAGCGGTACAAGACAATTTAAATCTTTATTTGTTTTAGACCTAGATCTAATGTTCCTAAGATCATGGGGAAGTTTTAAGTCGGTTTTAATGACCTAATTTTCTTTGTGCGATTTGAAACAGGAATGTATGTTTTTGTTTTGGTTGTAATTAGTATGAATGCTGATCATACTGTCTAACTAACCGATTATAACATAATCAAATGTAACTTACTTCAAATAAACCCTATATAACTAAAAATATTAAATCAAATGTAACTAAATAAAACAATATCACTAGCTGACCGATTATGATTAAACAACCAAATATAACTTTACAATGAAATATAGCTATTTTCTCCGTCAAATAAACTACCAAAGAGCGTCAGTGAAAGTTGATGCGAATTCGCTTGGATGGCCAACTACGTTAACTTCTGCAGGATTTTAATTAACTGTGTTGACAATTATTTATATCATTATGACATTATTAACGGTTCGTCAACAAATAAAAGGTCATGAAGGCCATAAAACAACCAGCGATCCAAATAGGAAATACCATCAAACAAAGTGAAAGGTAAAAGACAAATGCTGAAAATCTTAAAGGGGTATATAATCACAAAAGATTACAAAATATAAATCAATCTATGTCTGGTGTAGATTTATCTGTGTTGTATAAAACTATCATTCACTACGTGTTTCAGAAAACACAATGTTCGTGACAGTGAAATTTCGCTTTTCAGGTTGTAAAGGAAGTCGATGAAACTAGTTTCTGTTTTCACAGCTGAACAATGAGATAAGCCCTTTTAACCACAAGGGAATCTATGTTAAATCCGCATAGCAGACAAGTGCAACGTCTAAAGTCAACAGGTTATCAAAGACAGTAGGTACATTTTGGTAGCTGATATGTGGAACTTTTTAAAAAGCGATTATATAATGACCTGTTCGCTTTACAGCTTAGCCCGTGACGTAATTGGTGTGGGCACTTCATTATATTTTTTATTTCAGTAAGAAGATATCAACTAGTCAAAGAATATTGTTTGCTTTATAACACTTCATGATTGTTAAAGGAATGAAAAATTAGCCCCAGCATAAGAAATTACAAAGAACGTCAGTGAAAGCTTATTTCAGATTTGTTTGGATGGCCAACTACATTAACTTCAGCAAATTATTTGTAGACTGCTGAACATACATTTTGGTTTATTGTCAGTGTGTTCGGGTTGTCTCCCTTGATACAGATACGCCTCGGCAATATTTAGGCGCAACAGATCGAATGGGAGTATGACCGAATGTAACTGGTTTTTGATTAGAAACAATAATGTTGATGTATAATGGCATATTTCTGCAGTCCAATTACTTCTAGACAAATTCCAAAGAATCACGTATTATAACATTGACGTTGCGAATAATTTCGATGCTCTTTAATTTTTCATAGTTGTAGGAATCCATTGTTCTGGTATGTTTTTGCGTAGGGTTAGATGGAAGAACAAGATATCGAAAACATGACATATCAAAAGTATATGTTGATATTATTATAACAGGTATATACTCAATTTCACCACTGTTTGTAATATTTTGATGTATGATTTGGCATCAATCGTAAAGAAAATGATTACGAAATCAAGCATCTTCGTTATATGATTAATTATTTGATATAGATATGAGGATTACTTATGAGATTCGGAAATAAATTAATGCTGTTTTTGACAGAAAATAGATAACGAAAACTATCCAAAAGATGTCCAGAAGCAAAACACACAAAGAGGGTGCTAGGTCGTACAAAGTGTACAATATATCAGGCAATTCTTGCACAATTTTGTTGCAATGCTGCAGCACCGTGTAATTTCTTACAATGTTTATTTTCTGTATCAATGGTAAAGAGAAGAGAAAAAAAAAATGAAAACTCGTTTATTGTTAATACAGTCGGTGATAAAGGGATCTATGCAATCCACGATAGAGTTATTAAAACAAATATTATTAAGATCATCCGAAGACTAACAAAGTGTAGTGCTGAATGCATCATCAACAACTACGAGTGAAGTAATCGTTTTCTTCTTCAACATCCATGGTCGCCATTTTATATGCCTATCAAAATCATTCGTCTTTTATTACTTTGAAGCACATTTTTCGAGGTTTTATGTTCTCACCACGATCATGTAATATGAGGAAAGGTCTCAAAAGGGACACGTATATAAGAAAACAAATCTCAGAGAGATAGAACAGACAGCGAAATATCAAGTATTGCAATGGGTGTAGTTGTTCCTTTGGTAAAATTGACTGATTACAATATGACACATAGAATGGCGACTTTTGTTACTGGGAAATGTTGAACATTTTGTGTTTTTTCCTTGAATATACAGAGTGTAGCACCATGCAAATTACATTGAGCACGCTAAGTGCGGACAGTATGACGCAAAGATAACAAAACCACAGAAGGGAAACCTCCTGCATGAGATATCCAAGCAAGGAAGGACACAACAGTGGACCCAAATACCCCGTTACCAAAAGGTAGCTGGACACTTTTCCACCAACTGAAATCAGATACGAGTTGATACAACTTAGAGCTGAGGGCCACATAACGCCTACAGGTAGTCCAATTATGAATACAGAAATCCAAACTCCAAGGTCGGCTAACAAATGTGCACTTGTTGTCAGACATACAAACCCAACGGCGTAAAGTGTAACTGCAAATAATAAAGTGGTATAGGATTTCATCAAATGTACCATAAATATACCAACACATCTGCCACCTAATGTTGCAAACATCACGACAGAGGTTAACAAAGCACCAGAAGTTATTGACCACTGCAAATACTGAACACAGAATATTGTCAAATAAGCAATGAACAGTAATTCAGTTGTACTGTAAACCGCTGCAAACACTCCCACATTGATAAGTTGTAGATAATTTACAATCCTTGGTAATTCTCCTATAAACTGATATCGGACTGTTTTAGATGTCTTTGTAGCTTGTGGTCGCCGTCTTGTATACAATACTATAAATGGAATCACAATAAGAAAAGTCATTCCTGCCGATATAGAATAAGCAATATATAACTTCGATTCCGAAACAACAGAAGAGTTGTTTGGTAAATCTAATGTATTGTTGTAATAAGATTCATTGATGAAACAGCAATGACTGATGTTAGGATGTAAAGTCGATAATGTCGTGATATCCGAGATGTTCCGATGACCTTCGTCATTTTTTTTCTCCCGTAAGAATGGCGCCGTTGCTATTGGTGCCAACGCCGAGGAAACAGATAAAAATGCATAAAGTATCTGAACGTAGAGACGTCCTCTTCTTGTTGGTCCCCAGATCGACATGGCTGTTGATGTAACCGCTTTAAAATGGAATGAAGGAATTA